GTATCTACTCCTCATTCTCCTTTGCTAGCTCTTCTTCCTCTTTCTGACTTTTAAGTGTTGGTATTCCAAAGGGCTTGGATGTAGGCCCTCTACTCTTCCCTTCCTATCTCTTTTTTTCCTAGGAGAGCCCGTCTTCTCTCATGGCTTCAATTGCCATCTAAATGCAAATTTATTACTGTACCCTGAGACTTCCCTTTTGAATTTTAGACCTACATATCCAACTATCTATTAGAGATCTCCGCTTGGTTTTTTGGTGGCCATCTGTGCATTGTAGGATGTTTAACAACAACCCTGGCCTCTACCCACTAGAAGCCAGTAGCACCCTCCCCCATGTGACAACAAAAAATGCCTCCAGACATTGTCAAATGTCCCCTGGGAGGCAAAATCGTACCTGGTTGAGAATCACTAGTTGAACACAATGTTTATTATGTTCATATATGTTATTCTTTTGCCCATTAAAAAGATTGGGTTATTTATCTTTTTCTTAATGATTTGTAGGCTGTAAGTCCTTTGTTCACAATCTGGATTGTTGTTCATTTATTTAATTCTATTTTCTAACTCTTAGACTTTTTTAAAATAAAAAATGAATTTATTAGGAAACAAAGACTGAAAATAAATGAAATGAGGGACTTCCAGGTACATATGACAGATTGAACAAACATTTATTTTTGCTTACCCCAAAGCCCCGATAAAAACTATTAATCTCTTAGGAGTTTTAATATTTTCCATATAAGTTCTGCATTTTCTTGTTAAACTTTTGTCTTGATGTTTTGTCTGTTTGGTTGCTATTTTGAATGAGATATTTCTCACATTATGTTTTGCAGTTATTGCTTGAATATAGGAAAGCTATTAATTGTTAATTCTGCAGTTTTTCAACCTTATTGAATTCTCTAATTTTTCCCCAAACATTTCATTATGAAATTTTTCAGTTCTATAGATAACTTGAAAGAATTTTGTAGTACACATCTATATATCAACTACCTAGATTCTATTTTGCTGTATTTGCTTTATTACATGTTTATCCATCTAGAAAGGAGCCGTGGTGGCGCAGTGGTTAAAGCAGTCGACTGCTAACTGAACTAGTTTGGCTATTTGAAACCACCAACAGCTCTGTGGGAGAAAGATGTGGCAGTCTGCTTCCTTAGAGATTCACAGCCTTGGAAACCCTATGGGGTCGCTATGAATCAGAATTAACTCGATGGCATTGGGTTTGGTTTGGGCCCATCTAGATGTCCATTTATCCATCATTTTATTTCTGTTTTTCCTTCTGTTCTCTTGAAATTCTTCCTTTCTTTCAAATACTTATTCCTTGTTTCTTTCACTTGTCTAATTATGTTGATTAACCTTTTCTGAACAATTTTAAATAGTCTGATAATGGAAATATTTGAGATTTTAGTGAATTTTGTAATAAACTTTCCGGCAGAGTAAATCTTTCAAGCTTTCCTTCTATGTTTTCTGTTTTGAACCAGAGAGTTATTATCTATGTGCTGACTTCCAGATAAGTGAAGTATTACTATATTCCCATTTCATTTCTTTGTAAATCTGTGTTTAAGTTTACACAAATCTTTTACCAATACTATAACAGAAACAGTTCATTCTTACTTTGACTCAATATAGTCTCTATGCCAACATGTAGTTCTGCTTGAATATAAAGTGCTATTGCAGTATAAAGTTGCACCTTTAATATAAAAATCTGTCATTTTTTAGCACTAAAATGAGAACTGAGATTGTTTTGATATGTCAAAGCAAATTTTAATGAAAGATACTAGTCTGAATTTCAGAGAATAATTTCCCTTTTTGCTAAAGATGAATTGTTTTCGAAGTAGTTTTTAAGTGGATAATCTTCTATGAGGCTATGGGGAAAAATGTTAAGACCAATACTTAAAATTGCTTTACATCCCTGTGTTTCTTAGTAGCCTTCTGTGTTTTATCTGTAAAGATGTAGCCACTGAATGAACATATAGAGAATAAAAACAGAATATTTTGTGTCTTTTGTTCTTTTATTTTTTTAAGATATTCAACTTTTCTAATTTATCAGTTTACCAGCTCACACTTCTTTTTTTTATTGTTGTGGTTTAAATGAAGTTTACTTTTCAAGTTAGTCTCCCATACAAAAATTTATACATACATTGTTATGTGACCCTAATTGCTCTCCCCAAACTGTGACAGCACACTCCTCCTTTCCACCCCTGATTTCCCATGTCCATTCAACCAGCTCCTAACCCTCTCTGCCTTCCCATCTCACCTCCGGACAGAAGCTGCCTGTTTAGTCTCTTGTGTCTACTTGAGCTAAGAGGCACACTCCTCACGAGTATCACTGTATGTCCCACTGTCCAGTCCAATCCCTGTCTGAAGAGTTGGCCTCAGAAATTGTTTTAGTTCTGGGCTGATAGAGAATTGGGGGGCCATACTTCCTGGGGTTCCTCCAGTCTCAGTCAGACCATTAAGTCTGGTTTTCTTACTAGAATTTGAGTTCTGCTCAATCAGGGACTCTCTGTTGTGTTCCTCTGTCAGGGTGGTCATTGGTGGTAGCCGGGCACCATCTTGTTCTTCTGGTCTCAGGCTGATGAAGTCTGTGGTTTATGTGGGCTTTTCTGTCTCTTGGGCTGCTACTTTCCTTGTGTCTTTGGTGTTCTTCATTCTCCTTTACTCCAGGTGATTGGGACCAGGTGATGCATCTTAGATGGCTGCTTGCAAGATTTTAAGACCCCAGATGCCACTCACCAAAGTAGGATGCAAAACATTTTCTTGATAATCTTTGTTATGCCAATTGACCTAGATGTCTCCTGAAAGCATAGTCCCCAGATCCCTACCCCTGCTACTCTGTCCCTCAAAGTGTTTGCTTGTATTCAGGAAACTTCTTAGCTTTGATTTCGTCCCATTGTGCTGTCTTCCCCTATAGTGTGTGCTGTCCTTCCCTTCACTTAAGGTAATACTTGTCTACTATCTAGTTAGTGAATAACCCTCACCCTCCCTCCCCAACCTTGTAACCATCAAAGAATGTTGTCTTCTGTGTTTAAACCTTTTCTTGAGTTCTTATAATAGTAATCTTATACAATATTTGTCCTTCTGTGACTGACTAAATTCACTCAACATATTGACCTCCAGATTCCTCCATGTTATGTTTCACGGCTTCATCATTGTTCTTTATTGTTGCGTAGTGTTCCTTTGTGTGGTATACCATAATTTGTTTATCCATTTGTCTGTTGATGGGCACTTAGGTTGTTTCCATCTTTTTGCTATTGTGAACTGTGCTGCAGTGAACATGGGTGTGCATATATCTATTCGTGTTATGGCTCTTATTTCTCTGGGATGTATTCCAAGGAGTGGGATAGCTGGATAGTATGGTACTTCTATTTCTAGCTCTTTAAGGAAGCACCAAATAGATTTCCAAAGTGGTTGTACCATTTTACATTCCCACCAACAGTGTATAAGTGTTCCAGTCTCTCCACAACCTCTCCAGCATTTACTATTTTATGTTTTTTGGATTAACGCTGGCCTTGTTGGGGTGAGATGCTATCTCACTGTGGTTTTGATCTGTGTTTCTCTAATGGCTAATGATTGTGAGCATTTCTTCATGTGTCTGTTAGCTGCCTGAATGTCTTCTTTGGCAAAGTGCCTGTTCATATACTTTGCCCATTTTTTAATTGGGTTATTTGTCTTTTTGTTGTTGAGGTTTTGCAGTATCTTGTAGATTTTAGAGATTAGACACTGATCAGAGTTGTCGTAGACAAAAATTTTTTTCCCAGTCTGTAGGTTGTCTTTTGACTCCTTTGGTGAAGTCTTTTGATGAGCATAAGTGTTTGATATTTAGGAGCTCCCATGTATCTAGTCTCTCTTCTGGTGCTTGTGCATTGTTACTTACGGTTCGTATTGTGTTTATGCCATGTATTAGGGCTCCTAGCATTGTCCCTATTTTTCTTCCATGATCTTTATTGTTTTTGATTTTACATTTACGTCTTTGATCCATTTTGAGTTAGTTTTTGTACACGGTGTGAGATATGGGTTTTGTTTCAGTTTTTTTGCAGATGGATATCCAGTTATGCCAGCACCATTTGTTAAAGAGACTGTCTTTTCCCCAATTAACAGACTTTGGGCCTTTGTCAAATATCAGCTGCTCATACATAGGTGGATGAATTTATCTCTGGATTCTCAATTCTGTTCCATTGGTCTATGTATCTGTTGTTGTACTAGTACCAGGCTGTTTTGACTACCGTGGCAGTATAGTAGGTTCTAAAATCAGGTAGTGTAAGGCCTCCCACTTTATTTTTCTTCTTGAGTAATGCTTTACTTATTCAGGGCCTCTTTCCTTTCCATATGAAGTTGGTGATTTGTTTCTCCATCTCATTAAAAAGTGCCGTTGGAATTTGGATTGGGATTGCATTGTATCTGTAGATCGCTTTGGGCAGAATTGACATTTTCATAATGTTGAGTCTTCCTATCCATGAGCAAGGTATGTTTTTCCACTTATGCCGGTCTCTTTCCAGTTCACACCTCTTAGAAATTAGTGCTGAAATATTAGTTATTTTGAGAGTTTACTTTAGAAGTGAAAGTATTTGAATGTTTTTTCCTTTTGTTATTTATATCACGGCTCAAAAAGTAAGCAAAGTTAATAAATGTCTTTATATGCTCTCTTTTTAGCGTCTCAGTTTTAAAGAAATACGTCTGAAATCAGGATATCTTGTTTTATTATTACTTATAAAGCAGATAATATTTTATTTCCAATTGGTATATTATGGAATTTATAAGGTAGCTGGATCTGGGTGGTTTTCAACTGCCAATCTTTTGGTTATTAGTCCAGCACTTAACCACTTGCACCCCAGGGATGACTCTAATGCACTAGAGCCTACGATTTGAAACATTATAATATATGCATGTCACACACTTAGCACAATGATAGCATGCGTTAATTAATATATGTTTAGGCTTTTTTATGTTTACACTTTTAAAAAAAATAAGTATGCATTTTAAGTGTGACACTTTGATACTTTCATTTTTAGGCTCAGAATAAAGAGACCAATGTTTTAGCTGCTGCAAAGGTGATTGACACCAAATCTGAAGAAGAACTTGAAGATTACATGGTTGAGATTGATATATTAGCATCTTGTGATCACCCAAATATAGTCAAGCTCCTAGATGCCTTCTATTATGAGAACAATCTTTGGGTAAGCATTTTCTATTGATCTGTAGGAGTATCCAAAATTAGTTAATTGTCCTAAAGAGTTTTATGAGTTATGAAAGACTGTGCTATATATTACTTCTTCTATTAGTTATATTACTTGAATGAGAACTGATCTGCTGACAAGAGGGTCATTAACAGCATAATTATCCTCAGCTTCAGTAGATATTCAAATCTGTTTTTCATATTGTACCAGTTTCATCATGATTGTTTGACATTTGACCCTAATGGAGGAACTTGCTTAAGAATATTTCCGTTTCCTAAAACATGAAATTAAATGGCCTTTTTCTTGTTTGTAATTTAAATTTAAGCATTTACTTTTACACTTTCTAAAGTTAGTTTTCCTAGAAATATTTTATTATTTTTTACCATAAACTTTTTGTAACACATGTAATAAACTATAAAATACTTGCTAGAAATGTTAACTATATATCATATATTACCACTTCCACCTTGAGTATGTAATGCAGTAGCTAAGGCTGTATATAAAAATTTTGTTCATTTTAGGAAAATATTAGGTACAAATAGACATAGAAATAATATATTAATAATCAATATAAGAGCCAGTTTTAGTCACTTGCTCTGTACCAGCTCTAATTTAATCAAGAGAGCTTTTAAAAACATAGTCTTAGTTTTTCTCCTGGAAGGAACAAACAAAGTGATTTGACAGAAGAAGAGTATGTAGTACAAGGAATCAAAAGGCCTATTTTTTGGATCTTGGCTCTGCCAGTTAGCAGTTTAGATAACTCACTTAATCTTTATGAGCCTGTTTACTTATCTGTAGGATGAATAATTATCTACTTCCCAAATTATTTTTCTAATAATGAATCAAAAAACAATTTTTAATTAGTGAGCACCTGTAAAAACAGTATTGTTATAGAAAGAGGAAAAAAGAACAGGAAGCTACAGTTTGTTGAAATATGTTACTTTAAAAATTAACTATGTTATTATTTGTATGATACCTTCTCATATAGTTTCCAGGGCTTCAGCAGAATGGTTCCAGAGATTATAATGAAAATGAACTTCTACACAATTTAATAAATAGATAAAATCTTTATTTTGGACCACTGCAAAATCTAGAGAACTGAGAGACATTCTAGTGGGAGAGATAGACATTAATCAAAGAATCAAAGTAAATATAAAGTTACAACTATGATAAAGGCTAAGAAGGAGAGGTACATGGTGCTATTATATCTTGCAAGAGAGGTTGAGGATGACATTCATTAGGAAGTGATAATTGAGCTGGGATCTGAAGATTTTGTATGTGTGTATATATTTGGTTTTTTTCTATTTAAAGTCTGTGTATGTATATATGTGTATATGTATGTGTATTAGGACTTAATCCTGTTAATAAAGTTTAACAAATATATTTGATCACTTAAATCACAATAATTACCTTATAAATGAGAGTAATAAAATCTTTGGTGATGAAATTGATACGTAATGCTGTACTGAATAAAAGATTTGTACCTGGAAATTTTCAGGAAGCAGGGACACTAAAAATGGTCTTTAACAAAATGCACATATTTCCACAATGTGTTCTCTTTGTGGTTTCTTGAATCTATATCATTTAAGACTTGTAACTCTTGACAAAGAAAATGCTCATGCTCAGCATAATATTTCCATAGTCTAGATTATTTGATAGCTATTCCTTTATCCTTATTGCTAAATTGAAGAAGAAAAATACTCAAACTCTGTGTAGTTTTACACACATGCTCTTTTATTTGCATGCAGATCCTCATTGAATTTTGTGCAGGTGGAGCAGTGGATGCTGTGATGCTTGGTAAATACCTTTTGTTCTTTATGTTTATATTTTAAAATATAGTTAATAAAAGGATTTAAAACATTTGTCACGTGTTATTGTTGAGTGAAGTTCAATACATTAAATCAGTTTAGTTGTATTTTTATATTCTTGGCTAATTGTAATAAAATTCTAAAATATAATAGTATAATATGGCAGGGAAGTAATCTTTGTAGGTATTTAGTTCTTCTAAAATATATTCACTATATCTGATCCTTGACAGTGATGATAAAGTTATATAGCCTGCTAATATGTTTTGATTGTATAAAAATTCAGATGTGTTTACTTTTTCCTTATAGAACTTGAGAGACCATTAACTGAGGCACAAATACAAGTAGTTTGCAAACAGACTTTAGAGGCATTAAACTACTTACATGATAATAAAATCATCCACAGAGATCTAAAGGCGGGCAACATTCTTCTTACCTTAGATGGAGATATTAAATTGGGTAAGTTTAATCACTTAAATAAAACATTTGAATTTATGCTCTGAGTTCTCCCTCCTATATATGTGGGATTTACTATTGTTATTAATATTCAGATATGTGAAACATGAAGAATTACTTTATTTTAAAATTTTAAAACTACTCTGTTGGATAAATTATTCATTAATTCCTAAGGTTTCTAAGTATATGCACCTAATGTAAAGGTACTTTAAAAAGAAAGTGAGATACTACCAAAAGCATTCTATAGATGTAATGCAATCCTGATCCAAATCCCAGCAACATTCTTTAATGAAATGGAAAAACTAATCTCCAACTTTATATGGAAAGGAAAGAAGCCTCAAATAGCTAAAGCAATATTGAAGAAGAACAAAGTAGGAGGCCTCTTCCCGATTTCAAAACTTACAATACAGCCATGGTAATCAGAACAGCCTGGTACTGGTACAGTGACAGACACATAGACCAATGGAATAGAATTGAGAACCCAGAAGTAAATCATCCATCTGTGGGCAACTGACCATTGACAAAGGGTCAAAGTCCATTCATGGGAAAGAAACTGTCTCTCTAACAAATGGTTCTGGCAAAACTAGATATCCATATGCAGGAAAATGAATCAAGATCTATACCTTACACTATGCACAAAAACTCAAAATGGCTCAAAGATCTAAATGTTAAAGCTAAAACTATAAAGTTCCTGGAAGATAACATGGGATCAAAACTAAGGGACCTAATTTTCAGAATAATAGTCTATCAAACAAAACTAAAAATGCTTAAACTACAGAAGATAGCTATCTGGGACTTCCTAAAAATTAATACTTACGCTCATCAAAAGACTTTACCAAGAGAGTAAAAAGAAAACCTACAGACTGGGAAAAAGTCTTTGCTAACAACATATAGGGTAAGGGTCTCATCTCTAAAATACATAGAAAACTTCAACAACTCAACAACAGAAAGACAATTCAATAAAAAAATGGACAAAGGACATGAACAGACGCTTCACCAAAGAGGACATTCAGATGGCCAGCAAATACATGAAAAGATGCTCATGATCATTAGCCATTAGAGAAATGCAAATCAAAACTACAGTGAGATACTATCTCACCCCTGCAAAAATGGCAAAGATCAAAAACCAGAAAACAAATGCCAGCGAGGTTGTGGGGGAATTGGAACTCTTGTATATCGCTGGTGGGATTGTAAAATGGTACAACCACTATGGAAAACAGTTTGGTGCTTCCTCAAAAAGCTAGGAATAGAAATACCATATGATCCAGCAATCCCACTCTTAGGTATATATCCTAGAGATACAAGGGCTGACATGAATAGATGTATGCACACCCATGTTCATCGCGGCATTATTCACAATAGCAAAAAGATGGACACAACCTAAGTGCCCATGAGCAGATGCATAAATTGTGGTACATACATGCAATGGAATACTATATGACTATAAAGAATAATCTGTTACATCTGATAACATGGATGAATCTGGACGACATTATAATGAGTGAAATAAATCAATCACAAAAGGACACATATTGTATGGTCTCGCTTCTATAAAAAGTCAAGAATAGGTATCCATGCAGAAAGCATCATTCTTTGATGGTTACCAGGGAATGGGAGGGGGATCACTTTCTAGATAGGAGACACTAGTTATTTTTGTTAAGGGGAAAGGTAATATCCAGTATGTCCAAAGTAAATGAAGACCGTACGCAAGAATAAAGGACAATTTCTGTAAATGCTATAAATACAATTTTTGCAACAACAGTAATAACAACCAAAAAAAGATATATTTGGTTACATAGGTAGGTTGTTAGGTGCCGTGAGTCAGTTCCAACTCATAGTGACACTAGGTACTACAGAATGAAACACTGCCTGGTCCTGTGCCATCCTCATAATTGTTGCTATGCTTGAGCCCATTGTTGCAGCCAGTGTGTCAGTTCATCTTGTTGAGGGTCTTCCTCTCTTTTGCTGACCCTCTGCTTTACCAAGTATGACGTCCTTCTCCAGGGACTGGTCCCTCCTGATAACATGTCCAGAGTACATGAGATGAGGTCTTGCCATCCTTGCTTATAAGGGCGTTCTGGCTGTACTTCTTCCAAGGCAGATTTGTTTGTTCTTCTGGCAGTCCATGGTATATTCAATATTCTTTGCCAACACTGTAGTTACAAAGGCATCAATTCTTCTTTGATCTTCTTATTCATTGTCCATCTACATAGGTAGATGTGTACGCATATATGTGTATAGGAAGGCACGTGTGAGTATATGGGTGTGCGTGTACAGGTGTATCTACAGGCATATGTATATGCATGTTTATATGCACCACATACATATTCATATATATAATAAACCACATAGGGGTACAGTTATGGATACTACCTAGATACAACCAAACACCTTGTGGGATAGGCTTACTTGATTTGATGGCTTGGGACCATAGTCTCATGGAATAACTCAGTCAATTGACATAATATAGTTCATAAAGATAATATTCTACATTCTAGTTTGGTGATTAGCATCTGGAGTCTTAAAAGCTTGTAAGCAGCCGTCTAAGATACAACTATTGGTCTCTACTCATCTGGAACTAAGAATGAAGGAAACCAAAGATTCAAAAGAAGTGACCCAAAGACTCAGAACAAATAGTCCATGTGAACCACGGCATCATCCAGCCTGAGACCAGAAGAACTAGAGGGTGTCTGGCTACCATTACCCACCCATTCTGACCAGGGACACAATAGAAGGTCCCAGACAGAAAGGGAGAAAAATGTAGAACAAGACTGAACTTCATCAAAAAGACCAGTCTTACTGGACTGATAAAGACTAGAGGAAGCCCTGAGACTATTGCCCTAAGACATCCTTTGGACTTGAAACTGAAGCCACTCCTGGCGGTCACCTTTCAGCCAAATAATATACTGGATTATAAAATAAACAATAGCACTCGTGAATACTGTGCTCCCTTAAATAATCAACTCTATGAGACCAAACAGTTAACATTTACCCTAAAACAAAGATGAGAAGCTAAGGAGGGGCAAGGAAGCTAGATTAATGGAAATGGAACAAAATGGAAATAGTGAGAATATCAACACGTTATGAAAAATATAACCAATTTCATGGAACAAGTTGTATAGGAATTGTTAAATGGGAACCTAATTTGCTGTGTACACTTTCACCTAAAACACAATAAGGTATTTAAAAAAAAAAAGTAAGAAAGGATGAATTTTTATTTTCAAAAAGGCATGCTTTTTAAAGACTGGTTACAATTTTTTCCCCTTAAATTTTTGTATGTAGCCTTAATACTTCTAAATATAATACGTTTAGAATATAATATATAAAAGCTAACTCAGTTTTACAGAATTTCTCTTCATTTCTAAAATTCATGTCTAGTGTGTTTCCCAGCTCCTCATATCTGGTTTTATACTCTATTTTATAGATATGGTTTTATAGTTGCCATCGAGTCAGTCCTGACTCATGGCAACTCCATGTGTGTCAGAGTAGAACTGTGTTTCATAGGGTCTTCAATGGCTGATTTTGGGGAAGTAGATCACCAGACCTTTCTTCTGAGGCACTTCTGGGTGGACTCAAACCTCTAACCTTTTGCTTAGCAGCTGAGCGTGTTAACTGTACCACCCAGAGACTCCATTGATATGGTACATTGACTAACAAAGTAACCTTAAATAAACATAAGGACTGGAATTTTTAATTTTGTTTATAATACTGACAGAATAAATGATAATAAGAATTAGATACAGATTTTGGATTGGAAATTAATTTTATACGTACACATACAAATGGAAGCTATAGTCCTTTTTAAGTACACCAAATGTATGAATATTGGAGGAAAAAAAACCTGCTGATGGTGTCTGAATTTGTATATTTTGCAAGGATATTAAAAGGACAAAATATATTCAAAGACATGCTGATACAAGTGATCATGGCTTTTTTACTTCACTTTGTCATGATATCTAAACAGGTTTTCTACGATATATGATACATAGTCGGATGTACTAAATTTTAACCTTTTTATTGTGAAATAAACAGATAAAGAAAACCACATAAACAATAGTATAGTTTAGCAAATTATTTTAAGGCAAACACCTTTGTAACTACCATCTCTAAAATGATTTTCTCTTTTATTTCTAATTTTTTCTTAAGTTCTGTCATCTCATTTCTAAGCTTTTATAATTCTGACTTATGTTATTCTTTTATGTCTCGTGTTATTTTCTTAAGTTTTATACCTTATTTTGAAATAATACGTTATAGTTTTGATTCATTTTGGGGGGCATATTTTTCTGGTAGCTTTAATTAGTTGTAAATATATTAAAATTTTCTTTGAATATAGGAACATACTTTTGTGTAAAACAATGTATACCGTTAAAAATAAATATATACATTTTGTGATTTAGGTGAAAGTTTTCAGAGCAGATTAGTTTCTTGTTAAACAGTTGATATACAAATTGTTTTGTGACATTGTTTGCCAGCCCCGCTATGTGTCAACACTGTCCCCTTCTCCACCCCGAGTTCACTGTTTCCGTTCGTCCAGTTTTCCTGCGCCTTCCTGCCTTCTCTTTGCTTTTGGGCTGGTGTGCCCATTAGTCTCATATATGTGATTGAACTGTGAAGCACATCCCTCACGTGTGTTATTGTTGGCCCTATAGACCTGTCTAATCTTTGGTGAAGGGTGAACTTCAGGAGTGACTTCAGTACTGAGTTAAAAGGGTATTTGGGGGCCATACTCTTGAGGTTTCTCCAGTTTCTGTCAGACTAGCAAAAATAAATGTATCATTGAAGATTTGCGAATACCAAAATAGTTTCGAGTTGCTGACATTAAAACAGTTGCAATTTCTGCTTCATTGGTTCACAAATACAGAGAAGCTTCCCTTTCTGTGACACCCTGTTAGGTGTACACGAATGTCTAAAACCATCCCACCATCAAGAAGGGTCACCATGAGTCAGATTTGACTCAAAGACAACTAACAACATCCCTCAAAAATTATAAAATAGATATAACCAATTAGAATATAAGACAGGATTTAATGAGTGCTTTAAGAGTTCTACCAACAAAATACCACAGAAGTTAAAATATTGGATATGATTAATAATAATAGCTACTATTTATTGAGTGTATACTCCGTGCTAGGCCGTGGGGCTGGAGCACTAAGTACTGGATTTTTGGTATTTATTCAATTCTGAGAATTCTCTGTGGCATGTCAAACATGGAACTATAAAAGTTAATGTATATATGGCATGAGTAAATTTATACAGCAGTAGCACTTTAAGGAGCCCTGGTGGCGCAATGGTTAAGTGCTTGGCTGCTAACTGAAAGGTCAGTGGTTTGAACTCACCAGCAGCCCCAGGAGAGAGAAAAGACCTGGTGATCTGCTCCCATGAAGATTACAGCCTAGGACATGCTATGGGACAGTTCTACTCTGTCACATTGGGTCGCTATGAGTTGTGTTATAACACACAACAACAACAACAACAGTAGCACTTTATGTTGCTGTGAACGGTTATCTGAGCTCCAAGCTGAAAAGGTGGGGTTAACAACTGATAAGGCTGTAGTGTTGCTGTTCCCTATGATTTAAAACTGAAAACATATGGTTCCAGTTTTCTTCTTTGTAATGTAATTTTATGAGGAAGTTAACAAGACATATGTTAAGCCAGAAAGGCTACTTTGGTATGATTTCTGTTTTTCACACTACAGAAAAAAATGTTTATGCCTCTTAATTGAAACATGTAGCACTAGTTGGCATTTGTTTTGAAGTGGATGGACTATTTTCTCTTTTAAAGTTACCACTTTTTTTTTTTCCAGTTCTGGAGAGTTTTTGCTCTAAAGATGTATAAAGAAGGTGTATTGATGATGGGACCTTTACTTTGGCAAATTTTTTTTTTGCGGTGGCGAGGAGTGTTCACAGAGGGTGGTCAAAATTACTATGGTAGAGAAATTATTTTGCTTTCTCTTTCTTAAGAGTGGCCTTACTAAAGTCTTGAAATGCTCTCCTACCACCCCTCTTGGCGAGTACAGTGAACTGTGCTTGAAAGCTATCATTAATGTTTTTGTATGGTTATTTATTTCCAGCGGATTTTGGAGTATCAGCTAAAAACACAAGGACAATTCAAAGAAGAGATTCCTTTATTGGTACACCATATTGGTATGTATGCAGTTTTATTAATCACAGTATTAGTCATATCAGCAGCTATTATTACTCATTCATTTTGCCCACATAATTGAATATACTGTGTATCTTTTATGTGGTTTGCAATTGCTGATCTTAACTCTTAACTTCAATTTCCCTGTCTTCATAGGATGGCTCCTGAAGTAGTCATGTGTGAAACATCTAAAGACAGACCTTATGACTACAAAGCTGACGTTTGGTCCCTGGGTATCACTTTAATAGAAATGGCTGAGATAGAACCACCTCATCATGAATTAAATCCAATGCGAGTGCTGCTAAAAATAGCAAAATCTGAGCCCCCTGCATTAGCACAGCCATCAAGATGGTAAAATATTCTAAACAAAGCTTTTTAAGCAGCAAAACTTGTTTTATTCCAAATTTCCAAGGGTATTTAAATTTAGGTACATGGTACCAAGACTATATGAATTAGAAAACTGATTTATGGTATGTTTTCAAGACTTACAGACCATACTAACTCTTGTTAACTTTTCCCATATTTTTGAAAATATGAGTGATTTGAGTTCTACGTGCAAAAGATACTTTCTGTATTCTGAGAAAGGGCAGCATTATGTGGTTGACCTATATTGATGGAATTTAATATAAAAGAATTATTGTGATTTTGCATACTTGTGAATATGTAGCTATATCTCAATGACTATAACTAAATACCTACTTACATGTATGTCAACCATGTATTTACAGATGAATAAGTATATTATAAGATCTTAATATTCCCATTACTTCATTTTCATTTGTTGAATTAATACTATTATATAATTAATGAAATGAGCATAATTTATCAAGAAGTTTTGCTGTTTTTAATAACAAGAAAGTGAAATAGAATGTCTTTCTTAAAATTTTGTTTTGAAGGTCTTCGAATTTTAAGGACTTTCTAAAGAAATGCTTAGAAAAGAATGTGGATGCCAGGTGGAATACATCTCAGCTGTTGCAGGTAAGATGAGAACAATGTGAGAGCAGCAAGTCATGCAACTGTTTAACATCTCTGTAAGAAGAATACAATTTCAGACTCTTTCAGTGTGCTCTGTTTCCATTTGAGTTTCCCTGTGGAAGCTCAAAATGCGTTGTAGTTTAATATTTGCCTTCCAAACATATGTGTTGTCATTACTGAAAAACATTCAGCTTGTAAGTCATTCCTCCTGTACTTTTTTAATACAGTTTAATTGTGTTCTTTTCACATTGTTAATTATTTCCATCTTGTCTCTCCAGTTACTAGAAAGTAAGCATCTTAAGGGCAGGTGTTTAATTATGTTTTTTACGTCTCTTTTAGTGAGGTTAAGTATTCAGTAAAACATTGTTGACTTTTTAAAAATAGTGTGTGATTGGATCAGTCCAATTTTGTTTTATAGCAGGATCTGTTTGTAATATTCGAGATAAAAATTTGTCAAATAATTAATATTACAAGTGGACAAATAGAATGACAAATCTTGAGGCAGTTACTGTTAGATTGAGTTGTTGTGTAACTCCTGCATTATTGTGTTTTAGATTGACCAATTTTTCTGGTGAAAAAAGGCAGGAAAACTTGCTTTGCTGTGTGCAACAAGTATATCCTTGGAACCCACTTTGTATTATTCATTTACTCCCTCCGCGTTTGAAGGCCTTAAGTCTGTGACAGAAATTGTTAAGTACTGAGGATACAGAGATGAATAAATATCTTCTTATTCTTAAAACTGTTATAACCATGTCAAATAAGCAGGTGTTTGTGGACACTTTTAAAAAAACACTAAAATTTTTGTAATTTATTTATTGAGGTTTTGTCAGGATTTATATAGATTGTTGTTACTTTTTAAGAACTATGAATATACTGACTTGAAACTTGCTTTAAATTTTATTTTCAAGAGTCGATTATGAAATTTTCAACCACATAAAATTATATGTACCTACTACCCAGATTTAACAAGGGTTATCATTTGTATATATTTGCTTCAGATTCTTTAAAAAAAAAAAAAAAAAGTACAGCTACAGTTGCAGACAACCCCTATCCCTGCTCAGTCCCCTTTCCCTCCTTCCCTTCCCAGAGGAAGCATTATTTGAAGTTGTTCATATTTTCCCTATCCATATGTCAACATTTGCGCTGCATTCAAAACCAAACCCATTCCAACTCATAGCGACCCTGTAGAACTCAAGTCGATTCCAACTCACAGTGACCCTATAGGACAGAGTAGAATTGCCTCCATAGGGTTTCCACATTAAGAGTGTGTATTTTATGTCTTTGAAACTTACTTGAGTATTCTCTCTTTAATGATCAACAGCATCCCTTTGTTACTGTCGATTCTAACAAACCAATCCGAGAACTGATTGCAGAGGCAAAGGCTGAAGTAACAGAAGAAGTTGAAGATGGCAAAGAAGAAGATGATGATGAGGAAACAGAAAATTCTCTGGTCAGTATTTAGAAAGTATTCAGAAAGGAAATTTCATTTAGGTATTTTTTAGAGTTGCTTAAAGGATTGTTTAAATTCATGCTCTATCAACTGTACTCTATTTTTAATATAAAATACCATTTACTTTTAAAGTTTATTTAAACATAAGGTAAGTTATATTGCCATGTGAAACAATTAATTAATTAAAATTAATATTTATAAAAAGAAACTTTTACCAAGGGTAAATTTTATAACTATTTGACACGTATTTAAACATTCATTATGATCTGTCAGAAATACCCATTTTAGTTATTAAATGGCTTGGACTACAGACATGTATATAAACATGCTTATAAATATCTTTGCAAGCATTTTGTCATCTATTTAAATAATTTAATATGGAAACAAGGCATAATTTATGAGCCTTTTGTTGCTATTGGTTGCTAACTAGAACTCGCTGTTCTTCACTTGAAGTGGAGCCTAAAACCTGTTGCCATCAAGCCGATTTCAGCTTATAGTGACCCTACAGGACAGAGTGGTTGCTCCCATATCTAAGGATTAATTGATGGATGGCAATACAAAACCTTTAATTTTAGAGACAAAGATTAATAGCAAGTTGCTCCTTGCTACCTATTTTCATCTTATTTATTATATAGGAAGATTCTTCAGTTCTTTAAATTATTTTTATAACTTCAGCAACTTTTACTGAATAAAGATATTAAATCATTAATTTATATGTCTATGTATATATATATAAACATTGTTTTGTTTACCATCTTGAGATCCCGATTTCACATAAAAAGTATGTATGTATATCTGATTGTTTTCCAGTGATTATTTATTAATCATTTTTTACTTACTAAAATCTTTTTCAGCCAATACCTGCAAGTAAGCGTGCTTCATCTGACCTTAGTATTGCCAGCTCTGAAGAAGATAAACTTTCACAAAATGCTTGTATTTTGGAATCTGTCTCAGAAAAAACAGAACGTGATACTGCTGAAGATAAATTTAGCAGCAAACTTCTTGATGAAAAACCCACCACTGATGAACCTGAAAAAGCAGTGGAGGGTATTAATGAACATACTAATGATGCTCATTCAGAAGCTACAATTGAACTCCAAAATAGAACAACATTAATCGAAGAGAATTGGAGAGAGGAAAAGAGACGTAAGCTTGAAAATCTACCTGACACAGAAGACCAAGAAACTATGGATATCAATTCAGTCAGTGAAGGAAAAGAGAATAATATAGTAATAACTTTAGAAACAAATACTGAACATAATCTGAAACCTGAGGAAGAAAGGGATCAGGAAAAGCAACCGATATTTGAAAATAAGCTTATAGAATCTGAAGAAATTAAAGATACTATTATTCAAACAGTGGATTTAGTTTCTCAAGAGACTGGAGAAAAAGAGGCAGATATTCAGGCAGTTGACAATGAAGCTAAGCTTACAAAGGAAGACACCCAAGAGAAACTGGGAAAAGATGACCAAACTCAAAAAGATGTGATCAGCGATATAGGCAGTGTGGTAGGAACAAATGAGGCGGTAGACGTTGATCAGAGGACAGTTGAAAACAAAGCTGAGGATGCTCAGAGAAATGATGGGAAAGAAGTGGTTGAAGTAAACCAGGAATTAATAAGTCAGCCCAAACTGGGTCCTGAGACTGGTGGTACTGAGGAAGTTCCTATTAAAGAAGTCGTTGAAACTAATGAGACAGATCAAAAATCTTTAGAAAGTAAAAGTAAGGAACAATTAGTCAACAGTTCAGGGAACATATTGGAGACCAATGAGGAACCAGGGGCAAATGAAGATGAATCAAATAGCACTGAAGAAATTGAGGTCAGAAGTGCAGTGATTCATACTGATCAGAAGACTTTAGGAAGTGAAACTGGGGATGCTTATAAAGCCACAACTCAGATAGATACAAAGCAAAAAGAAATTCCATGTAAAGTGCCAGTTAAAACAGAACCTGAAGTTACTGCAGCTTCACAGCCCAATGAACCTCAGCCTTTTCCAATACCCAGTATTAATATCAACTCTGAAAATGCAGAAAATAAAGGAGTAATAGATGCTTTATCTGCTTTATCAATTACTAATCCCACGTTGCTACCAGAGTTTGAGAATCAAAAGGAAAATGATACTGATTCAGGCACTGGTTCCACTGCTGATAATAGCAGCATTGACTTGAATTTATCCATCTCTAGTTTCCTAAGTAAAACTAAAGACAGTGGATCAATATCTTTACAAGTAAGTGTATGTGGGTCCTTGTTTGGGCTATTTTTGCTTTTGTCATTTTGGCAATTTAGAGTTTATGTGAAACTGATGTCTTGAAAGTAAAACAACACTAAATCAGTGTGGTATTAAACTTTATAAAATTCTTAAGGCCTGTGGAGACAATGAGTTAAAAAGAACCAAGGAGAGAGATTCTGGATGTAATCTTTAAATTTTTTGATAGGACCTATGTGCTTAGCTGCCAACTGAAAGGTTGGTGGTTTGAGTCTACCCAGAGGTGCCTCAGAAGAAAGGCTTGGTGATCTGATTCTGAAAAATCAGCCATTGAAAGCCCTGTGGAGTGCATTTCTACTCTGTGGTCATGGGGTCACCATGAGTCAAGTTGACTTGAGGGCAGCTGGTACTGGTACCTATTTTTGCCAACTTAGTATAGATAAACAGTACAAAATTGTCCCTTAGCTGGTTGATTTGGGTTCTCGCACATATTTGGAGACTATTTTAGTGAAAATCAATTAATATATGAAAAAACTGAGAATTTGAAAGAATGATCTCTTTTTTAAGAACTCTTAGGGCATAAACATCTCTTGATTTACCACTGGCCCGTATAAATGACCACTGTTGGCTGCCTCAGTCACAGCTGTTGTTACCACCATGAGAACCATCATGGGAGAAACAAACAAAACCAAAAACTAAAGCCCAGAACACTTTAGAGCTTTTAGAGCAAAATTCTCGAATCCAAGTGTGTTTAAGAATTACGAAACCCACTGCTATTGAGTTGATTGCAACTCAGCGACCTCATAGGGTTTTCGAGGCTGCAAATCTCTACGTAAGCAGACTGCCACATCTTTTTCCTGCGGAGCCGCTGGTGGTTTCAAATCACCACCCCTTCGGTTAGCAGTCCAGTGCTGTAACCACTGCTCTACCAGGGCTCCTTAAGAATTACCAGTGGGAACTATATGTAAGTGTAGGGTAGGGCCCGAGGATTTTTTTGTGATAAGAGGTCATATGGAATTCTGATACAGGTAAACCATGAACTACCCTTTGAAAAATACCTGTTAGAGACTATGAGTTGGTAAGTAGTAGAAGAGAAGACTGAAAAAACAGAAATAGCCTAGGAAAACTGACCTTTGGGGCAGGACTCCACGGCATGACTGATCAGCCTGCCTGCCTGCCCCAAATTATTATATGTATTGCATGAATTTTCTTCTTTCATTAGTCTACTTTGTTTCACTGACTGAAATTCCACCAATCTAAAATTTATTCACTTAATAGTCAGCCTCTTGTAAAAATGCAAATGCTTCCGTGAGAATTAAGGAAATATTAATTGTGGATATTTTTACTGAAGAAATGGAAAGTTTGCAAGGTAAGGGGAGGTAGATTTATTTTTTGGAACATGCCAAATGTAGATTTTAGAGCAAGCCTGTATAGGGTACCACAGGGCTTAGGGAGAGAACATGAGGATGCTGAAAGCCTGGAGAACAGAACAATAGGAGGTTGCAGAAAGGTGATTGGAAGGTGTCAAAGACAAACTGTAAAATTCTAGTGCATTTTGAGTTTAGTATTTTCACTTTCCATTTTTGCACCCCCTTTCTAGCCCCTTCATGCATATTAAAACAAGTAATTGCCTACTCTCAACACTTACCTGTATACCAAGATGTATTTGAAGGAGTCCTACACTTCTTTTGCATTTAAAAGCTTTTGGATACCAGTTGAAGAATAAAGAATTGTGGCCCTGGTAAAGAATCTTAGGCATTAGCTAGTGGGGGTCTGGTATTTTTGGAGTACAGTAGAAGTGCTATCTTATAACTCTAAAGTTACTAGAGATGAAGGAGGGCTGTTGATACCGTTATTGCTGGTCAAACAGATTATTGATTCCTAGTCCAGGCAGTGTTTAAAAATTACCTGGGGATCCTTTTCAAATTCCAGGTTTCCAGACACCTACAGACTTACTGATTTAGATTGTTTAAGGGTTGAGCCTCAGGAATTCATTTGAGGTGTTTTTGTCAGTGATTAGAAAACTGTGAAAGGCAGAGGTACTCAAGAACTTAAAAAGTGAAAAGAGGAAGAAAAAACAGTTATGTAAAAATTATACTACTTAGTCTTTTATGTGAATTGCTCCTTACCACTGCATATGATTATTGTGTGGTATAAAAGTTATGTGTGCACATCATCAGAGTGGATAATTTCACTTTTTAAAAGTTTAGTTGATTTCATTTGTAAAATCGTGTAAGAGACAAAGTTTAAGGTGACGTAACTGGTTCTACAGGTTAGTTGTGGTTGGCTGCTGCTGAGTCAGTTCCAACTCAGCGACCCCATGTGACAGAGAGGAACTGCTCCATAGGTTTTCTTGGCTCTAATCTTTAAGGGAGCAGATTGCCAGATCTTTCTCCCACGAAGCCTCTGGGTGAGTTCGAACCACCAACCTTTAGGTTAGCAGCCGAGTGCTTAACCGTTGTGCCACCAGGGCTCCTCCACAGATGAGTTTTATTGCTTTATATTCATACTTTATCCGTGCCAGGTTCATAGTCTTTGTGGCTGTTCAGTTTTTTAAAGAAGAATATGTTTTCTACTTCCAGTATTCCCTATACAAAGACTAACTAAAATAAAATCTTACTCAGGAAACAAGAAGACAGAAGAAAACATTGAAGAAGACACGCAAATTTGTTGTTGATGGTGTAGAAGTGAGTGTAACAACATCAAAGATAGTTACAGATAGTGATTCCAAAACTGAAGAATTGAGATTTCTTAGGTGAGTAGAGAAACAGCATAATTAAAACTGTATCTGTGACTTCCTTCCAGTCTCTGTAAAGTCTGAAGAATAGAGAAACCAGGGTAAATTCCTGGCTAATTTTGCATCATTCTTTTACTATTTTTCCGTTTGGAAAAAAAAATTGCTATTTTTTTAAAGCATTACTTCAGAGGTAATATTTGCTATCCTTATCGTTACCATTACATTTTATCAGACGTCAGGAACTTCGGGAATTAAGGTTTCTTCAAAAAGAAGAGCAAAGAGCACAACAACAGCTTAATAGTAAACTGCAGCAACAACGAGAACAAATTTTCCGGCGCTTTGAGCAAGAAATGATGGTAAAGTCTTAGATTTTTGTACTCTTTTATTAATAATGAATTTTAGTGCTTAAAAAACAGAACGAAGCAAAAAAAAACATTAGCAGATTTTAGAACTTTTTCTCTGACTCCTGGGGCTTCTCTGGCTTTGTGACGTATTTCTGGCTGTTTTCTCTTTGGTGGTCTGGCTGCCTTTTTTCTTGGTCCTTTTCACTTGAAAGAATCTTCCATCCCCATCTTGTTATCACAAGTCACTTCCCTATTGACAGCTGCTAGAGAAAATAGTGCTGACTAGTGAAGGGTAGTTGTCATTGAACCTCTTCAATTTTTGTTTTGTCCACAGTTGGAAGAGGAATAAGATTGTCATTTAAAATTCTGATAACTTATGTTGAACATCTAGCTTAATGCAGGTTAGAAAAAAAGATCATTTGAAATGTTATAGTATTTATGTTTTGAATATAGTTCTTTTGCTGTACTTGAAATTGTAAGTAGTAAGTCTTGTTTTGTGCTAAATGTGGCATTGTTTATTACATTTGTTGGATCATAACTCAGAATTCCTAAGACAATTATTTACTTCATTCTCATTGAGTATTTTTATAATACTTATAGTCTGTTTTCCAGAACCTTATTAACACTGTGTTCCCTTTTCCCTCCAAAATATTTTCCAAAGTGTTTTAATTTTTCATCTTTTTTTTTTAGGAAGTTGCCCTTTCCAAATATTTAACTATACTTATATCCAAAATGTAGTGTTACTATTATGTAAGCAGGAATTTTTTGTTGGAAGAGTAGATCTATAATTCAAAGAGATTGGTTTCAGTGTAATTGGGTTTATTTTAAGAATCTTAGTAAGAGTAGACCTGAAAAATGACAAATAATGTCATATTATTAAAATAGACTTCAAGTATGGCCTTGCTTAATCAAAATTTTATTGATAAATAACTGACATTTTTTTCACCTGCTGTAGTGCTTCATAGCAACCGGATATTTTTCTGAATTGTTTAAAATACTTGAGCATTCTATTACTTGTATAATAGAAAAAATAATTTTCCATATTAAAAAAAAATGAACCGCTCATCTTTTTGAAGAATTTCATAAGATATTTTAGTGCATCTTGACCTGAGTAGTGAGGAATTAAGTTTGACTTTTTCAGTATTGCAAAGTTTGTATCACGTCACTAAATTTAAATGCTCGCTACGTGCTTTTAGTAAATATCTTTAGTATAATGAATTAATATGTGCAATAGAAAGTGAAATGATCTTGAGCTACACTGTTACTTTTTACAGAGTAAAAAGCGACAATATGACCAAGAGATTGAGAATCTAGAAAAACAGCAGAAACAGACGATTGAACGTCTAGAACAAGAACACACAAATCGTTTGCGAGATGAAGCCAAGCGTATTAAAGGAGAGCAAGAGAAAGAGCTGTCCAAATTTCAGAATATGCTAAAGAACCGAAAGAAGGAGGTCAGTGTAACTGCTGATTTTAATTACCAGAGCTATTTTCATGTATACCTAGGATTATCTAAGGAACTAGTACTAATACTTGATAGTTAAATAGAACTCATTCATTCTCTCATTCGGTATTCCCAACTATCATATAGGGTAGTAGTAAGGCCAGGCGTTAAACTCATTTTATTGCCAAGAAAACTGGAATAACAGAGGTTTAAGGAGCTTGCTCAGGATCACAAAGCTACCAGTAAGTACTCAGCTAAACCTTGAGCCAAGTCTTCAAATTGAGTCTAGTATCTTTCTTCCATTCTACCACTTCTTGATTAATGCAACATTTAAAGCCTTATATAGAAATATTTTTTAAACGAAAATGTGCTATGCTGTGTTTGAAAGTGGCGTTACTAATTCATTTTATTTTTATTTGTCATCTTTAATTCATAATTTTAACAGTTTTTTCTCTTGATTAGCTTGATTGATTTTCTTGGAAATTTTGCCAAAACAAAAACAAATAACTTGAAATTTGAAATAATATCCCTAAGTTCATCACATTGTGAAGTGCTTTGAAGAGTCACAAGTAGAAAATATCTATAAAGTCATTTGATTCAGAGTTTTTTTATTTTTCCCGAAACTGTACCATATTGTTACAGACTCTGTTTATATAGTATTATTTACTATAAAAGATTGTCATTTATTCAGAGGAGGATTTACGTAGTAGTGTGTCTTTGTGTCCCTAAATTAAAATAAAAATAAGAGAGCTGTACGTGTAAGCAATTTTCAGAAATAATTTAATGATTTATTCTGTACTATCAGTGTAGGAGGAGGATTTACCTTTTCATGATATGTAAGACCCCAGGGACAATAATTATTATCAATTCTGTTAGGATTGGAACAAAAAAAACCTCAACTGAGCTAATAAATGCATTCTCACTTTTGTTACAAATCTCAGATACCAAGATTTATTGACTTTAACTTTTAAATTATGAAGAAAATTTAACATATTGCTGAACCTTAAGGATCTGCTTAACACTAATAAATACAGTGCATTTTATAGTTTCTTTATCTAGAGAGGAATGAAATGGTATGTAATTTTATTGGATGTGGCTACCATTTCTAAAAATTACTCTTTTGTTACTGTTTATTATGTTTTGTATAGAAATGCTGTACATACTGTGATGTATGACTTTACTGGGACTACACGTTAATTTTCTTAAAACCATGGGTAGTTTTTATTAAGAGGTTATTCTTTATATTAGATTAAATTAAACAAAATTTATGGGTAAGTGAATGATTTAATCCTAAATATATGAAAATCTCTAGTTATTATTTCTGTTTTGGGGTAGGAGAGTTTTAGCCAGTAAATGTGTTTGAGATCATGATGTGTATATTTTAAATAATTATGTTTTTTGTTTTTTTTTTTTGTTATCACTAAACTTCTTGCATTTGGGGAGTTTCTTCCTTTTAATGGTGATTTGGTTTCATGAGGGGTTACTGGTGGGAAATTTTAAATACACTATGTTAAATCAAAATCAGTCTGTTTCACGGACCATCAGTAGCATGTGGTGATTTGGATTCTGGTTTCTTTCGGTGCTTCTCCTTGTAAACAGGTGATTGTTTTTCATAGTTGAATTGCAGATCTGTTGTTAGAGTCCTCATCTACGGTTTTGAAATGATTAAAAGGGGTGCTGAAATATACTTTATCTTATACTTCATCTGGTATAATAAGTCATAGTTTACTAAACTTATTTTAAGCATGCTTATATTACCAAGTTAAAAACTGACAGTTAAGCTTGGCTTAAATTGTCAGCAAAAGAAAGCTTCCTACAGAAAATCATCTATTCATTTTTATCACACTGTGTAAAAAATGATGTTTTATGAAAGAAATACTTAGTACCCATTTATTTCTCCTTTGTGTATCTTAAGGCTTGTTTTCTCCTTTTTTGGTCTCACTAAGTGCAAAAATTTCATAAGCGGCTTGATAATACCAAAGAAACGTTTCTTTGCTATTATCAAGCCATTTGTGAAATTTTTGCACTTTCATAAACGGCATTAGCTTTTCTAACGTTCAATATTTCAAACAATGTCAATAGATATGTTTGGCATTTTATGCTCTTTCAAGAAGGTCAGTTGAGTTTATCACATTTAGTTCAGCATCAATACTGCCAGTAATTCTTCACTGATTGTCTTTGCACCTTTAAGAGAGAAAGTGCTTTATAGGGATAATTAAGCAACTAATTAACCTTTATATGGTGTAATGTCTCCTTCTGCACTGAGATTAAGCATGTTCTATCCTTTCATTCTTTTTCACCAAACTAACAGCTATGCTAATGCATGTTGAAAGAACTTTTTAACAACTTTAATATTTGACTTGTAGCTTGTCTGCTCACATAAACGCTCGCTGTGGAGAAAGTATTATTTCCCCACCTCCTGCATGCTTATATACTGTAGGTTATAAATGAAGTGGAGAAAGCACCCAAAGAGCTGAGAAAAGAGCTCATGAAACGCAGGAAAGAGGAGCTTGCACAAAGCCAGCATGTTCAGGTAACAGCAGCAGCTTAATGCTACTAAAACAGAAAACAGCATTATTCTCACAGCTCAGTAAACCATGGTTGAAAGGGGAAATTTTAACTGCAGTTATTAATGTGATACAGACTTCTCCCCATTGAGAGGAACTCAGGATATTCTTTATGTAGTACTAAATTCACACTAATGGTGACATTTAATTTGCTAATATGAAATTAAATGGAATGTTTGGAAAGCTGACTCCAGGTGAAATAAACATATGTTAATGTACAATCTACTGTTATCTGATATTATCGTGGAAGCATATATTTTTAAGTAGTAATGCCAGTGTCTGAATGAAGGCTTTTAGGACAGATAAATAGAGGGTGAGTATTTAAGCTTTGTGTGTATGAAAAGAATACCTATTAAAAGGCCATTATTTCTACTAAGTTCAAAATCAGAAGAAAAATGGTAAAAGGTGATCTTAAATGGTAGATCAAATATTTTTTAAACTTGGTTACATAAAAAAACTCTAAAACCGGGTTTTAAATGTTAAGTATGTTTTTCTTTTTGATTCAGAAGCATAAATAATCTATCAGTTAAAAGAATAGACTATTTTTACTTATGTAGAATTAAGTAAACTTGACTCTAGGTTATGATGAGACTGGTTAAGATGGGTAAATTATTTCTACAACTAGATAGAATTAATATTTTCAACAAAATTTTCTAGAACTATTTAACATGTTTTCATACTGAGAAGGGTGAATCTTTTAAATAAGTTTGCACTCAGCCTGGAATCAAAGATAGAGAAGTAAGCTCAATTTTTAGTTAATATGTCAATGACAGGAAGAAGAGACATGGATTATGTATTAATTGTTGCTTTGAATTAGCTTTATAATGTGGTTTTACATGATTTAAAAAGACGTTTGGATTTCATAGACCCATTAAAACAACAACAACCAACGAAAACCATTGGGAACCGTGACATATGGATTGCCATTAAAAAAATTTTTTTTTGCCAAGTAAGAATATTTTAAAACTGCTGTTTACTTGTTACCATCATTTCAAATGAGAGAATATTTTTAACACTAAGGAAAATGTTATTTCAAAATTTAAAATTTTAATAAAACTAGTTTATTTGAATACATTTAGTTTTTATTTTTCCTGCCATGAACAGTAAAAATTTTTATTTTGACCCAGTATTAGGGTTGTTAATTTCAGGTCATAATAGCAAACACAACGTTTGCTATGTGTCGGGCGTTGTTCTAAATGCTTTCCATGCCTGAACTCAGTATAAGGTAGTTACTCATATTACCCCCATTTTACAGGTAGAAGGACTAAAGCACAGGAAGGTTGAATGACTCTTCCAAAGTCATACCTCTGGTTAGTGGTTGAGCCAGCATTTGCATCCAGGCAAGTTGGGTTCCACAGTTCATACACTAGACCCCACCATACCTCACTGCCTGACTCTCTTGATGCTTAAATTACCTTCTTTGTGTCAACTCTAAACTCTGACCAGCTTGACCCAGTGGTTGGTGGCAGTGTCTTGTTAATAGGTGAAGAAGAAGGAAATCCTTGCTGACTACCCACCTACTTTTGGATAATTTTGGGTTTCAAACCAGATAATAACAGTACGATTTTGACTTTTAAAGGAATATATGTAAACCTTTTTTTTTTTTTTTAATTCCAAAAGGTAGTATCAAACACTACAGTTGAAACTGAAAATTTAGTTTTGAATGAATTAATGATCTGACAATTTAATAAGACTTCGTTGGTGATTTTTCATAGAATTGTGGGGCTGGCCTGCATTTTCCAACTAAATGTCTGTGTGTAAATTTAATGAGGAATTTAATAATTAACAAATTTCAAAAGTTTTTCTATTTGGTTGCTGCTTTTAATGAAGGTGCCAAAACTTGATAACTCTACTTGATACCTCTAATTCATAGACAACAGGTATATAGTTAGGGAGCTAGAATGTATTTGATCATCTAGTCGCGTGGTTTTTCAAACTGCCCTCCCAGGAGCTCTTGAGTTTGGCAAAAATGAGAGGGCTGTGGAGCTCTGGGTCGCTGCTTCTACTTCAATGAAAGCAGCGCTATGTATGTTTTAAAAACAGATTTTTTGGTGAGTTTTTTAAAGGGGGGTCTACTGGTTGAAAAACAACCGAGCAAACTAGTTTGGAAACTCCTGATCTAGTTCAAATCCTCCATTTGACAGATGAGAAAAAGGCCCCTCTGTTAAGTGACTTGTTCCAGGCCTCAAGAAACTCAACATTTGTATAATTATTCTTTCCATTTACAAAAACTCATTCAGATGTATTCTTACCTGGGAGATGCATTGTATTCTGCTCCACAGGGTGTTGCTCACGTCATGATTCAGTCTTTTCAGTTGTCATCCTGTGCAGTCTTCAACGCCCCCCAAATGCAGGACGTAAGTCCCACGTGCCTGTAGGAGGATGCCATCTTCTGTTTTGCCTTCTTCTTTGACTCACATGTGCCTTTGTATTGTTGACTTCATTTGCTAAAATATAGAAGATTGATAGATGACGATGTCAGAAATGGCAGAAATAGTAATAACCCAACACTGTAGTGCAGTATTCTTCAAAGAGTTTTCATATTTAATTGTCACTGCCACCACCCTAATGTAGGGATGGAGCATATCCATTTTACAGAGAAAGAAATCAAGGCACAGAAGACTAAGTGATCTGTCTAAAGTCACACAAGAGATTAATGGTAGAGCTGGAACTAGAACACTTCTAATACAGTGTTCTCTTTTCTGTCTACCCTTCCATATAACTTTAATTGTGATTTTTATCTTTCTCAAGAAAAGTAAAATATCTTCCCAATAGTATTTTATAAATTCTGCACATGTGAGAGATTGAATGCTGTGATTATATTTTTATCTTTGTCTGAAGTGACATTTTGATTGCATATATGTTTATGTAGCTGTTTTAATTATGGATATGGTCAGAAAAGCCATATTAAAAGTGGTGATTTTAGTTCCATTTCACTCTAGTTTTCATTTGTTCAAATTCTCAGTAATGAATAGTGAGTGAGTTGCTGTGCTCCTTACTGTAGTTTTAAGTTAAGTCTGGAATTCCAGGCTGTATTCTTTCTCACAGTTTCCATAGGGAATTGACTAGCTAGTTTAACACTATAATTTTTGTTTGTGATGTTTGATATACACAACTGGAGTAGATAGAATACAGCTTGATTTCAACCCCTCCTTTCCCCTCTCCTGAAATTAGATTTTTTTTTTTTTAATTATTGGCAGCTGTTGGACTCTTACAGTTTTCTAAAAGAGTAAGCAAAATACTGATTTTTTTTTGAGAGGGAGAAATTAATGAATTACAATCACTTTTCTGATCATTACCATTTTTAGCCATTCTTTTGCGTTAAAATGATCAAATTCTGTGCAAATAGCCCAATATATCATTACCCTTTTTTTATAGCTTTCTAGAACCTGAAGTTGTATTTTTAATGTTTATAGTTACTTGATTAATATAAAATTGCTTATACTTGTACGTTTAAAGGGCACTCATTTTACAGTTTATGTGTCCATTTTTAAAAATGACTTTTGGCCTTAATAGTTTGGGTTCTTTTATTGTCTTTTATTTGTTCTTCCTAGTGATCAGATCCATCTGTTATTATTTTTTAAAGGTGAATGGTATTTGTTCAGTCTTTTTGGAATGTAAGATCTCTTTTAATTACTTCTGAGAGTAATTTCTAATTTCAAATTCCATTGTGAACATATTGTACTTGAGTTTTGAAGTTAGGAAATTTAATTTCTTTTGCAGTAATAAAATATATTAATTAGTATGAAAGGGACCTTTCAGGTAATTTTTAGATTTAATATAAAAATCCTTATGTAGTATCCCTAATTACATTGTCATTCAGACTCTGCTTAACTGTTCAGGTTGAGAGCTCTACAAAGCAGCTAGTTTCTTTGCTAGTCCTGATTGTTAGGAAGGAAGCACTTCCATACATTGGGCTTGTATCTGACTACCTTGACTTTTCTTACCTGTTGATCCTTATTTTACCCCTGGAGCAGCACAATACTAGTTCTACCTGCTTCTTTGTAAGTCTTAGCTGTTCTGTTCCCCTTGTGTATTAGCTGCTTCAGAACATGATTCCCTGGTACTGCTAGTCATGCATTGTGAGGCATGGTTTCTGGACTCTTTATTCCCAATTTTGAGTTTGCTGTGGTTTATTTTTGAACTTATAAAAGTGTGATACTAAGGGACCCAGTACTCTTTGTGTGGTCTGTCAGACCAAAAAGTACCTGGGGCCAGTAAAGTAAAAGCTCCTTAAAGGCAAAAACTGTATTAATTTTAGTAACTCTTGTACTTAGTACAGTGCCCAGCATTTGCGAAGTGCTTAATAAAGGTTTTCTTTGAACTGAACTCTTACTTTGCTTAGTCTAGACATATACTCCTACTCTTCACTTATCGACTATCTCTTTATCTGACATTTTGCATTTACAGCAATAGTAAAAAATCTGACTATTTTGTGCATTAATGAGGTGGCAGGCATGGTGGCAATGGCTGCCGAGCGTCCCCTCCCTTGGTCTCTGCTCCTTCCTGCTGGCTGCCTTGGGGCTGATCTCTATGGCCATGACCTCTGGGCAGACCCTCAGGCAGCACCGAGCTAGTGGGCCCCTGTTCTGGGTTCCCAGCTCCTTTGTGGCCTGAGGCCCTGCTGTGGGGTGGGAAGGGAGGAAAGAGAGGCATCGGAGAGGGTGTTTGGAAGAATGTGTGCGAGTTTAATGACATCTCAAAGTGAGCCAAACTGGGCTGAAGCCTCCGCCTCGGTGGGGCCAGGTACATGGCCAGGCTCCCAGCTCCCTCGCAGGAAGCCCCAGCCTTGGTGACTTGCCAGGCCCAGAGGGCAGAGCAGGCTTCGTGATGGTGAATGCAGGGCTTGCAGGGATTGGAGTAGAGCCCTGGAGGTGACTCCCCTAGGGAAGCTCTGAACCAGCACAGGAGGAAGGTGAAGTGATTAAGCCATGGATCCTCCAGTCACACAGCCTGGCTTTATCCAGCTTTGTCTCTTCCAAGTCTCCTTCTCTGCAGAGGAATAATCCATAACTGGACTCGTCACAGTTATGAGCACATCAGTAAATCTTAGCTGTTAATATTTCTGTGATCATATTTTCTAAATAAAATCAAACGGATAATCTGAAAATAGAAAAAAAAAAAAAAACTCCTCCATTTTCACATAACGCCAGTTTTCACATAGTGACCTGGTCTTTGGAACCTAACCATGTCGATAAGTGAGGAGTGGGTGTATTATAGTAATATGATAAAAAATTGCACTGATGAAAAATTGCACTCACTTGTGTAGTGACACTGCTGTATATTTACCTTTTTTATTTTAACGTAAATAACGTATTTATTCATCCCATCCTGTACTTTTCACCTGATTTGAGTCTAAATGTAAAATTTACATTTACACTAGTTACTTTGGATCCATTGTTCCTGTCTACACAGATATATATATTTTTTAAATCCTTTATGCAGTGGTAAAAATACTGAACAAAAGAGAGTCCTTTGATATATACGCAGGTTATATTAAATTTATTAAATAAATTTACATATAGAAATTTTGCAACAAACTTAGAAAAATAATTTTTATTACAAATAATTACTGTAGGAAAATAAAATAATATAGAGAAGCTTGAACAATTTATTATAATGACTTAAAAGATAGGCATGGAGATTTTGTATCTCTTTAAATAAAACCCAAAAGCTTTTATTCTAGGTAGTTGAATTTAAATATTCATTGAGTTTCTTTGGCTGTGATAAAGTTATATAGGTGACTAGTCAAGTTGGTTATTTTATAGAGGCAATTTATTAGTCTATTCTTTTGCAACATTATATGTTTGTATTTATGCTAAAATATCACTGATGATGCAGGTGACACAGCATTTGTGACTCCAGATTACTTTAACAGGATGGCAGGAGCTGTAAGGAACTGATTCTAACCTCCAGAAACACTGTACCAAATCAAAATCAGTTGCCGTAGAGTTGATTCTGACTGATGGGGACCCCATGTGTGCAGAGTAGAACTGTACCCTATAGGGTTTTCAAGGCTGTGACCTTTTGGAAGCAGATCACCAGGTCTTTCTTTTAAGGTGCCTCTGGATGATTCAAACTGCCAACTTTCAGTTAGTAGACCAGCACTTAACTGTTTGCGCCACCCAAGGACTCCAGAAACACTGTAGTAAGGCAACATCTTGAGGAACATTGCTAGACTTACTCCCTTGTGTTCCAAAGACTAGGTTGGCAGTGATCCAGATCATGGCAGACTGTCCAAAGCTTAAGAATAATTCGAAAATTAATCTTGGATTTTCTTTTCTTTTGGATATGCCAGAGGAGGGACTATGAGGGGAGTGCTGCTTCAGTCTTAAATTTCCAAATCCAGATTGATTTGACTATCCCTTGAGCTAATCACAAACTGGAACTTCCAAGAGAAGAATGGAGATTCAAATATTTACTGGCAAAATTTACATTTCTTTAATTTGAATATTGTTCTTTTCCTTCTATAAATATAGGATCTAGCATAAAGACCACAAGTCACTTTAACATTTCCTTTTCTTATACAGTAATTGAAGGATGTTTTTAAAATATAAACTTGGCACTTGGGCAAATAGTATGTACTCAAATACTTGAGTGAACGAGTGAATCCCAAATGAAACATGTTAGTAGAAATGCAGGAATTTGTTTATAGATTTATAATATGTAACTTTTTTGTCTTATTCCTAGTTCACATTTCTCTTGCAATGCATTATTTCTCATTAAGTCCTCAAACCATTGTTTTCCTTTTTAGACACAAGCTGTAGATACAGAAACTATCTTCCTCTGTTAGTATAACTGTGATATTTCCTCCTAATTCTTCATGGAAAAATAGAGGTTTAAAATTCTGATACCTGCTTTACTTATTGGCTATTTATTGCCTTTTTTTCCCTAAAAGGCATTTGTTGTTTATTTTTGTTTTATCCAAACCATAGTGGAATAGTCAATTTTGGAAGCTGTAAATGTATTTTTTTCCCAAAGTTGCCAGTGTAATAGGACACTTTAATTACGAGTGGGTTATAGACTTCTTTTGTGTATATCATTCTTAACAGTAAGTTTAGAATATTCTGTATTATAAGTCTTTATTTTTCTGGACTTGAATTACGTGACTAATACATTTATGTTATATATCTACTGTATAATTCTGATGATTTCTAAGTAAGTAAACTTTGCAAACTTGGTTTGGAAATCTTGTTAACCACTAATATATGCATTCATACAGATAAGTGGTTGTTTACGTGTACTACTAACTTACGGTTAACTGTATCTAATAGGAACAAGAGTTTGTTCAGAAGCAACAACAAGAATTAGATGGCTCTTTGAAAAAGATCATCCAACAACAGAAGGCAGAGTTAGCCAATATTGAAAGAGAGTGCCTGAATAACAAACAACAGCTCATGAGAGGTATATAGAATTATGTGGCGTGTGTGCGTATGTAAAATGATGTCTCAAAACCATTACTAAGATATTACTTGGAAAGTATATAAATGTTTTCCTTTGCTAGGGTGGTGGAGAGAAGGATAAAGAAAGTTGTGGTAAATAAGAGAAAAAACTTAATAGAATTATTTTATGCAAAATATAGAATTATTTTATGACAGTAGAAGTGAACATAAACATGTAATCCTTAAAACATCTTCTTGTCCAGATGAGGCCAGAAATATACTTGAATAATTCTGTGTACTCATTATGCCTTGTAATGGTTAGCGTATTTAATGGTTACATGCTCGAATGGGATTTTAAGCACTTACTTTCCCTGACAATATAGCTTGGAGTATTTTCTTTCTCATTAAGATGATTAAATGGAATCTTGGTGTTGGGGATGGAGGATTCACTGTTCATAGGAAATTAGAACAGAATGGAAAGTAATAATAGATACTAATATCTTTATATTGATAAAATTTCATTTATAGCTTAGAATGTCTGTGTGTATAAGTTAGTGTATATAGAACACTTTAATGTAAATATCAAAGTCCAAAAGTACATTTGTAAAAAGAGCAAGGTGACATTCTGAAAATTGCTTTCTTCTTCTAGCTCGAGAAGCTGCAATTTGGGAGCTTGAAGAAAGACACTTACAAGAAAAACACCAGATGCTGAAACAGCAACTTAAAGATCAGTATTTCATGCAAAGACATCAGCTACTTAAGCGCCACGAGAAGGTTAATGAAATAAAATTCGTTCACTCTTTTGTTCATTTTAAAGACTGCAAAACTATTCAGTTTTGCTGTTTATATTTCTTAGAGAATGAACTTTAAATTTCCTTTCTGTCTTTCTTTTATCCTAATATTTCTGTGATGAAGTTTGGAATAATAGTTATATCTGGATCATGATTGCAAACTTCTTTTCTACAAATTATAAGGAAGATAACTAATTACAATGTTTAAAGTTCTCTTATACATTGTGATCTTCATCTTGTTTCTCAGAGGTAGCTATTTTGGCTCCATTTGTGCTTTAACTATCTTAAAAGTGTGGATTCTCTGTACGTAGTAAAAGAGAGTTCCAATATAAGGCTCTTACCACTAGTAACTTTTATTTTCCTTGTAAATTCTTTTTTGCTTGATATTTTGGTGGTCACAGTACAACAAAAGACAGGGTAATTTTGGGAAACAACAACAAAAAAATTATGTTGAGCATACGTGTGTACTGAGTATTAAATTACATCTACATCATTGGATTCTGTTGAAAACTTACATAGGAGACAGAACAAATGCAGCGCTACAATCAACGACTTATTGAGGAATTGAAAAACAGACAGACTCAAGAAAGAGCAAGGCTGCCCAAGATTCAGCGCAGTGAAGCCAAGACTCGAATGGCCATGTTTAAGAAAAGCTTGAGAATTAACTCAACAGCCACACCAGATCAGGACCGTGAAAAAATTAAACAGGTAAATAAGTAAATACCTCCCTTCTCTTTCAGGTTTTAAAATTTTAAATGGATTTTAGAAATGCTACATAGTTGTGTTGTAAATAGTTAGAGCCACCTTGCACTTGTTGATGTTTGGTTCAGCTCTACATACTGGGACTAGATGTATGGCATATACCAACTTAGTTTTCCTAAGATGGTAATCACAGAGGGCAAAGCCCTCCTTCCTGTGCCCCACACCAGATTCTGGGCTAGACTGGTCCTGAGACCAACCCTGGGAATGAGATGACTTGGACAGATTTTTGAGTAAATACATGGCATCACTATGATACTTACGCAGTCACAGGTCCCATATACAAATTAACTGATGTCACCAAGCAGATAGGAGGATCTAGGTTTTAATCAAAAGTCCTCCCTAAAGCCATGCTGTAGCCTTCCAGCTTCAAATAACGGCATATTATTACTTGCAGCTTTAGTTTCTTGTACTTTAAGTTTTGTTAAATTCCTTAATTATACGTTTGGAGTAGGCACAACTTACAATGCTCATTAACCATAATTTATCTTTTGTTTTTCTTATTTATAGTTTTCGACTCAGGAAGAAAAGAGGCAGAAAAATGAGAGAATGGCTCAGCATCAGAAACATGAAAATCAGATGCGGGATCTTCAGTTGCAGTGTGAAGCCAATGTCCGAGAACTGCATCAGCTGCAGGTCAGGTAGAACCGTGTGCAGGCAGAGCTTGTAGATGGGCCACACAGTGGCTGTGCAGAAAACAATAGCTAACCAAAGTAAACTGTACACTACTCATGAAAATGCTGGGATATAAGGCTGAGTTTCCTTTGTAGACCCAAGTGAAGATCAGTTTAGTATCAGAGGCACTTGCTTAGATTTTATATAACCATGATTAATGTAAACATGCAGCTAAATTATAATCTAGGAAATAGAGTCTTTCAAAAGCAGTACTGTGTGTTGTTTTTAGCATATTTTGCAAAAAAGATATACAAAGTTTTCAAAATAAAGTAGGCAGCTTTGTTTTCAGATTCTGAATTAAAAATGTCTTTGCGTTTTGAGAAAAATAGTTCATTTTCAGGTATTTGAAAAATGTGATAAACTAAAATATATGGGAATTTTTAAAGGTTACTCTAGGAGAGGACCCTTTGTGGCCTCTACCTGGATTACTAGCCTCTTTAGTATCTAGCCTAAAATGTTTAAAATTTCAAGAGTAGTGAAATTATGTACTTTGAAGGCTTGGTGCTTTATGTACTTGCTTTACTAATTCCACGTTCTGGTACCAACGGATAAAATGCATACAAGCTGCCTTCTAAAGTGTCAGTTTTATGAGCAAACCTTAGTAAGGATAAACAAAGGCTCAAACTAATTCTTTCTGTGTAAGTTCTTTTTATATGGTAATAGATGTAGCTTCTAAACTTGCAAAAATGAAGTTATGACTCATTTCATAATTCTTGGCCCTTGGTTTTTAGAGGAGAACTTGAATCTCAATAATAGCTCGATGAGTAATTTATTATTTTGGAAGATAATTGTATTTGTGAAAAGTTGCTTAGTTGATCTGAATTTTTTTTAATCCAAACTTTATTTTCAGAATGAAAAATGTCACCTATTAGTTGAGCATGAGACTCAGAAACTGAAGGAGTTAGATGAGGAGCACAGCCAAGAATTAAAGGAGTGGAGAGAGAAATTGAGACCTAGGAAAAAGGTAATTTTAAAAACTTTGATTAAAATTATATGCTTGCATTCATCCATCCGTACACCCAGCCACTGGTTTTTTACTGCGTATGTGTCAGGTACAGGAGATACAGAGATGAAAAGACAAAGTGTCCCGAAAAGGTTCACAGTCTAATGACAAGCAATTACAAATCTGTAGGATCTGCTCTGAAGGAGGTAAGTGTAAGATACCGGGGAAAGGAGCACAATGTACAAGCAAAGAAGGAGGAGTGCTTATATCTGCCTGGGGAAGTCAGGGAAAGCCTTAGCAAGGAGGTGCCTTGCAAGCCAAGGGAGGCTTGAAGGAGGAGTAAGAGCTTGCTAGGCAGATGGTCATGTTGGGGTGGGGGAGGCATTTTATGTAGAAGGAAGAGCATGAGTGAAAATGATGAGTACAGAGAATTTCAACTAGTTCTCTAAAGGTGTGTGCACCTGTATGTATGCATTAGGGAGGGGGAGAAAGAGGAAAGGAAGTGATGACAGGTGAGTCTGGACAGATGTACTGGAGCCAGATTACAAAGACCCTGTATGCTAATTAAATTTACAGTCCAGTAAAATTGGGAGGACTCCCATCCTTCCCTCCTCCATCATTCCCTTGCTCCCTCCCTCCATCCATTTTCCCTGTTTGTACTTGACTCCCTGCTAGCTTGGTCCTATTTGTCAGCCATTTCAACTCTGTTTTTACTGTCACCATATGATCCCTATCCCCTTGCTAACCTTCAAACTTAAACCCTTATTTTCTCTTGGGTTTCTTCCCTACTGTACATTTCAGCTATTCCTTCCTTCCATTCATCTAATTAACCAGTCAGGAAAATATATATGTAGCCCCTATCAAGGTGCTTAGAGTTTCTAAAGGAAACAAAATGACTAAATCAGTTGATAGTGTGGCTTTTTGATTGAAATTTCTGTTTATTTAAAAAAAATTTGGATAGGTAATACATTCATGTGATTCAGAATTCAAACGGTATGAAAGGATAAAGAGTGAAAAGTCCCTCCCTCCAGTTTCTCGTTAACTCCTTGCAGTCTAGCTTTCACCTCAGACTCGCCAGTTGAACTTGTTGACGATGGTCACAAGTGAGTTGGTAATAACCAAATCCTATCTATGGTCTTCTATATAGACCCTAGTGAAGATCAGTTTAGTATCAGAGGCACTATTGTTAAAAATCTTGTTTCTTAAAATTCTCTTCTTGTCTGGCTTTTGTGATGTAACTGTTCTTGCTCTATGTTCTTTATCACCTTCTCTTTGTCTTCTAGTCACCTGAAATGTAGACATTTGCCACTTTTATGTCCTTAGCTCTATTCTTTCTCTGAATTCTTCACCTTGGTGATCTTGTAGCTAGTCATAGTTTAAACTGTTGCATATTTAAGGACAATTCCAAAGCTTGTATACTAAGGGTTGTATAGAGCACAAGCTCTAGAGTCAGACAGATCTGGGTTCAGATCTCGTTGTTGCCACTTACTGATTAATTTTGTCATTTAACATTTCTGAGCCTGGTTTTCCTCAGTTGTACAACGAGGATGATACTGCCTACCTAACTGGGGCTAAAAGAGTTAAAACAAGTAATGTTTATCCCAGTACCTGAGCCGTAGTCAGGGTTCATTGAATTATTGCTATTGCTATTATTATTTATTGTTTTTATTATTACCAGTCCAAGCTCTGTGCTCATGTTTTCCATCTGCATGTTCGATTCCTTATCATTTCATTCAGGCCTCTGTTCAAATATCTCATTAAAAGTTCCTTTTTTGATGATTATCTATAAAACAGGCCCCATGCCCACCTAAACATTCTCTGTCTCCTCACCTTTCTTTATCTTTCTTGATAATATTCATCACCATCAGGCATATTTGTTTATCATTTGTCTTCTTTCATAAGAAAGCAGGGCTATTATCTGTTTGTTCACTGATGTATAGCCAACTTTTGGAACAGTTCCTGGCACATTGTAAATGATCAATACATACTTGTTGAATGTTGACTAAAGAATGAAAACTCAATTCTTGAGTTTTTTCTTAGTTATCTAGTGCTGCTGTAACAGAAATACCACAAGTGGATGGCTTTAACAAAATTTATTCTCTCCCAGGTTAGTAGGCTAGAAGTCCAAATTCAGGGCACGAGCTCTAGGGGAAGAGAGAGAGGGCTTTCCCTCTGTTTCAGCTCTGGGGGAGGGTCCTTGTCTCCTTTCAACATCTGTGGGCCTGCCGTTCCTTGGCAATCTTCATGTGTCTTGGTATCAGTCTTCCCCTGGGTCTAGAAGGTTCTCAGCGCAGGGACCCTGGGTCCAAAGGACATGCTTCATTCCCAGCTCTTCTTCCTTGGTGGTAGTGAGGCTCCTCTACTGTTTGCTCAGGAGCTCTGGTGGTACAGTGATTAAGAGCTATGGCTGCTAACCAAAAGGTCAGCAGTTTGAATCCACCAGCTGCTCCTTGGAAACCCTATGGGGCAGTTCTACTCTGCCTGTCGTATAGGGTCGCTATAAGTCGGAATCAACTCGATGGCAACAGGTTTGGTTAACTCTCTGCTCGCTTCTCTCTCCGTTTATCTCTTGTAAGATAAAAGGTATGACTCAGGTAAAGGTGTGACTTACCTAAGGATGAGACTTGAGTAAGGCTGTAATTCAAGATACACCCCAGGCCGATCCTGCCTCATTAACATATAGAGGTTAGGATTTACAACATATAAAATGGAGGACAATGACACAATACTGGGACTCATGGCCTAGCCAAGTTGACAGAATTTTTGGGGGATACACAGTTCAATCCATGACAGAGATAAAAACCAAGCTCAGCATCCTTTTTCCTTCATCTCCATCTCACCTTCCCCCTCCCCCATTTCCAGCCACCATCAGATGATCTTCCCATCTTTCCTGTTCTCTTAATTGACATCTAGGCTAGAAATTATGATTTTTTATTTCTACCACACCCCGTATTCAGTAAGATGCCAACTAATTTCGACTCTGTTTTCATAATATTTCTCATTCTCTTTCCCATTGTTATCTTCCCACTAAATGTGTAAATTGTTCACTAATGTTCTAATGGGCTTCTGGGCTATAGTATCCTCCCTTTCATCCTACTTTTGTGCATTGCTAAAGTACTTATCCTCAAGAACATCTTGGTAATGTCATAGTGGTGTTGCTAAATCTTCATTTCCATCAGAATAAAATATAAAGGCCTCAGTTTGTCTTTGAAGCCTTCATAGTACCACACTTTGGCCAAAATGAGTCTTTCTAGCTTCATCTTTCATTAGCCACTTTCTCTGTTCTCTGTCTATGCCCCAGCATTGTATATAGTCACCATTCCTCACACCAACCCCATGCTCTCCTGACCTGTGCCGTTGTTCCAGCTGTTCCTTTGCCTGACATACCTTCCATATCCTGCCTATCGATCGAATTCTTTCTTTCAAGGCTGAGCTTGTTTTACTTCTTCTGAGAAATCTTCCTGTATCCTTCCATCTTCTCCCATACTTTGTTTGTACCTCTGCAACAGCACTTATCCCTAAATCACTTGTTCATGAAGTCATTGAAAACTCAGATATTTATCAAGCACTTGTATTTGCTCTGTATTGTGAGGATGTAAAGATGAATCTGGTTTAGGTCTTACCTTCAAGCAACTTATAGTCTAGTGTGGGGAAAAAGGATGTGCATATCAATAACCAAAATAAAAAAGTAGTGAGTGCCATGTTAATAGGTACCACCTATTGAGTGCCTGGAAGCCCTGGTGACGCAGTGGTTAAGAGCTATGGCTGCTGACCAAAAGGTTGGCAGTTTGAATCCTCCAGGCGCTCCTTGGAAACTCTATGGGGCAGTTCTACTCTGTCCTGTAGGGTTGCTGTGAGTCGGAATTGACTCAATGGCAACGGGTTTGGTTGGTTTTATTGAGTGCCTCGTGTGTGGTAAGCACATCATTATTACATTTAATCTTCATATAGCAACCCAGTGAGGTGAGTGGTATTATCCCTGTTTTAGAGTAGAAGAATTAAATGATTTTGTGATATAGAAAAGTTAATTGGCTTACACCATCCACTTGTAAAGAAGCTCTGGTTGCACAGTGGTTAAGCTCTCAGCTGCTAATCGAAAGGTTGGTAGTCTGAACCCATCAGCTGCTGTGAGAGTGAAAAATACGGCAGTTTGCTTCCGTAAAGGGTACAGCCTTGGAAATCCTATGGGGTGGTTTTACTCTTTCCTATAGGGTCGCCATGAGTTAATTCGATGGCAACGTGTTTTTTGGTTTATCCATTCATATGGCTGAGTTGAGACTTGAACTTAGGGCTGTGCAAAGCCTATGATCTTAACTATTGACCAGTCCTATCTTCCTCAGGATAATATAAAAAGAAAATGTTTTGAGCAAGTAGTTTTATCTTGGCTGTCAGGGTAAATTCAATTTATAATACCAGCACATAACAACTTCTTTTTCCGTTCCTTTTTAAGACACTGGAAGAAGAGTTTGCCAGGAAACTGCAGGAACAGGAAGTGTTCTTTAAAATGACCGGGGAGTCCGAATGCCTTAACCCTTCAGCACAGAGCCGGATTTCCAAATTCTATCCTATTCCTAGCTTGCATTCCACGGGGTCGTAACAGTGGGAGCAGTCTTTGATTGGGTTTGGCTCTTTTAAATATGTCATTCTATTCTCTTCATCTTCTGCCACAGTCTGTGTCACATAGTTCACGGAGACAATCACCTGCCTCACCTTCTAGGTGTTTTTTCATTTGTTTGTTTTAAAGCAAAGATGAAGGGGAAAGGAACTAAGACAGATGCTGGGCCATGTTGGCAAAGTGGCATCTTGCAGTAATTCCCTAAGGTGATTTTCTATGTTAATCTAAAAATTTTTGTTCTTTAGACACTGTTACTTGAGAAACTGTTAGAGAAATGTTTAAAGTTATTAAAAAAACAAAAACAAAAAAACAACTGTTATATCACTTAGTATCAATAAATATCTTTTTATCTGATCTAATGTCTCGATGATGCCTAAATTCTGTAGCTGAAACTCTGCTGTCAAGAGTTGGAATAATTTTCTTTTGGTGAATCAGCTCTCATGAGAAAGTTGTGAGTTGCTCAAAATATGCTATTGACTCAGTAAATATATTTTATCTCTAAACATAGGCGCAAACTCTTTTAAAATAGAAAATTTATTTCATTAATTTGTCTGAAATAATAACCTGTTTAGGCATGAGCTAATAATTAAGGGTGCTAGTTTTGTTAATATAGTGCCTAAAACACTCAATTTCAATCAAGTTTAAAGTAGGATTTTCTTTTCTGATTCAACAGGAACAAAATACCCTTATCATCAGACATAACTGTTTTTTAAAATTGTGCTCTTACTACATTTGATAGAAATTTTCATCCTACAATATATGTTGTACAAAGTTTGGAAATATGAACAAGAGCAAAAAAGGGGCAACTTTTAGATGTCCAAGTAGGAAATGTAAAACTCAACAAATTAAAAGTGATGTAGATTTAGCTGTCCCAGTTTATTTCCTAAAATTATACATGAGCTGGTTAAATGACTTCTCCCATCTTAGCCAATACTGTTTAGAACTTTTTCAGAGGCCTGGAGGCTCTGAGTTTATATTTATAAATGTATGTTCTGAAATTAATCTTAAAAGAAGCAGTTATTGAGAATACTTTTTAAAGAAGTATTTAAATATTTAGACAGATGTTAGAAATGTCTTTTTTTTGTTGTTTTGAAATGAGGTTACCTATATTTTGGTTTTATTTTGTTCCAAGTTTAAATTATTTACTTTGAGTGGGAAAAGTCTGAAACCTTTATCATGGGGTTGCTGATATGTGTAATTATTGATGAAATGTTCACTCTTTGTCTCTCTAGAGGCTTAGAATCTCAACCATGTGTCAGGTCAAACAGTATTAACACCAACTGTACTTAGGTGTGTGAGGCAGGACATTTGTAAATGATGCTCGCTGCCTGTCCTTGGCTACCTGTTCTCCTTTGAGAATGCTAGGTACCAAATTGTAAACGTTTCAGTTTTTAGTTATATATTACATTTTAGGCTGATGAAAAATTTAAATGTAACTTTGTGGGAACACTGATTTGTATTAAAATGTAAATGTCTATAGCACTTTCTTGCAGTTAATTCTAAAACTTTGAATGCTAAAGCTTATTTTGTCAGTGGTTTAGATGATTTGAAAATGCATGTGTGATTTTAATTTTGTAATTGTTTTTGATAAGCATAATTTACTTGGACAACTTTGTAGCTAGCCTTAATTTCTGGCCAAGTTTGTTCTTCATATATACATAAACATATATACATACATACAAACATATATACACACACATATATGTATATATATATAATGTGTGGTTGTAAATTCATACACTTATCACATGGATGTGTTACTGTATACGAAACTCTTAATGCTTTATTCTCTAATGCTGGGTTGAAAAAATGTTTTTTGAAAGCCTTTTAAAATATATATCTTTATAAACTAATATTCAGGATGATGATGGAAATTGTTTATATTGTTATGATAAAAATGATGGTATAATGTTGCCCAGTGTATTTAATGATTTATTTGATTAGGGAGAGGGGAGGAAGATTCTTATACCACTTTCTCCTTTGAAAATTTCAGTTATTGGTTTTTTAAAAATTAGTATTTTGGGCAATAGACATTTTTTCAGGATCGTTTAGGTGATATCCTGTGTGCTGAATAGTTTGTGGCAAATTAATTTGGTTTGAATATTTAATTCTATTCTTTTCAACTTGACATTCAGATTAGAATAAAGTAGAAAGGCTCAGAGTGGCATGGTTGACACTCTGGGTAAGTTTGTTAATAACTCTTGCATCACCCTTAAAACTCCCCTTTGGATTCAGTGTTCACACACGAGTTCTCTTCCCAGTAGGGCGTATTCATGTGGGTGGGGGGCTGTAAAATGATGCACACGTAGAGGTGAGACACTCACTTTAATATTTAAAGTTATGGAAATATTTTCAAAAAATGTTTTGTTATAGAATATGCTGTTTGTCCCCGTACCTGCCCACCTCTTGCTCTGCCCTCTCTTCAAGCAGATAACAGCGATCTTTCTTGAATAAGTGTAGCTGGGAGTGGGGGAGAGCCCCAGACTTCTTTAAAATCTAAGAGTGCAGATAAATTAATTCCTGGCTTGGTTGTGGCAGCATGTGCTCTGAAATTTCTAAAAGAAATTCTCCATATGTGCACCCTAATTACGGTGTCTCTTCTCCCCCCGAGTGCTGTGAATACACCAGACCTCCACACTTACACAGGTCTAGCTCCTAGAGCTCCTTGCACCAGCTTGCCTTTCCTACTCCTGTCAATCCAGAGTTGGGTGTGAATTGCCGAATTAGCTGCTATTCTCATATAGAGCCACAATTAAGCTTCTTCTTACCCTTTTCTGTGGGGAAGCTATAGGATGCGTAAGGAGGAAATTTAGAGTGCTTACCTTTGCTGAAAATACTAGGACCTTCCTGTGACAGGATAAAACAAATTGTAATTAAGTATAAACCAGAACCAGAGCTACCTCTAAGTAGTGTTTCCTCAAGCACAAAGCTCTCAGGCATATGAGACCCACTTTAGTGGAGGGTCTCTGATTTCTTGAGTATCAGCGAATTTCAGAAGTTACTGTCTTTTGTACTCTTCTAGTTTCCTTGTAACTACATACTTTTTCCCCCATTCCACACTGTGCTTAAATGACAAAGACTCTTCTGAGAAGCCAAATTCTGTCCAATTATTACCTAGAGATCTTGTTGATTAAAGAAAAACCTAGAACTGAGGTGGGAGAAGAGACTTAGTTCTGGTTCTAATTGCCTTTTTTTCTGGAAAATGATCTCTGAAATGAAATGGGATGATATTTTAAATGCTTAAGTTGAAGGCACAGCAGTAATGCCTGTATTGTTGCTCTTCTGTGGCTGACATGTTTTTGATATAGCTTTAAAATTTCTGCTGCTAAGCTTGAGGTAGAGTATTATACCAGTTTTAAATATTGGCTGCAGCTTTTTGTGATCCTACTCTGATTTGCAGTGTAATAACTTCACAAGCTAAATTTTCAGAAAGAATTTTGTTTCATATTATGCCTCTTGTCTGTTTGGGAGCAAACATGTCTTTTCAATCATGGGACTGACAAACGACAAATAAAAGTTATTTCTTAATCTATTTTGGCAAGCAGTCTTTTATTGTGAATCTTTAAAATGAGATTGTCCTGACTGAGAACACTTTGCAGCTTTTTTGATCCTGTTGTTGTTAGTTGCTGTGGAGTCAATTCTTAATCATGGTGACCCCATGTATGCAGAGTAGAACTGCTCCGTAGGATTTTCAAGGCTGTGACCTTTTGGAAACAGATCACCAGGCCTGTCTGCCGAGGCACCTCTGTATGGATTCGAACCATTAACTTTTTGGCTGGTAGTCGACTGCAGTCCTTCAGATCTTTCAATCCTGCCAAACTTACGTAGCCTTCTGTTGTCAGCACCACACACACACACACAGAGATATGGTTTCTGCTGGTAACTTGAAGGTGGGTGTCTTTCAGCATACAAACACCTTCTCTGGGAGGTGTTTAAAATATTTCCATCAACGTGGTTATATACATAATTTTTTTCCCCTAAATTTTATTTTGTTGTTGAGAATATACACAGCAAAACATACACCAGTTTGACAGTTTCTACATGTAAAATTTAGTGACATTGATTACATTCTTTGAGTTATGCAACCATTCTCACTCTCCTTTTCTGAGCTGTTCCTCCGTACATAAACTCACTGCCCCCCTAAGGTTCCTATCTAATCTTTTGAGTTGCCGTTGTCAATTTTATCCCATATAGATAGTTCTTAAAAGAACAAAGTGCTCAAGGCAGACATTTTTTACTAGCTAAGCTAAACTATTGTTCAGTTTTAAGGTGACTTCAGGGGATAGTTTTGGTTTCAGGTTTAAAGATTATTTCAGGGCAGTAGTTTCAGGGGTTCATCCACCCTCCATGGCTCCAAAAAGTCTAGAGCCATGAGAATCTGATGTACATTATTTCCTGTTTTTCCCTTGGGATGGATTATTTTTCCCACCAAGCAGTTCACAAACCTTTTGACCTCACTTCTGCTAGAGTAACTTCTTTTTGTCATTGATAGGTTCATGCAAGATTCAGTAGACACTAGGCATCATCATCTGGCAAGCGTTCAGCTCTGCTGAAGGGAGGCATGGCATGGCATTTTCTAATCTAGGAGCATTGCATGCTGTTGAGCTCATTCATGGCCTTTTTTTTTTTTTCTTTAAATGGAACAAAAGAGACTCAGATCATTGCCATCCAGCTGAGAACATACCTGCCCACGTCCTTTTTCTGGGTTCTGTCCAGAGAAGGTAGCAAGTTTGGACTTCTGCCCTGTTTCACTTGGGCGTAGAACCAGATGAAGACTTCCAGATATCCTAGTAAATTAAATCTAGAACCTAGGGAAGAACTCATAAATCTGATTAATCCAGATCATCGTTACTGAAGCAGATACTACTACAAAAGTAAATAGAGTCTGACTTTGGGTAAAACTGATGAATTTTATTTGAAAAAACAAATCATAAAAAGACACGCATTTATTATATACAAGAGTAAGTTTTCATTAGACAGCAAAGCTGAAGTTGTTCGTTTGCAGTAAAGCTTAAGTTTTCTGAAATTCTGCAAGGTTTATGAGCTCATTTTTAAAAGTTCCCAGATTGGTTCATAGCTAAGTAGTTACCAGGGAATATAGTAAAGGAGGCAAATAGGCCATGTAAAGTGTTGGGTGTGTTTTTTCCAGGATAATATGTGAGAAAATATGGAAAATAAACAGTGTCTTAAGAGGTGTAGAAGTAAATTTAAACCCATTTTTAACTGCCAGAAATTGAGAGTTACAGACTGTAACAGTTTTACAAATTGACCAAGTATACCCGCTTCTAAATTTGAATGCCTGATTGTACTATGCATTTCTGTGGGCCATTTCTCCTTAATAGGAATTTTTATATTCCATTTATTATCGCTTGCCCTACTATTATAATTGCTTTGTCCTAGGATAAATCACTACAATAATTGTAAATAAATTGCTCTTTTGTTGTGTATGTGTTTATTTCAAGTAACATGCTTAGGGGAAATCTTCACATGCTTTGTAATATGCCCAGATTGATTTAGCCCTTACAGAGAAAAGGCTGCCCTTAAAGATCTCAGTGAGTGATTAAACAAAATGCCAGAAACTGTTCCAAAGTACAGCAATTTCTACTTTCTTGTGTTTGTAAATAAATAATGTTGGAGTCAGGCCCAATTAATCATATATATATGAAACATATATATATGTAAACTTTTCCTTGGTCAGGTGGATCACATTAAACATGATATTAAAAAACAAAAAAACTTTAATAGGAAATTTTACACTTGAAATGACTTTTCATCTTAAAGACCACATACAAATGTTTTCAGACATTGAAAAGTGCTTAAAAACCAACTGTCCCCAGCCCCCCGTGCCGTTTCCTACATGCAGACAGAGGGCGACATCTCCAGCTGAAGCCTTCCTTCCCGGCATCAGGTATTCATTCTATTTTCCCTCTATCCTTCCAAGTCTCTCTTGCCTATTGCCCTTCTTTTCCTATTTGCTGCAGTCTAGCTCAGTATAACAACTCTATAAACTCTAGCATGGACCTATGGATACAGATCATAGCTACAAACAAACTTTCTAAGCCAATGGGAATACGACATGTAGTGAGAAATAATAAGAAACCCTGTCACCTCCTACAGGGGAAGTGAATTTCTTTTTCAATTCCAAGAGTGACTTCTTAGCCAACTCTTTTCTGTGACTGGAGAATACAGCATGAAAGGGAGAGGAAGATGCTGCGAGCACAGCCTTGCAGCATTAAGCAGACACACCCCTATCAAGTATCACCTCAAGGAAGGAACCCTTCTCCCCCACTACCAGTTTCTGGGCTTATTTTTGGACAAAGTGCAATGACTCCTGAGCCAGCTTTATGTACCTGGCTTTCCTAGGTCGGGACTTGAGCCAAGCATTAAGAAAACCCGAGGAGCTCAAATCTAGATAGCAGAGAAGCCAGTCTCGCTCTAAAACACTCCATCTACTCTTAAAGTCCATCTAGTGAAGCTGTTTCAGATTGTCTATCTTTGACTGATTTATACATGTATATATTGTTCCAGACTAAAGTGTTGCTAGTTGCCTATTTGGCTATGTTGTCCCAGCAGGAAGTTGACAGACTCCAGCTCTCACCCTCTAGAGAGAATTTAACAGAAGCACCATAAGCCATTGCAAGAACTGGTCCAGGGGGGCTATTCTGCCAAGCTAGCTCATGGCTTGCTGGCAATACTTCTCCTTCTCCGCCCAACATAGACTTGGTCACCTGAAAGAGGATGAGTAGGAAGTTAAAAAAAAAAATACTTGTTTTAAAAAATTTGTTGAGGTAATTATGGCAACTGTCAACTGCAAAGATGAAAGGGTAGGTCTTTTCTAAGATATCAGTTAATTTAAGTTGTTAACCCTCTTTAATTACCAGATTGGTCCCCTTTTCCTCCCTGCACAGGCACTCTCCTTCCTTCTCCCCAGCTATTAATTTGATTGTTACGCTAACTACATTCATGGCAATGTCTGCCTTTAGTAATTGGCATTTGCCTTCATTTTAAGGCTTGCTCTGGAACAAATCACCTGCTTCCCTGGAGCACCAGCTTCCCAGCACTCTGGAAACTGGCAGCCAAAGCCGAAAACCAAACCAAACCCACTGCGACTCACAGTGAGCCTATAGTGTTTCCATGGCTGTAAATCTTTATGGAAGCAGATGGCCACATCTTTCTCCCGAGGAGCGGCTGGTGGGTTCTAACCAACGACCTTTTGGTTAGCAGCCAAGCACTTAACCACTGTGCCACCAGGGCTCCTTGTGGCCGCCAAGGCTTACCTTTGTCTCCTTTTTCCCCCTTGTGACCTCGAGGGCCGGGTGGGCCAGGCCGTCCTGGTGGTCCTGCAGGGCCCATCTCACCTAGCAGGACAGACGGGGATGGTGACTAAAGAATGCACAGATATGAGGGCTGCAGGAGTGGCGGAGATACCCAGTTTAGCACTGGGAAGGGAGCTTGTTAGTTAGGATCCTGGTGGCTACTTCCCTACCACCACTTACCTTTGGGTCCTGGGGTGCCCACCTCTCCCTTCTGTCCAGGGGGTCCTGGAATGGTGCCATAAACTGCAGGGGGTGGAAAAAAGCTGGCTTTAGATTGGAGATGACCCTGAAGTTTGGGAGGTAGAGTGACCAAAGTAACACAAGTGGGTGTGGTAGAGTTTGGACTGGTAAGAGGAATACAAAGTTCAGAATTTATCAGCTTTTCATTATCTCAAGTTACTTGGAGGCTTTTCAAGAGATTGGTTTCTGTGGAGCAGACCCCACGTGAGACAGGCAGCAGTTAGGCATTAGGAAAGCAATCAGGGATGCCCTTACTTCGGAAGAAGTCCATGAGGTCCGCAGTCACGTTGCTGTAGGCAGAGAAGACCTTGCTGATTCCAGGGGGTCCCTGGGGGCCAGGCCGGCCTGGTGGGCCCTGCACAGTGTAGGCCATCCCTTGCAGCAGGCCCTGACCTGTGAAGCACCAGAGCGTGGGCACAGGAAGCAGGACCCGCGCTCTGAAGGGCTCGATCGACACCCTCTTCACAGTGGGAGTGCAGCACCCACTGGCTGTCTCATTCTCAAGGCAGTTACACTAGATGAAGCTGCAGCAAGGGCAAAGCCCTGCCCACCTCCTTTGTACTCCCTGTGTGTCTGGCACAGGTCTCTGTCTGCAGTGGGCATTCACCAAGGGCTTTGGGCCTGTATAAATGCCAATAAGCTACAGGGAAAAAGGACTTAACCAACAACCTTCCCTCAGCCCCACCAGAAAACCATCATGGTCATAATCACTCTACTGAGACCCAGAACTTAGTGCAAAGAGGCTAACTTGCTCTGTTCCCTGCAGCTTAGGCTCTATTACTTGGACCCCCTGGCTGGCTGAGAAGAATTAGGTTGGGGCTTCCTATCTTCAGTCCCTGTCCGTCTGGTTCTAGCACTGCTGTCTTCACAGCCTGGGAGCTCAGAAACGAGAAGGTGAGTCTCTGGAACTGAGATGTTTAGGGGCTCACAAGCTGAGGCCTAAGTACCCCCACTTACGCTGCAGGCTCTCTGACACCCGAACAGCCAGCTCATTGTAATCCAGGCCTCCAGCAAAGCCGGCCCCGAATGATCCTCCATTGCCACCGTACATTCCACCTTCTGCTGCTGTCCCATAGCCTCCGCCCAGGCCGATGTCAGTGCCATAGGGGCCTCCGTCTCCTACACCAAAGGCTCCCCCTTCGCCCAGGGAGCCTCTGCTGGCTCCTCCGATGCCTGCTGAAGACCTGTGGGAGGTTCCTTGTTGGACCGATGAGCTTCGTGAGGAAGAGCTGCTACCCCCACTGTAGGAGCCTTCCGCTGACAGGAAACGGTTGTCTCCAGGTGGTCCCTGGGGCCCCGGAGGGCCTGGGGGGCCGACAATGAAGCTCCGCACATCAGGACCTGAGGGTAGGAAGCTGCATTAATGGGAGCTCAGATCTTGGTAGAGAAAGAAGTAGGACTTATTGGGTCTCTTTCAGGGTCTCTAAGCCCCTTAGCAATGGGACGTGCGCTTCTGGGTCCGTGTACCCTGGCAGGAGAAGGCTGGCATGGGGAGACGCTGGGCTGAGCCCTCCTAGTGGCTCTCATGTATCTGGACTCCCAGGTTCCTTCATGCACCTTGCTGGCCCCCTTACATAGAAAAGCAATGTGTGGGGAGAGATCATGGGAGGGAACACTAATGCCAGGGGCACTCACTTGTGAGGTAGCTAATCAGTTCACTCCGGAAGCTGTCCCTGTTTTCAGTTGCGTAGTTCACCAGAGCTCCTGAGACGCCTGGGGGCCCTCGAGGACCTGGGGGACCAGGAGGGCCTGGAGGGCCTGGGATGGATGACAAGCCGGCCGCTGAGTAGGAGAGAAGAGAAAGAAAGGCCTCACTCTGGTGAGAAAGCTGAATGCCCAGTTGGAGCCCCTCTTGGAAAGGAGGGGATGAGACTGGGCCTCCTGGGTGAGGGGACGAGGGGGCCACAGGAGCCCAGGAGGACCCAGCCAAGCCCATTTCCCTAAAACCACTGGGTAGTGACTACTCCTGGCTGCCCATCCCACTCCCGGTTCTGAGCCTCATTCAACCCAGATCATATCCCCTCCTCCCAAGGCCTCTGGCCGCTGGGAGCCAGAGCCCCGAGTGGCCCCCAGTCACATGCTGATTCATGAGTTCTCTCTGTGCTGCACTGGGGGGTGCTCTGTCCCCACTTTCCCCCTGCCAAAGCTGGAAGCACCTCAAAAGCAAGAGTCATGTGTGCCCCTCCAGGGCCCACAGTCCCCACCCTATAGGTGCTCCAGGAGGACTTGGTGATGGCAAGGAGATTTATCGTTCCGTGCCACCCTTGCTGAAGCCTATGAGAGCCCAGAGGCTGGCCTGCAGGCCTCTGCCTTCCCCATCCCTGCTCCCCCACGCCTTACTATGCAAGTAAGATGAGAGGTCCTCCACGCTGATGCTGGACCACGCGTTGCCCGGCAGCCCTGGTGGCCCAGGGGGACCTGGGGGTCCAACAATGCCTCCAAATTCAGACCCTGAGACACCAAGAAAAATAAGGAGTCATGGCCTAGGCCCAGGAGTGCCACCTTCCATCCCAAACCACTTGGACAGATGTCTCCTGCTTAGCCTTACCTCGGAGCAAGGAGAGTAGCTCCTCATAGGATGTTCCCGGCAAGCCAGGGGGGCCCGGGGGGCCAGGAAGCCCAATGCTGATTCCAGAGCCTGGGGAATAAAATCCCAAGTTGTGATGATTCAGATCAGGCAGGATGGAAAGGTGGGTGGGAACGCTGTGAGAGTGGAGGGCAGACACCAAAGCGGTTTGGACAGCAGTAGGGACTGAGAAAGGGAAGAGAGGGGTAACATGAAGAGAAGGGTGACAGAGGTATAGTGCTGTGGAAGGACGCCAAGGCCAGGGCCTTCAGGTTCTAAGAAGAGTACAGGTCAAAAACTGTCCACATCCTGCCGTGCATGGGAGTGTGTGTGTATAGTATATGTAAGCTGTGCGCAAACACTCCATATATAGGACAGTGCTCAAGACACTCATTTTGGCTTCCCTCTTTGTGTTCCTTGACCTGCTCAGGGGTCACAGGTTTGAATCACTCTGAACACCACCCACCCCTGCTGGGCTGGTGCAGCCTGGTAGAAGGGGGTCACTGGGGCCATTTAGGCACCCAAGTCTCCAGCCCTGGCCACCCTTGCTTGCCGACACTCACTAGACATGTAGCTGAGTATGCGGCTGCTCAGCTCTGCGTAGTCCAGAGACAGGAGGGACACATCTCCACTGGCTCCCGGTGGCCCCGGTGGCCCTCGAGGACCCATCAGGTACTGCTGTAGGTACTGACGCACATCATCCCCTGGAGAGGAGAGGCTCATTAGCACGGACCCACTCAGGCCACAGCCTGGCTGGCTGCGTGACTGGCTCTGGAGTGACATTCTTGAGTTCTGATCAGGTGGAAATCAGCAGGCTTCCAGGTACCTGCAGGGGTACCTGCCGGGTTGCCTGGCACTGGTTGGGGGTGGGGGAGCTGCTGCCCCCGTCCAGTCAGTTTGCGACTCAGTAGGCCTATCAGGGCAGCAAGGGGGTGGCTCCGAGGTCCGAGAGACCGCCTCCCGCTTGCAGCCCTCACCTGGCTCAGACTTGGACAAAGTGCCCCTGACAAGCGATGCCAGAGAGGGCAAAGAGGTTCCACCCTCTGGCTGACCCCAGTGACTCACGCTGTAGCGCAGCCAGGATGTCTTCAGAGGAGATGGAGGCGGAGGCTGTACCGATGCTGTACCCTGAGGCTGTCGGAAGAAAACCTCAGGTTACCTGCTTGTCTGGTCCGCAGGAACACCCTCAGAATTCCGGAGTCTGAAAGGCCTGGACAAATGGTTTCCACTTGGGGGGAATGAATGAGTGGGGGCATAAGGAGGCTACTATGAAAGCATGACATGGTCAAAAGTTTGTTCCGTTTTTTGTAGGAAATGTAGCTTCTCTTCAAGAATATGTTAGCCCAACTCCTCGCAGATACTGCCAACCTGATGGATCTGCTTTCAAGAACAGAGAAGAAGGGCCTCTAAGTAGGACCACTTTGAGCAGATTCAAGAAGGCTCACTGGACAGGGCCTCAGCGTGGCCTTGATTCTTAATCTGAACTACCCTTTCATGAAGACGTGGCCCAGGGGTCTGAGCGCCATGCTTCCAGAATTAACGATCGTGTTCAGGAGAAGGGCAAAGCAAACAGCAATGAAGAGCTGAGGCTCTGTGGACAAGAGTGGGACCTCAGCAGGGGCTGTTCACGTTCCGTATGGGGACAGGCTTACTCTGTAAGTAGCTCACAACACTGCTCGCCAGCTCCGAGTAGTCAAAAGTCTCGCCTGTGATGGTGATGACAGGCCCTGGGGGACCAGGTGGGCCCGGGGGACCCTGAACTCCAGAGAGATAAGACCTAATACTGTCACCTGCCACCAAAAGAAAGAAGCAAAATCAAGCCTATCCCCCAGACAGCATGTCCTTCCCGTGGAGTTGCCCTGAAACACAGGAGGAAGTGCCTACCCCACCCCCCACACGGACCCGCACCAGGGCCAGCAGGGAGCCTAGACTCCCCTTGTTATAGGTGGAGAACTGAGACAGAGACCTCTGCTGGGTCCGGCAGTACATGAGGGGTGTGGGCCAACAAGACTCCAGTCAACAGGATGTCACTCATTTGACAAAACTCTGGGGCCCATATTCATGAGAATCATACACTCATGTCCACAGAGATGTGGGGTGAGGTCAGGGGAGCACATCAGGGCATTAAAGGTGTGTGTGTGCAGCATGTGTGCAGGTGGATGAGCGTGTGAGTGTGTGAGCCTCTACATGAGGTGAGGGTAAGGATATGTGCGTGGGCAGGCGTGAGAAGGTGAGTTGTGTGTGTGAAAGTGTACCTGTGGGAGCTGATGGACTTGGGGCCTTGCTCCAGGGGTACAAGGACTGTGGCCTTGCTGTAGAGACTGCCCCCAGCCCCCCAGCACACACTCACTGCCCTACTCCGACTCCAGCACCATGGGTGCCAGCACTCACTCTGCATATACTCGGAGATGTACTGCTGAATCTCCCGGCCAGAGCTGCTGATGGAGCCTGGTGGCCCAGGAGGCCCCGGCGGGCCTGGTGGGCCCGGTATGTATGTGGCACTGGATGATCCCCCTGCAGTAAAGAGAAAGGTTCTGAGCTGATTTCTTGGCCCAGGGGTGAGACAAAGAAGGCCCCAGGCATTGCTTCCACAGTCTGAGGAGCAAGGGTCCTGTCCTCACTCCATGGGGGAAATGGCACAGTGGCAAAAAGAGGACTCCAAAGAGGAAAGGAGTGCCTGTAGCAGTCACTGTCTGAGAGGGCACAGAAACGGGGAGCTCTCCCAGGCCAAAGTGTCCCTGTCCCTCAGCAACTTGGTCACCACCCCACACAGCCTCCCTCTTCTCTGAACACCCAAAGACCCACCTCCTGTTCTCCACCATTCGTCACCTGGTATTGCTATCTCTATATTTGCATGGGTCCATCCTTCCCACCCGCACTGAGCTCCTTAAAGGCAGCCCATAGATCTTAGCACATGAAGAAAGTACCTAATCAATACTGAATCATGGAGTGAATGAATGAATGAATATCCTTATTGGAATGACCAGCTTCACTTGAAGAAGGGGAGAGGAACTTTGGTCACCTTAGGTTCTTACCTCGAGACAGACCACCAGGAATGCCAGGCGCCCCTGGAACACCAGGATCACCTGGAATCCAAAACGAGAAGCCCTGTTTGGATTATCTCTTCCAGGAAGTCTTCCCTGGTTGAGCCCAACCACACTTATTTGCTTGTGGCTCAACAGTTTTCCCATGGCTCTTAGTCTCTTTCTCCAGTGATATCACAAGTCCCCTTTGGGCAGAGGCTTGTGTCTCCAGCTCCTCAGCCCTTTCTCCCTCCTCCTCTCTTCTCTTCGGCCTCCTCTTTCTCCCAAACATTTGGCTGGAACAGTCCTTGCTGCCTGCTTGCCTGCCCTCTATTCAGACTTGGGCTCTAGGAGCCAGGCTTGCTCCCACTCCTCACCTCCCACTGCTCACCCCCTTCTTGGCTCCTCCCTCACCAACCTTTGTCACCCTTGGGCCCCTGAGGGCCGGGGGGTCCCTGTAGGTTGAATCCGAGAGAACTGGAACCTGGAAGCCACAACAAGACAGTGCGATCAGCCAGGGCAAGGAGGCTCTGGCCAGAGCAGTGAAGGGTGCGAGGGCTGGGGGAGCCAGCACTCACCTGAAGTTGAGAAGCCTGGGAGGCCTTGCTCGCCTGAGGAGCAACACAAAAGTGAGACAGTCACACTTGCCTTTCTCTATCCGGACACCACCTCCCCTACAGAGGCTCCCCAAGACCATGATTGCTGGGGCTGTGTTGCCCTTTGGGCAGTACCTAGAGCTGTTGCTGTGTCACACGTGCACATGCATACTCACACACATACAGACACACACTGTAGAAATGCACATGCACACACCTGCATTACACACACACAGAAATACTCAGCCATTCACAGAGACACACCCTCTTGTCTGCTTGGCCTCTTGGGACCAAACTCATTTCCAAGAAGCTCAAGGCTCTTGCAAGGTCAGCTTTTGCCATCCCATCCCCACTCCAAGTTTTGTTTGATGCCAGCTCTACTATACCTTTGTGTCCTCGGGGACCTGGGAGCCCTGTGGGAAGGAGGCAGAGAGCTGTGAACCTGTACCAACCAGGTGCTGGAGCTTCAAGGAACCCGTGGGTGAGGGGATGGAGGCTCCAGTGATGGAGAAGACACAGAGCTTGGGGCCCTTTGTGTGTCTCCTTCCGCCAGGGCAAGGTAGGGTGGGAGTTCTCTGTAGCACTTCAGACCATGTGCCACCCTTCTTCCTTACTCCACTCAACCTACTCCCCCGAATTCCCTATGCTCCCAGATGCTGAGTTCCTAATAAGATATAGGAGGAGGATAAAGAAATGTCCCAGCACATTGAGCCTCATCCAAACTCTCCCAGTCAAGAGCTGGGTATGCAGGCACATATAGGCTTCTGTGCTCCCTGAGTCACTGTTCTTACCTTGGTCTCCCTTGGGGCCTGGGGGGCCAGGTGGGCCTGGGGGACCAGAGAGTAAGGTTTCTGTTGAGGAAAGAAATAGTTTGAGTAAGGACCAAGTAACAGTTGTGAGGAAGCAGCACCTAGCACAGTCTGGCATACTACAGATGCTCAATAACTACTTACCAAATGGATAGGTGAGTGGATGCATGGATAGATGGTTGGATGAATGGTTGACTAAATGGATGGATGGGTGTTTGAATGGTTGGGTGGTTGGATAAAAAAAGGAATGAATGAAACAAATAAATAGAGAGATGGAAGGATGCATGGACTGATGGTTGAATGAATGGCTGAATAATTGGATGGATGGATGGTTGGATAGAAAAATGAATGGATGAATAAAAAATAAATAAATCAATGACAGGATGGATAGATGGATGGCTTTTTCACTAGGGACAAGTTCTGGGCTAATGTTTGTTTGCTCTAAAGTTGTTTCCCTATGTTTCTATATTGTACTGTCAGCCTTTATCTATTTCACGTGCGCATAACCTGCCTCTTTTATTAGACCTGGGTTCTTGAGGATAGGAACCATGACCCCCAATCAGTCCAAAGCCTCCTCGAGGGCAGAACTGAGTCCCTCCCTCAGGCCAGGTTACCAGGGTGGCTAGGCTGGCATCTTATTCTCACCATATGCCACAGGTAGCAGAGAGTTTATATAAACACTCTGGTGTGAAGGTCAGAAGGAGGAAGCCTGGTGAGTAGGGTAGGAAGCCCACAAGCCTGTGACCACAGTATGTGCCAGGACTGGGGCTGAGGCATAGAACAGGTGTGACTCAACTCCTAACATTACCTGAGCTGGTAAGGACAGATCCTGGCGGGCCTGGTGGGCCTGGCAATCCTTCACCTAGGTAAGAGAAATCCCATGACTTATTAGGGCCAAAAGGTGGGCCTGGGACCCTTCGTCCAGGAGACGTGGCAGGGAAGCTCTTTCCTGAGACCTGGCCCAGAAGGAGGCTGAGCTTTGGGGTTCATTGTCACCCGCCTCCCACCAGGAGCTCAGCTCTCACCTGCTGGGCCTCGGGGTCCTGGAGGGCCTGGAATGGAAGGTCCTGCAGAAGAGAATGAAGAGGAGGCAATGCTGAACTCAGAAAACTGATCCTGCCCCTGCTTCCTCACTAAGTGCCTGGAGTTCCCTGTCCCCCCAAAACTCCCCACCTTTAAAAGATCCCAGAAATGCTCACCTGGTGGCCCAGGTGGCCCACGTGGACCTGGGGGACCTCGTAAATCAAGACCTTCTGTGGGGAGAAGGAAGCAAAAATGAGTAAAATCTATATGAGGCTATTCTCTGCTATGCTCCTTATCCCTCACCAGGATCATCAGTCCCAGCACCCCAGCTGCACCCACACCCTAGACACCAGGCCCTGAGTCACTAGCATAGGACCCTTCAGTCCTCCATCTGCTAGGAGCACCCCTCATGCAGAGGCAGGGTGGGGCTGCAGTCAAACTCCCTGATATATGATATGGGTGTATGTAGTGATGGGTAAGAACTTGGGCTTCGGTGTCAGATAGCCTGAGTTCAAATCCCTGCTCCACCTCTTCTAGCTGGTGACTTGGGTAAGTTCTCAGTCTCTTTCAGCTCCAGCTTTCTCCTCTGCAAACCAGAAGCAATCAGACCTACATCATAAGGGTGTTGTGAGGACTCAGTGAGATGCTGGTGAATGCTGAGGCCTTAGCACAATGTCTGGCACACAGTGCCTGACTGGCTTTGGCTATTGTCATTGCTTTTTAGCTATCCAGGTGTCTGGGTGGGTGGTCCAGCACATCTCTTCCTGGGCTTATTAAAAGATTTTGTAAACAGGAAGACCAGAAGCCAGCCCTCCCCAGCCAGGCTGTGGCTGAGAATCATGGACCCTTCTCATTGCTTTCTTTAAGTGGGGGATGTAGAACTGACATGCCTGGCTCACTTCGGAGGCCCTGCCTGGCCCTGGTCCTCTTGGAATCCTGAGAACTGCTCTGACAGCTGCCCTATCCCCAGTGACTCACCCTCCCACACCAGACAAAACCCCTGCTGTTCCTTCTTGGCTTTTATTGCATTCAGAGGAACTGGTCATCCTCACACTGGGACCTTTGCGATGACTCACTGGTGCAGCTGCCACAAGGACCGCCACCTCTCCCACTCCCACCCCTAGCGCCACCTGCCCCACAGAGCATGGTACTCACGTGCAGAGAGGATCTCGGAGATGGAGCTGCTGCTCCCCATAAACGATTCACCAGCAAGCCCTGGCTCCCCTCGCGGGCCTGTGGGGACAGAGTTAGGGTGGTCACTGCCCACAGCAGTCCCTTTGTGCTTTACCTCTGGAGAGTGCCTGGACTGGGCCCAAGTGTACAAGTACCCACGTGCAGGGTGGGACCTAGCTGAAGGTGGGCAGGGCCAGCGAGTTGGCTGTGGGCAGTCCAGGAGGGAGTGGACCAGCTTTTCCTGAGCCTGTTTGTTGGTGTTTGGATAGATCGCTGGGCAGTGGCACTACGATTAGGGACTGGTCCATGAGCGGCTGGAGGCCTGTGAGAATAGCCCAGCTCAACCCGGACCAGGGTGCCACAGAACCTGAGGCTCCCTGTTGGGGTTTAGCTAGCAGAATCTCTTCTGGAGAATCCCTGCCTTCTCAGAAACATGGAAGGGGCTGAGAGGAGGTGTCTTCCCTAGCAGCTAAGACATTAGAAGGCTCTTGATGAAGAGTCATGTTGTCCCCTCTTCTCCCTTCCCCAAATACACAGCTGTCCCTCCTCTAAAGAACATGGGCCCAAGACCACCCTCAGCAGGAAGTCCTCCTGACCCAGCCCACAGCCATGCATTCTTTTAGGGTGTGACTTACCTTGCTGTCCTGGAAGCCCAGCAGGGCCGGCAGGACCTGGAAATGGGATTGGGGAAGAAAAGGCTAAATCACACCTCTAGGGTCACAGTTCTAGAAAGAACTGAAGAAAGGGCAGGCAGCTGGGTACACACGTGGCTTCCCCACAACGCATGGAACAGTGGCCCAAGGAGGTCAACTTGCTTATTTGAGAGCAATGAGCAGTAAGGACCAGCCCTTGGTCCATCTTGGTGAGAATACCTCTGACAGGCATGAGGGCCCTGGGCAGGCAGGACTGCTGTTGCTAACACTGTCCTTCAATGTTCAGGGGCTTCTTCTAAGTGTCCGCAGTGTCCTCCTCTCACTGGAGCTTACTAGGAAGGCTGCCTTGGTCATGCTAAGTTGTATACTTTGTTTATGTATGCACATTTTTAAATCATTAAAAAATATATACAACAAAATAACAAGTATTTTGGAAAAATATTACCCATAATTCCTCAACGTGTGAGCCTTTTCTGTTATTTCCTTCCAGCATTTTTGTTTTTTGCATCTTGTAAAAATGTAGTTGAAATAACAGAGCACATATTATTGAGTATCCTGCTTTTTAAAATAATTCTGTTGTCTCCTAGGAACTTTCTTCAAAAGTCTAAATATTTTTTTGGCCAGTTCATTGTTGTTGAGCAATTTTGGAATCTTCAAGATTTCTAGCATTTCGTTGCCCATGATGCATATTGTCAAGCTGTTTTCCAAAAGGAAAAAAGGACTTGAGGGCCAAGCGTCCTGATTGGCCAAAGCGGAAAGACCTGGGTCAAATCCTGGCTCTGCTGTGTATTAGCTGTGTGACCTTAGGCAAGTCGTTTACCTGCTGGAGCCTCATTTTCCCCATATGTAAACGCAGACAGCAGCACGGACCTCCTACGGCGCTGAGAGGGCTGAGTGAAGCAATGCCTGCACAGTGCTCAGAGTTCTTTCTATACAGAATAAAGCTCGGGCAGTTGTCTGGGAAGGATAACTGATCTGCGTCATTGTCCGTGAATAAAAGAGAGCTTGGCTTTCTCAGCTCTCCTTACTCTCCCCTGAGTTCCTTCGCTGAGTTTCAGATTTGGGCAAATACCGCTATAGTCAAATGCAACCAAGACCTGCTGCTGATTTGGGGCAAAGCAAAAAAACTTGGACTGACCTGGGGAACCTGGAGGTCCTGGGGGTCCCATAGCTCCAGGAGGTCCTGGGGGGCCTGGGACAGTGATAGTCGATGACCCGTCTGAAAACAGAAGGCACATGGAAGACTGAGCCACCCTCTTCTGCAGAGGCTCTGGGGCCCAAGCGTCGCCATCGGCCCAGTGGCACTTCCTCTCGTCGGATAAACCTCCCTGGCTGCTGACCCAAAGAACTTGCCACTCCATCACACCCAAAGTACTGTGCCCGCAGTGGGTGCTTCTTGATGGGCAATAGGCAGAGAAAGGACGGACGGCCCAAACTCTGTGGAGGAAGATCCCTCCCTGCTGCTTACCTGCAGTCACGATGCTGCCTGGAGCTCCTGGTTCACCTGGGAGGGGAGGGAAGAAAGGAGGGTGGTTATTCTGAGGACCTATTAGTGGCTCAGTAAATCATTTTAAAGGCTTCTGATTGCATTTGAGACCCACTTCTGGGCCTTTCACCCTCAGGCTAAAGGCATTTTAATGAACTGCAGGGGAGCGTGCAGGATGCATTAAGAGCCAATCTCTCAGCTGGAGACCCTGGAGGCTGGAACATCCATCTTTTTGTCCATATTAGCTTTGGATGAGGCTGGGACTTAGAGAAGGGACTTCACTCATTTTACAGTGTAGAGAGTTTGCCTCTCAGTGAGGCCAGAAAAGGGCCAGTCTAAGTTCCATTCAAACTTCCAAACTCTGTCTACTCCCACAATGAGCCACACAGGACTCTTACCGGGAATTGTCTTGGATGGGAAAAATACCCAAATGCTCAAAGGACAGAGGTGGGGAGTCCAGGGTAGACTGGGGTTCCAGGGAGCTCTGCAGCAGTCTAGTTCCCTGGGACAGCAGTAGGGGCAGAATTAAAAAGGGGTCCTGGTGGTGCAGTGGTTAAGAGCTTGGCTTCTAACCAAAAGGTCGGCAGTTTGAATCCACCATCCACTTCTTGGAAACCCTATAGGGCAGTTCTATTCTGTCTGTAAGGTTGCTGTGAGTTGAAATTGACTCAACGGCAATGGCTTTATGGGGCTGGTGAGTTTGGGAAATCCTGATTAAATAAAGGTTAACAGATCCCTTTTCTGCCCTGCATCTCAGTTTTGAAAATGAAATGTGAGTAGAGAATTTCCAAAGTAATTGACCTCTGGCTGCCTTTTCAATGAATCATCTCTCAGGGCTGGAGATCCACGGGCTTGCTTGGGGGAAACCCAGCAGGAGGAGTAGAGGATGGCAAAACCCTTCAGTGGGGGCCTCATTAGGGACCTTGTTTCTCATTCTACAAGGTCTGTGAGCAATTAAATGATTCACACAATGAAAGGATGATATTGATTTACCTCTTAAGGGGAAGTAGAGGGATGGTCTCTACTTGCTGCCCTCTAGTTGGGAGTGAAGGCCAAGAGAAGAGGAAGCGCTTGAGTTTGTTGTTGGCCCACAATCCAATGTTAAGTGAAGTGTCCCCTCTGTATATGTTATCTAGGGAGGGTGTGAAGCACAGGCCCTCGAGTAGGGTAGGACTTCTGATAGCCTTGGGAATTTCAAACCCTGCTGGTCTCTTACTAAGGGAACCATCAGTCCATGAACGGATTTACGGACCAGAGATCTGTCTTCTGGTATGTGTGAACTCAGTTTCATTATCTTGAAACTACATTTATTTGTCCTGCCCAGCACCCCCCCCCCCAAAAAAAAAAAAAAACTGGTTGGCCCAACCTATCATTGGAAAAGTAATTTCTGGAAAGCAGTTATTTTATTTCTTGGGTCCCACCAAGGGTGACAGTGACTGCTCATGACAGAGCATAGCTCCACAGAACATCAGGGTTCAGGAACATGGTGTCACAGGAACAGGAGAAGACCACCCCTGAGCACTATTTATCTGCGGACTAGCTCAGGGTTGGGATCTGAGGGCGCTGAACTGGACAACAGGCAGAGGACCAGAAGAGGACAAGAGAGTCCCTGTGTGTGTAGGTGCCACCACACTGGCCCCAGTGAAACCACTAAGGATAAATTCCCCTCTTAGCACCCTGACTTTTGCCCCTGTGGTAGCATGTTCCACACTTCTCTCTGCCTGCACTGAAGTTGCCTCTCAGAAAGGATCTGCTACCCAGTAACCTCTGGTGTATGTGACTGAGAAGGCCAAAGGTGATTCCCTACCCAGGGGAACAGTCATGTTAGTAGGGAACCAAGCCTAAGCTATGGGGACAAAGCAACAATGGTGACATTTTAGAGGCAAACCAGGGGATGAGAACGCTTTGCAGAGGGTAGCATCCCTCCTAGATGCTCCTACAGCAACATCCTGGAGACATTTGCCTATTAAAGCAAGGCTCTGCTTCCTGGGGTGGGTAGGTGAGTGGAGCGGGTGGGCCTTGAGAATTCAAGGCTCAGCTGCTCAGAATAAATCTCTGGACTCCCCAACCTCAGAGCCTTCTGCTGGAGCCACTAGATGCCACTGTTGATACAGACTCTGGCCAGAGCGGTGTCTCCTTCTTGCCAATCCCCTCCCCTGCCACAAAAATGGTTAGCGAAAAGAAAGACTATCTAATTTGGAAGATCACTTACCTTTAGGCCCTGGTTGGCCGGGGCTACCAGGAAGTCCTGATGTGGTTAAAAACAAGAAAGTCAGAATGATGAGTGCCAGCAAGTCCAGACACCCTCCAGCATTAATGAGAGCCCTGGTCACTCAGCACAACCACAGTTGTGGACTGAAGCCCTGAGCCTTGCCTGGGCTTGGCCTTCTGCTTCAGTGCAGGCGGCCCCTCTGGGAGCCTCTTTCTCTGATTCCTTCTCCCTCTCCCAGAAAAGGGGCAACAACTGGGCTTGAGGAAGACAGAGGCCCACAGGCTCAGCTCAGGGGATTCCAGTCCTTCTGTTCTGTGAGCCACCTCATAGCCTGCAGAGCTCTCCCACAGAGTAGTGGCTGGGTTTCCTGCATCTAATCCAGCACCCTTCTCCTTGTCTACCCCTAGGCTGCCATGAGTTGGAATTCACTTGATGGCAACTGGTTTGGTTTGGGGTTCCGTACACTTGCTGGTGCCAGGTGGGGCCTGCAGAATTTACTGCATTCTTCACCAGAGAACATTTAAAGTATGTCACCATGCATATAACTTTTGGGGGCCTGCTGCTTGATTTCATTTTGCATCTTTGTCTAGTTTCCTTTAGGGAGCTAGGGCTGGTGTAGTGACAAGTTCCCAAATCCAAATGGGTGCCCACTAGTCCAACTATAAGACAAGCTTTAACAAGGAGGCTGTTTCAGAGAAACTGCTCTCTTCTGAAAAAGGGGAGCATCCACCCCTTGCCATGCCAGTGGGAAAGTGGGCCTCTGTGGGGTCAAAGGGACTTCTCACCCTCACAGGCCTGGGACCTCCTTTTGGGGATTCCTGCACCAGTGACAATGGGGCACAGACAGAGAGATTCAGAAGATGATCTAAACTCATTTCTACCAGAATGGCTTTTGAACGTCCTGCGCATGCATACTTTTTTTCTTCCCAAGGTACTTCTCAAGACTCACAGTAAAAGGACCCGAACCTACGTTTGCTGGGGGTGGGGTTGGTGTATAGAGTGGGAAGGGAGAGGGAACTCTAAGGTGACTGGAGGAAAAGCATTTGCTGCAGTGGCTGTCCCAGGAGGAAGTGGGAGGCTTGGCAGGTGACATTTGGAGGTGGGAGTGACTGCTGACTCACCCTGAGGTCCTTGGGGTCCTGTGAGACCTACGGAAAATAAAACACATGAGGAAGAGATGAGAGATTGGAGATGTCCTTAAGGAGCCCCCCTCTCGACTGCAGGGGCAGGTGGACACGCAGTGGTGAAAGGGACTGGGGGTACAGGAGGACACCCCCTGGGGCTGGGGCAGCCAGACTTCGGTGTCCTCCCAGCACTGGACAAGGAGCAATTCTTTGAGCTTTGCAGTGAAGTGACTGCTCCACTGGATGATGGCTCTTAAGTATTCGTGGCCACAGACCCTTTCGGAATCTGTAGAGCAACGAACCCAGAAAACTCACACACTCAGAGACCCCCAGTGCTCCCCTAGGCTCTTCCGGGAAGAGCCCTTGCCTTAGCACTTCCCCTCTGTGCACCAGTCAGAGAGGTCAGAGGACTCTCCCTGCTCCTCAGCCACCCTGTCTGTACTTGCTTTGACTTGTTCTTCCTGCGCCCTAAGAACTTGCTCTTGCTTGCCTTGATGGAGACTCTAAGTCTAGTGGGTATGGGTGAGGGTCCAGGTGGGGGCCAAGGAGAGGTGGGCTGAGGAGAAGGGTTCAGAGAGCAGATATTGAGGTGACTCTCAACTGCAATTTTTAAGAGAGTCCTTGCCCCTTTCTAGAACTCTTTGCTTTCAGCTATTAATCTCTCTTCTAAATTCCCAGACTTGGGGACACAGAGGTGCCAGGGCCCACAGTCACTGCACACAGCATGAGACCTAACGCCCAGCCCCTTGGCTATGGCAGTTTCCTGCTGAGCTGCTGGACAAAATGGGATAAGGCACGCACAGGTACACATGCACACACACACATACACACACACACGCACCCCACAGCAGGGCTGTGGCTTTTTCTTTCTGCTCTCTTACCTGGCTTTCCTGGGTCTCCAGAAGGCCCTGGTGAGCCACGAATTCCAGGCATCCCTGTGAGACCTTGTTCACCTAGAGAGAGCGTGACCAACGTGGAAATGTTTCCATTTAGGGAAGCTGAAGTGGTCAACCAACCTGAGCCGATGGTTTCCTGGGGTTTTACTGACTGACTTGCTGGCAGGTGGAAAGGAGAAGTGGGGACAAGAACTGGACCCTGTATGTTTCCACATGACACATGCCTCTCTGCATTATAGCTAAGGGGACAGGAGCTGTACCCTGGGACATGGGCAGGGCATGGAGTGGTGGGCAGGAGGAGGTAGTGAGAGTGAGGCAAGCAGAACAGTGACAAACCTCTTGGGCCTTGTTGTCCATCGAGGCCAGTGGGACCTGGGAAAGCAGAACCAAAGCCCACCAGTCACTCCTGGAGCTATTTCTGCACCTCCCTCCCTCTGCTGTTCCAAAAGTTTTGAAGCAAGTTGTCTCCCAGGTGGGAAGCCCATGGCAGCCCTTCTTGATGCCATCAACCATGGAGGGAGTCCTGTCTTTGTTACACCCTTTGGATGTAGCTTTCTCCCTGCCCTCTTCTCCTACAATAGCAATTGTCTATTTTCCTGCTTAGCATTGTTCAGTGACTCCTCATTGCTTCTCCAATGCCTACCATGGGACTCAGCACACACCAGATGCTCCAGAAATGTCTGTGGACTCTGACCACATGCCAGTAATGCCACAGTCCTCTGCCCAGCACTCAAGGTCTTCTGAGTTCTTGTCTGTACTGCTCAGGCATTATCCTAAGCTCTGGTCAAAGTGGTGTCCCTCTGTGACCAGGTCCTGCATTTTGCCCCTTCTTTGTCTTTCTCATGCTGCCCCTCACATTGGCCATCATCAAACTCTTTCTAACTTTTTCGGATCATCTGAACCCCTGCCTCCTCATGACGCTGGCCGTCATCCTAGATGGAAGAAGTCTCTCACCCTACTGTATCCTTAGACACTCTGTACCTTTCATAGCACTTGTCACCTTTGGCTTCCTATAAGTTTTTATCCTTGCTAGAGGGAGGTAAAATATCTTACTGGCCCAGCACAGTGTCCTGCATACAGTTAGTGCTTACTAACTGTCTGTTAAATGAATGAGAAAATGAATACTTTCCCAACCCCCAATTGGGACATAATGCTAAACACCTGGCCATCTGAGGATTCTTGGCTGGCCTTCCATGTCCTGGCGGACAGGTACCTCAGTAAATGTAGCAAAAGGGTTATAACCTGGATCTGGCTGTGAGACTAGCTCTGGGGTACTGGGCTGTGCCAGGGATACTGGGGATTCCAAAGGACCTCAACACTTCTCTGTTCTCCTCAGTTTACCAGGAAGCTTAGAGGCAGGAACCAGGGTGGAAGGACCAGTACCCCGCCAAGCCCTCCCTGGAGCAGTGAGAAACTAACAGAGACATCTGCAGCGCTCTGAGCCCCAAGGAGGATGCCAGACCCCAGAAAAGACCTGTAAACTCAGACTGTCCCAGGAGGTGGCAGGTTAGAGAAGAGGAAGAGGCACTTCCGAGAAGAAGGATCTTAAACTCACTAGGGCCACGATGACCACTCAAATGGGGCAGACTCAATGCACTCATTTGGGACACTTACCCATTGCTCCTTTAGCCCCAGGCTCACCCACAGCACCAGGCAAACCTCTCAAGCCAGGCTCGCCTGCAAAGGAAAAGGGAGCAGCTGGTCAGAGGCTTTAAGCTCTGAGTGCTTCAACAGTGCTAGAATGTTCCCATCCACGCCCACCACCTCAGAACCTGCCACCTCCCCAGCCAGAGGAGGTTGGGTGCCAACCAGAGGCTTGGGAAGCAGCTTCTGCTTTGATTCCATGCTCGGGGCCACCTGACTCCCCTGGCAGTAGGCACGGACTACCCAGAAGTCATGCCTGGTCTGAAGGGACAAGTGTATGAGTCTGATTTCCTTAGGAGCAGAAAGATACCCCTTGCAGTCAAAGTGTTAGTACCGTTAATTTCCCTTTTAATCAAACAAATAGGCAGGAGGTAAATGGCTGAGAGGGTACAAGTGGTGCAAATTTTTTGCTACTTTGGGAAGAGTTTAATTTTCCCAACTGGATTACCCATAAGAATCAAGGACAATCACAAACTTTCTTTTCTGCCCCAAACATTTACTCTCTGCACTATATATTTTGATGCTTGCTTATACTCATTCAGTGCTTTATTTTATCTTGTCTTGTGTTTTTCCTAGATTGCAAGTTCCCCGAAGGTTTTTAGAAAGAGACTCTGACTCATATGTCTGTGTTTTTTTCCCTACTTCCTGTGCCCAATGGATTTACAAAAAGTCATTACTGAATTCAGTAGATTCCTATGTAGGACTGACCTGTGAGTCCTCGGGATCCTTTCTCGCCATGGTCACCTAAAACAAACATGGTGGGGAGAGGGAGGGAGGAAACATCAGCTGGGAGCAAGAAAACAATCTCAGCCAGCGAGAGGGACCCCTGGGGTGGGAAATAGATCTCATTGTATTTGAAAACTACTGTTAGGCAGATTAGCAGAATGTTGGCAACAGCAAAGCACTAATGAAGCCAAAGGAGCAGGTTAAATCTCTCCCAGGGCCAGGTTCCACCATAAACTGACTACCAGCCTCTGCTGTTGCACAAATGGGGGCTGTGGGCACAAGGGGGACCACACCAGAGGTCACATATTTTAACCTGCTGCCTCTTTAGCACCCTGAGGACTACTCAACCATAACGTTGGGCATGTTGCACTCCCTTTTTGTGCCTCAGTTTCCCTGCTGGTGAGGTTGCACTAGAATGAGCTGTCAGATCCCTCTCAGCTCCAGGACGCTGGAGCCAGACTCGTCTATGTTCTCTGCTGCTGGGGCAGGGCTCACATCGGGGTTCTCTGAAGCTGAGGGGGGCTCACACCGGAGGTCTCAGGAGCGAGCAGGCTATAGTGATGACTGAGCAGCAGCAGGAAGCAGCATACCTTTGGGTCCTGGTGGTCCCATATGTCCTCTGTCACCTGAAAAGGAAATGGACACGTTAGTTTAAAGAGCCTTGGAGGGGATGACCTAGGAGGGGCGGTGTCTGTCTCTGAAGACGGGCTCCCACTCCATCTTAGCCTCACCTTCCCTTCACTCCTCTGTTGATCTGCATGGGCTGCTGGTCATGTCCATCAGACCCTCCCTGTTCCCCCAGGCTCCCTTCTTGAGTAAGAGGCATGTACAAGGTGACATCCCCTGCCCCACAAGCCCTCCCTACCAGTTTACCTTTGACACCAGGGAGTCCCACTTCACCTCGGAGCCCTTGGAGGCCTATAGAACCTGCCAAGCAGAGGAAACCAAGCAGGTGGATGAGTGTCACTAGTTTTGAAAGGAATGAACACGCACGCACACACACACACGCTGGAGTAAAAAGTCAGAGGGCTGCCTTCCCTCTTCCCCACAGCCGTGCTAAACCACCCTGGCCCAGGTTCCTTGATCCTGCTGATGACCAGGCCTGGGCATAAGAACACCTTGTAGTACTCTGGCAGAGACTTTGGTCTGCATTATAGTGTGGGCTGCAGCTGAAGTTCTTAAGACAGCAGGTGCATAGGGAATGAGGCAGAGGCAAACACGTTGCTCGGGCTGAGGCAGGATGAGAGCTTCCTGCTGCTAAAGATGCAGGATCAGAATGGGTCTGGACATGACCCATCAGGGTACCCAGACTCAGTCACAGGGGGCACACATGTGGACTCAAGTTTTGTGTCTCAAGGAAGCTCTTTATAGTTGCTTTAAAAATGTTTGTTTTTCTTTTAAGATTTCTTTCTTTGCCCCATAAATAGCACGTGTTTACAAGCAGAAGCACACTCACCTGGGGGGCCCTGTGGGCCAGGAGAACCACTGGAACCTGAGAAGGGGGATGCATCAACGATTAGCCAAGGGTCAGGCACAGGCCAGGGACACCTGATACCAGGTGAGCTCCAAAGAGCAAGTGGGAAGGGGAATGGGAAGCTCACTTCCAGGTGAGGATTGTGTGTGCGTGCGTGTGTTGCCCAGATGGTGTGGGTTCTTGCCAGGACCCCAGAAGTCAGCAGGCCCAGGAATGACCCCACTGCAAAGTCCTCCTTAGGGAGGAAGCTGCAGCTGGATTGGACCAAGAGACTCCTTGCTCCATCCTCATCAGAGTAAGACATTTGGTCTGGGGCAGGGGGTAGGAAGGAGACGTGATCAGATGAGCATCAAGCCATGAGAAGGGCCCATCCTCCCTGGGCTGTCTGGACATGTTATTTTCAAATATGTTCATCTGAGTCCCAGTCTGTTGAGGAAATTGTCTGACTTCTGATTTCCTGAATGATCTATCCACCCACTTAGAAACCACCGCCTCTGCACAGGCCTGAGGTAGTGGGTCAGGGCTATTTGGGATCCCAGTGCCTGGATCTCTGTGGTCCTTCCCAGACATGGCCCCCTCCCTGGGAAACTTGGATACTGTCCTGGGTGCTTGACTTACCTTTGGGACCCACAGAACCTGGGACACCAGGTGGGCCCTGAGGTCCTGGCTCACCAACAGCACCTGAGGAGAAATGGTGGAGTGGGCCCTTTGGGAGAGTCCACATTCTGGTTACCCTCCCAGCCCATCTGTGTCATTTGGAAGTGGTGTTTCCCTGCTAGTGGTCTTTGATTAATCTGGCATCTCTAGGAGGTCCTCGATCAGCAAAACACCTTCCATTTGTTTCCACACCAGAGATTTTATATTCCATGGAGTCTGGTACCTAGTAGGCACTCAATAAATAATTTGTTGCCTGGTTGAGCAGGTTTCCTGGACAATCTTTTGGCATTGAGAGACTTCCCATTGTCTGTGCTTGGTTTCCCTTGATAGAGGCATGGGTAAGAATCCAGTGCTGGGTCTGCATCTCTGGGGCTTCTCCATCTTCCCAGCCGGGTTCCAGCCACGAGAGGCTCTAAGGCTGGCCCCACTCAGCTGCCTTCCAGCCCTGCCCACCCTCCACTCTCCATCTTAGCTATGACTTCTTGCTCTCCTTACCACCCACTCTGGGCAGAAGGTTTTCTCCCTGTGACCACTTTCTCCATGGATTCGAAGCAAGGCCGACCGGCTCTCACCCCCAGGCTGGAGCTGCAGCCAGGCTTGTGTCCCATCAGTAGCCCACTGTCTCCGCAGGGCCTACCATAGACCCTGGCTCAAGGCAGGCGCTCGATAAATGTTATTGAAGGAAGAAGGGAGAGAGAAAAATGAGAAGAAGGAAGGGCAGAACTAAATCTCCTGGTGAAGGAATTTCCTCTTACCTCTGTCTCCTTTCTCGCCAAACCCAGGAGGCCCTGGGTCACCACGGAGTCCTGGGGGACCTTCTCGCCCTCTCTGGCCCATGGGTCCCTCCATGCCAGGCTCTCCTAAAGATGAACGGCCAACCTCAGAGTTGTGATCCTGATCCCAGGCCCAGCTAAGGGCTCCACCAGCAGCATCTCACTGGCAGAATGATTGCCTAGAGCCTCTTCACTGATCTACCTTCTACTCTTGCCCTTGTAGCCTAGGCTCAACCCAGAAGCCACAGTGATCCTTTAAAATGTAAGTAGATCATGTCTTAGTTCTGCCCCAAACCTGCAAATGGCTTCCCGACTCATTCCAGTAAAAGCCGAAGTCCTCACGATGCCCTCCGAGGCCCCACGTGACTTGCCTCCCTCCTTCGCTCCAGCCAGGGATGCCCCCTCACTGCTCCTTGAGCTTGCCAGGCACACTCTTGCCTAGGCCGCTGCCTCTGCCTGGAATGTTCCCCCGATCTCCAGGGCCTCGCTCCCTCACTCCCTTCAAGTCTTTGCACAAATGGCACCCTCTCAGTGAGGCCTTCCCTGGCCTCTCTACTCCCAGTGAGCGCCCCCTTAGCACTCCCAGCATCACTGCCAGGCTCTGTCCTTCCCATTTTAGGTCTCACCTCCTCACATGCCATGACATACTTCATTTATTTATTATGTTTATTGTCTCTCTCCCCCGCCAAAAGGTAAGTTTCATGACAACATCCTTCCCCAGCACCTAAAACAGGGCCTGGCACATAGCAGGCACTTAATAAATGTTTATTGAATAAATGAATGAATGGATAAAAATGGTTCTTACCCATGCTGCCTTTTTGTCCCTTTGGTCCTTCTGGACCTGGGTGGCCCAAGAGCCCAGGGATACCTGTGGATAACAAGAACACCTCAGCTCCTAGTTTCCTCCCAGAAGCCAGTGGCTAGGACTGAGCAGCCCACAACACCAGCAGCACCACTTCTTAAAGTGAGTCAGGTGGTCATCGGTGGCTACACACCTGGAGTCCCCGGGAGTCCTCGATCACCTGCGGGGGCAGAAATAAAACAGAGAAGTCAGCCAGAGGACCAAGGCCTGATTCCCTAAAGGAACTGCAGGTGGAATTCAGGTAGAGTTGCCAAATTTAGCAAATAAAATACATAGGATGCCCAGTTAAATTTGCATTGCAGATAAACATCCAACACATTTTTAGTATAAGTGTGCCCCAAATATTGCATAGCATATTTATACTAGAAAATATTGCGTGGGACATGGTTATACTAAACAATTATTCATTGTTCATCTGCTATTCAAATTTAACTGGGCGTCCTGTATTTTATCTGGCAACCCTCAGGGGCTCTGGAACCATCTGGAACCATTAGTCCTCCCATCCCAGCATGATCAGGAGAAGCATGGCCTCCAAGCTGGTGCCTTGGGGAAGAGGTGCTAGGACAGTGGCCCAAGGAGTGTGCGTGGGATGAGGGGCTGGGAAATCATGAAGAGAATAAAGCAACGTGGACGGCCACTGTAGGACTCGCATTCCTGCGTTGGGACCTCTTGGGAAGGAGAGGGGAGTTGGAGAGAAAGAGGGACGACCTCATCATTGAGGGCAGTGATTCTCAGTGTGGACCATGCACCTGAGTGAAGACTCCTGGCCCCACCCACACCTGCTGAATCAGAGGCTCCTAGTAGGGCCCAGAATCTTCTGGTGACTTCTATTCACACTGAAGTTTGTGAACCCCAGTCAGCTAGATCAAGGAGAACTCGCTGCTCTGTGGCCAGCAGAGGGTCATTGAGACTGCAAACCTCCCTTGTCCCTCCCCACGCACCTGTCCCATCAATCACTCAATCACTTTTCTGAGGAAAGATATGTGCCACTCAGTTTAGCAGGTGACTGTCCCATGACTTACACTGTGGGATACCTTTTCCTGTGAATATGTCTTGCCTCCCCTGCTAGCCTGCGAGTTCCCTAAAGGCAGGTGGCATTGCTCAGACTGGATTCCCCAGATGAGGTTTCCCTCTAGCCTCCCACATTTAACACCTCTGAGGGCAGGCTGCTCACCACAGTGGTGGTTCCTGGCCTGGTTCATCAGAATTAACCTGGGGAGTCCAGCCCCAGAAGGTCTGCTTCAGGATGTCCGGGGCAGGGCCTAGGGATCTACACTCTTAGAAATCTCCCCAGGTGGTTGTGATGTCGCAGTTCCTCAGGCTGCCCTTTGGAGCCTGAGGGAGATGAGGGCCCTTGACAGAGGCCACCTCAGGGCCCTTGACTCTGGAAGTCCCTGGAGCCCTGAGAAGGGGCCAGGGCTTCCCTAGAGATGTAGAGTCTTGATCTGTCACGAAGTCCTCCCCCAACTCCACTCCCATCAAAAAACCTCAAGGGTCTGGGGCTGCCCTGCTATTCATGGGTCCTACCACAGAGAAGAGATGGCCAGGAAGAGTGTGCAGTGGGTTTCCTGACACTAGTTGACTGCTTCAAACCATCAGCCCTCACTCACATTTAAGGTATAAATTTCCATGTTGTATTTACCTTTAGGGCCTTGACTTCCCATGTCACCTAAAATAGAAAGAGATAAAAATGATGAGATGAGATACCCAAGAGCCATTCCCTCCCTAGTGTCTTCAAACCATTTAACAAGATATAAAACAAGATTCCGGAGTGAGGAGATGTGTGGTGTGCTTCCCTCAGGCCCCTCTGCACCACATGGGCACCTCCCTGAACCCCTCTCAGAGGATCCCTTAGGTATGTCCCATTCTGAGATTCTGACTGTGAAATCTATTCCCAGCCCTCTCGACAGATGCTGTAAGATAGTTCAGTTCCTCATCCTTCAATTTGGAAAAAAAGAAAATAGAATGTTTTCCAATCCTCGCAGAACACCAAGCTCCAGTTACAGAAATGAAAGCAGGAAGGGCCCAATCCACTACAATACCTTTAGGGCCAGGGCTTCCTCGGAGATTTCCTACGAGAGAAAGTAGATCCTAGGTTAGTTTTGTACCTTCTGTGTCCCTCACACACACACACAGAGTAAGGGCCCCAGTGTGGTACAGTGGGGAAAACTGAGACCAGGATTAGGGCTCAGACTCTAAAATCTTCTAGTTGTGAGATCTTGGGGAAATCACTTCTCCAGGTCTCCGTTTTCCCAGCAGTAAGATGGGATCACAATACCGGTCCTGCCTACCTCACAGGGCTCTTGAGAGGATTAAAGGAGGCAAGAGGTTTGGGTGCCCTGAACAGTGTACCGCTCGCTCCTCGCAGATGCAAAGGGCCCATCAATTCGGACTCACCATTTTCTTGTTCTGTCATTAGCTTGTTCTTCACGAACATCCAGAGTGCCTCCTGGCTGTGGCCATCCAGCCCACCTATCCCCAGGTCTGTTCCCACCCCGGGTGCGACACCCTGGAGACGTTCCTTGCTGCTCCTCTGCATCTTGTCCTCAAAATGTATCATACTGGTCTTGGTTTTCTCCAGTTCATCCACTCGAGCTTTCAGCTTTCTCACCTCCTCCGCTGAAACGGACAGGTAAAAGGCAGCATCACCCAGAGGTGCCTGGACCCAGTGCCTTTCAAAACACTACTCACAGGGACCTGATGGGGGGCACTGAGGTTTGTGGTAGCTTCTTCATGCTGCTGGGGCATTTTGCTGGAATATTTATTGTGAGACAATCTGTTGTAGTTGCCAGCAGGATTAGTTACTCAGAATTGTCAGAGTAACAGAGCCTTGGCAACAGAAGCCCAGCTTAGGAGTCAGTCTTCTCATCTGAGTTGGGTAACAAGGTTTCTCCTCACTCCCTGAGAGGTGGAGTGAGAGCCAATAGACAGATATGGGTGCCTTGAAAGGTTAAAAAAAAAAGAAAAGGCTATGAAAGTCATGGCCTTATTGACAAATGCTTAGAGCAGGTTGGTACAGGGGAGAGAGCACAGGGCTGGGAATTAGGACACGGATTTAAATCCCAACTCTGCCGCTAAGCCACTGGTTGTCCTTGGCCAGGTGCTTCCCAGAGCCTCAATTTCCTTATCTGGAGCAACAGCAATTTGTACCAAGATCTCTAGGCCCCTCTGACACTTGGGACCACCCCCAGATTCCCGCCCTTCTGGCCTCCTCGTACCCAGAGCGATGAGGCCGAAAAGCAGCCCCAGGAGAAGCAGCCAGGTGAGCAGCAGGCCCAGCAGCCACTTCCACCAGCTGCAGCAGGAGCCACAGGGACACCAGGCTGGCGCTGCCCCCCACAGGCCTTTGCCACCACCACCACTGCCGACACCACTGTGGTCGTAGCCGTGGATTTCTGTGGAAGAGAAGAGAAGGGTGAAGTGCATCCAGGCAGCTCCTGCCCTTTTGTCTGAAAATGCTCTGGCTGTTGGTGACCTCCCTGGGGCCTGAGTGAATGCAAGTGAGGGCTTTAAAGTTCCTGTGCATCCGTGAAGGTAAGGCTGGCTCCTGGAATGAACACAGGGCCATGGCTGGTTAAGACAATCCTGGGCTCCAGCTGTGTGACCCTCTCTGTTTCCTTTTTTAGAAAATGAGGTTAAAGGATTACCTAGTCCATAGGGTAGGTGTTGAGTTAAATGAGATGAGGAATATAAAGTAATTAGCAGAGCATATAGCACATAGTACTAGTTTAAAAACTTTATTATTAATATTATATTGATCTGCCACAGCCCCTGCATGTTATTAAACCCAAACCTAAAGACCCATCTCCATGTCTCAGTTCACACAACCCTTTCTTTGTAACCCCCACATGCCTAGAAATACACTGCATACATAAGGGGCACACAATGAACTTTTTTTTTAAATACAAAAAGTTTTTAGTTCTCTAAAATGGGATTGTATCTCTTGACCTCCCTCAATCACAAGGCTGAAGGAGGAGGGGAGGAGTTAAGGCCTCTGGAAAGCATGAAGGGCTGGAGATGTGTCTGGCTTTAGTGTTGTGTGTGTGTGTGTGTGTGTGTGTACTACGATTTGTTTATTCGTTCATCTGCTGAGGGACATCTGGGTTGTTTCCACTTTTTTTGGCTATTGTGAATTTTGCTGCAATGAACATTGGTGTACAAGTGTTTGTTTGAATCTCTGCTTTCAAGTCTTGGGTATATTCCTAGGTGTGGAATTGCTGGGTCATATGGCAATTCTGGAGCTCTGGTAGTGCTGTGGTTAAAGTGATCAACTGCTAACCAAAAGGCTGGCAGTTCGAATCCACCAGCCACTCCTTGGAAGTCCTATGGGGCAGTTGTACTCTGTCCTGTAAAGTCGCTACGAGTCAGAATCAACTCCATGGCAAGGGGTTTGGTTTGGTTTTTTGTATGGTAATTCTATATTTAACTTTTTGAGGAAACTCTTAGTATTATCTTGAAGACTGTGTTGGGAGATTCTGTAAAGACACACAGCCATTCATGTTGTGTTTCTCTTGCCCTGTTGGGGACCCTGTACCTAAGAGCATGTAGTGGGTGCCAAGCAGGGGTTGCAGGGACCCCGAAGCACCATCCCCTGAGCTAAGCCCACAGTCTGCTTGCTTCCCCCTCCCCCACTCCCTCTGTGCCTTCAGTGAAACTCTCTAAAGATTCAAACCCATTGCCATCCAGTCAATTCTGACTCATAGTGACCGTATAGGACAGAGTAGAACTGCCCCATAGGGTTTCCAAGGATCAGCTGGTGGGTTCGAACTGCCGACCTTCTGATTAGCAGCCAAGCTCTTAAACACTGTGCCCTCAGGGCTAACGATGTGTGGCTCATTAGTGCAGTTTCCAGGCTAGGAGGCTGTTATTGGTTCCATTAACCATAACCAGCCCCATTGGTTCCCGTCACTGCTGGACCCGTCATTCACACCCACCTGCATAGGTGGCCTTGCCCTTGGTAGACGCTGTCTTCGGGTCTCCTGAAAGCACAAATGCCAAGAACACAGGTTTTCCCTTGAGCGTTTAAAGCAGAGAAGCTGTTGAGGCTGCCCTGCTTGTTGATTTGGTAGGGCTTTAGGTAAATATGTCCTCCAGGCATCTCACAGAGCAGCCAAGTACAGGAGTGTCCATTAATTCAGTCCTCACTAATCAGATTTTTGCACTAATCACATCAGTGAAGACTGGCTTGGCAAACAATTAATGGTGGAAAAGAGCAGTGTTTTAACTCTTTCAAGACCTTAAATTCTTAAAGCATAACACATTTTCCGAGGACTGTTAGGGGTTACATTTGCATTCAAACCAATAAATGTGAGAAATGACTAATTTCTTGGGTTACAGCTTCCTAACCTGGGGTGGAGGGAACCAGAAGGCATGGATGAGCTTGGTGGGGGTTTGTGCTTGAGTCCCTGAGGCTACTGAAAAGTTTGTGGGCATATGGGGGAATTTTCTGGGAAAACTGTCTGTAGCTTCCATCAGATTCTGAAAAGGGTCTTTTGAGTCCACAGCCCCACCTCCACCCCTAAAATGTAAAGAACCACTGATTTGGAAGATTCTCAGTCAGGCTGCAATCTTCCTGCCTTCTCAGAATTGTAATTGGTTTAATTTTGCGTTTATTTAACAATGTTCTGTGACTTAACCTTTTTTTTACTTTACTGACCTCCCTGTAATCGGTGATTTGGGGAGATTCTACAGGACTCACAGCCTTGAGGAAAAGCAGTTATCCAGGAAAGAATCCATATATTGGGGGAGAAAAAAAATAAAGCTAGCAAGTGCTTTGCAAAGGGTTTTTTCTATTAGTTCTGAAAATTATGGGCAGGCTAGTGAGGTGAAAAAAAAACCACAACAACAACAACACCGTAGACTTTAAACATACTGGGGGAAGGCTTTTCCCTCAATTATGTGCACGTAGATTGCCTGGGGGAACTTGTTAAAATTCAGACTCGGATTCAGTATGTCTGGGGTAGGGACTGGGAGTCTGCATGCTGACCGGTGCTGCCGAGGCTGCTCGTACATGAGCACTTTGAGTATCAAGGTCTCAGTGGACAAGTACATGAGCTATGGATCCGCTGAAGTCAAGGTGGACAACTCTCAGATTTGCCCTTACCATTAGCATCAGACTTCAAGGGGGTGTCAGCAGTGTAGGCGGCTTGCTTTTCTTTTTTTAGGGTGTCATCTGAAAAAGAAGCTGTGCACAAAACCAATGATAATCCAGTTTTTTCTCTCTCCACCTCCTCCCCCCAGCACTGCCCATATCTTCTCCTGCTTTAGGAGGTTGAGGTTAACCTGGTAAGAAAGAAGCATAGTTTTCCTGGGGTTAATCTTCGGCCCTGGAGTGTGGTTGGACACTTGCTATGGCCCAAAGGCCCCTTGGGGAGCACTTAGCCTCAATCTTCCTGGCTTGTCTGCATTCAAGGCAGATCCTGGGACACCCTATTTCGGCAGGCATTTCCCACTGGAATGGGATGACTGTGGTTTCATTATGAAAACATCGAAAACTACCTTGCTAGGACATTTGGTCTCCTACACTATTTGCCTTTCTTCTGCAGCCTGAGTCCTGTGGGACCTTACTTGCAGCGATGCTCGCCGGGGAGGCAGTGAAGACCTTCCCGCTGTCCTTTGTCATGATCAGCAGCTCCATCTCCTTCTTGGTGGGCACGTTGTCTTTCTCCAGGATCAGGAACTTACAGTCCTTGTGCAAAAGGTCATCATTCTGGGCACTTGTGGTGCAGGCTGAAGAGGAAAGAAGTGGGCAAGGAGAAAGGGAAAGGTGTCAGGATGCGGGTGGTGGAGAAAGAGAGGGGAGGGGGAAGAATTGAACAGAACAGGAAACAGAAGGAAGAGAAGGAGGGGGAGGGAAAGGAAGAGATTAGCAGGTGTGTATGAGGGCCTCCTGCTGTCACCAAGAGTGGTAACTATGACCACAGACACCCCTGCCCTGCGTGGCTGGGCCTGGCCATCAGACAGTAGGCTAAATGTCACAGCGCTGGGCATCAGCCCATGAGGCTGCCTCCAACCTACAGAGTTACAGGATCTTTAGCAAATGGGCAGAAGTCCCCCTTGCCAGGCAGACCTTTCTTTTATTAATTTGGGAGGTTCATTTTTATCCTTTAGATCTCAGATGTTACCTGCTCAGGGAGGCCTTTCCTGCCACCCTATCTAAAGCACCCCGTCTCATACACACACTTAAAAACACTGATAATTTTCTGTAATTATCTTGTATATGTATTTGTCTACTTGTTTATCATCTGCCTCCTCCACTGGAATCATTAGCTTGGTGAGGGCAGGGATCTAGCTTGTCTTGTTCATCCCTGTACTTCCAGCACATAGACCAGTGTCTGTCTGACACAAAGTAGGTGCTCAGTCAATATTTTTTAAATGAATTCTTGAGTGGAAGGAGGCAATCAAGGAAATAGCCCACCATAAGGTTGTGAGCTCAAGAAGATGAAGAGTCTACAGAAAGCAGGGAGAGTGCCTGGCAGCTTCTGAGGGGCTTCCTGGCTCTCGTGACGGGTTACATGTAACAGGAGAAGGCCAGGGGCTGCCAGACAAGGGTGGTGGCTGATCCTAGGCAAGGGTGGAAGGTGGAGCTCCCTGCGCCCTCAGACAGGAAGGCCAAGGTAAGGTCAGGTGGATTTTTAACTCATGGAAACATCCAAGAGACTCTTGGAGTGAGTTGCATTTGCCAACCTCAGCCCACCAGTGAGGTTATGTCCCCTCCTCCAATCTGCCATGTGTCCACTGCGGAGCCATTCTCCCGTGTGCAGCCTGTCCCCCAGGAGCTGGAGCAGCACACTCACCGGCAGAGGTGGACGTGCCGGTGCTCACAACAGCAGGGCTCTGCGGCATGTTCTTCTTCACACCGTATGCTGCAAGAGAGGAACCAGTGAGTAAGCTCGGCCAGTGTGGAGGTGGCTTCAAGCAGTTAGAAGCAGCTTGGTCAGCCCTGGCAGAGGGCCGCTGCCTCAGATGAGAAATAGACAATGAAATCAACTCTCTCCAGTCAGGCAGGCAGAGATGGGGTCTTAGATTGATCCTTCTTTGGTATAATCCTCCTCATTCTTCTAGGCTCAGCCCAAAGGCCACCCCCTCCATGTTCTTCTAGACCCTCACATATCTCCTTTTCTTCTGAACTCCTATATCTCTTAACACGCACTCTGCACAATGTATCACTTAATTTGTGTTGTCTTATACCAAAAGCCTCTGCCGCTGAGTCAATTCCATCATTGCAACCCTATAGGACAGGGTAGAACTGCCCCATAGTCTTTCCTAGGCTGTACTCTTTACGGGAACAGATTGCCACACCTTTTAGCCTGCAGATTGGCTGGTGGGTTTGAGCTACCAACCTTTTGGTTAGCAGCCAAGCGCTTAACCACTGCGCGACCAGGGCTTCTTGGTTGTCTTATAGGATCCCCAATTGCTTCATGTATGCTAGACTTTCTACCCCAACAAAACAGTAAGCAAGTTGAGGGCAAAGGCTGAGCCTCCCATCTCTTCTAAATTGTGCCCCCTAACCCCAGGTCTGCACAGGAGCAGAGGCCTGGGAGTTGCACCATAAAATCAACCAGTCACTGATTTTCAGTGACAATGGGCTGTCAAGGACAGCAGTGAGCTGACAAGACCATCAGCCAGTCAGTTTGGCTGTGAGAGAGCGAAGGGATATACAGGTGACATCCCACAAGGTATAGACGCTGTTGAAAGTACAAGCTCCTCTCTGCATTTAACTCACGTGTCTGAGCCAGCAAATGATCAAGGCGGCATTTCTAGGTTGAAGAGGAACATGTTTCTTTGATGAGAAAGGTCAATTTTTTTTTAAGGAACATTTCGGTTCCTCTAAGTCAGTTGCTGAAAAGGGATATTGTGAGTTATAGCCATAAAGAGGTGCTACTCCCCAGCCCCTAAGCTCTAAATCCATACTACTGACCTGTGGAAGTAGTGACTGTGCCATGAGATAGGGTGGTCGAGCTGGGGGCCAGATTGTTCTGCATGCCAAACACTGGGAAAGAAATAGAGGATGGATGAATACAGGATGCAACACACAGGGGAGGCCCCTCAGAAGCAGGCTGTCCTGGAACCCCCAAACCACCTTTATGATAAAAGCCTTTGTATCTGACAAAGGTTCCCACACTTTCTCGGTTTCTGGTACCCTTGGTGCCCCAGTCTGTTTTTTTGCACTTCCCCACCTCTCTACCCCAGGCCAAAAGAAATTACGACCAGTTCTGTTTACTGAGTAGTTAGGTCCACACAACTTAATAGCAAGTACACGTAGTCTGCACACAGTCTGACAGATGTTGCTGTAGCCCTCAAAATTTTAAAATATCCCAGGGGATCTCTGTTCACTGTGGCACTCTGGGAAGTCTTGGTGCACAGTCTGGGAATGGTGGGTATATGATATAGACATACTGGGGCTAGAAAGGCACTGACTTGGCCGACCCTAGTTTTTCCTTTAACTCCTTCTTCCCCTGACTCTTCGGAGCCCTGGTGGTACAGTGGTTAAGTGCTCGGTTGCTGACCAAAAGGTTGGCAGTTTAAAGCCACCAGCCACTCCATGGGAGAAAAACGTGGCAGTTTGCTTCTGTAAAGATTACAGCCTTGGAAACCTTACGGGGCAGTTCTACTCTGTCTTATAGGGTCGCTATGAATCCACTCCATGGCAATGAGTCCTCTGATTCTTAAACACAAAAAACTCACCTCATCCGCATCATGGTTTCAAGGGCTGGTGGTTTATTTATTTATAATGGTTTGCATAAGCTCATTCTTCCCTATTCAACAACTTCCATTATTCAATCCTATCTAGCATTTGGGGCACAGGATCATGGATCCAATATCAGCCCACCCTTCCTTAGGACCTGGAAAGTCAGGACTTTGCAAAGCAAAAAGAAGCAAAGGTAGAAGAAATCAAGCATAAGCCTGGGGTCATCCGGGTTTGGTGGGACTCCAGTCAACTGAAGGCATTGAAAATCAGAATGCTAAATTTATACTTGCAAATATGCCATCCAAATAAATAGAGAAGGCCCACATCATTATATTTATAATCAGGGAGAAGGCAGATTCCTTTAAAAAAAAGATGGGGCTGGTAAGTTATTTATTCATAGGCCATGTGTGTGGAAATATAGTGAATAAATATTTCTGTAAGATAGTCATGTTTGCACTGGAAGCTAAGCAGTAACATTATTTGAGCCTCAGTGAACTACTATATTTGTAACTGGTTATTTCAGTTCAAAAGACACAAAATAAAATCCTTCTAAATTAACAATGTTTTTTACCTGAAAGTGTCCTAAGACATTACTCCATTAGGCCTTTTGCTTCCATGTCTCCAACTCTCACAGAAAATAAATGTACCAGCCCAGAATAAGCATGGAAGTCTGGTCTCTGAGCCCCGTTCCCTCTGTCCAACTCCTTAGAAATTTCCCTTGAGGTACTGAGATCTATCTATGACCAGGGGCAGGGTCCGTGCCTCCTGCTCTCTGAATGCAGCCCACGGCCTCTGCTGCTGCGTTGCAGTGTGTGTGGAGGAAAGTCATGCATCCTCTTGGGCAGAAAGGACGACTTCTTTAGAAACCACTTCCGTTCCTCATCAGGAGACAGCGTCCTTTATTTTTAAGCCAATAGCCTAGAAAAGGTGACTCGCGGTGGTGAGCACTGACCTGAGGAGCAGCTGCTGAGTCCGGGGTGCAGTGTGGAAGAGCAGGACGCCATGTTATTTGGAACTCCAAAGACTGCAGGGGAGAAGGAAGGCTGGTGAGAGGGATGTCCAGCCCAGAGCAGGGGCAAAGACTCGGATACCATGGGAGAACGAGGACAGACGCCAGGATTGAGTTTTTTGTATTTTGTTAAATATTTGATTTTAGGATAAATTTAGTCTCTTGCCTTATAGCAGAGAGCAAAACATTAGTTGTGGTAGACTTTGGGTCATAGCCAAGGAGTGATCTCGGAACGGTAAGACCTCATGTGGACATTGAGTCCCACCAAAGGCTCTTGTTTGTTAGTGTCGCCATTTTACAGAGACGGCACCTGAAGCCCAGAGAAGTGAAATGACTTGTTCAAGGTCACACAGTTAATTCATGTGGAGCGAAACTAGGTTTCCTGCTTTCGTTTTCAGTGTTCTTTTCCATTACATTTTTTCTGATATACTGTGCTATATTATACATTCTTTTCTATAGGGGACCTACCAGGAGAAACACTTTATAGATTGAATTGAATTGAATTGAAGTTACAGTGGAAGAATCTTGGGAGAATGCGGCCACGAAAAGCTTCTCTAGGAAGCCCTGGAGATGCTATACTATGGAAGGGTCATTCAGCTCCAGGGTAAAGGTGTCGAAGGTTCAGGGGTGGGAGGGGGTGTGCGTCATCACATACCTGATCCTGCAGAATAGGCGTTGGTGTTGAGGAGCGATGAGCTCTGGCTTGCCATGTTGTTGTGATAGGTTCCCATGGAGGATCCCGCAGGCAAGGTGGAGGACCATACATGAGAGGGAAGGTTGGCATCCAGGACTGTTGCGTCGTAGGTGCCCGACACTGGAAACAGACACATGCACACCCGCAGTGAAGGAAAGCCAACATTTCTGTAGTTGGGGAATCAACTCGTCCCAGTTTTCCAGGACTTTCCTGGTTTTAGCACTGAAGGTCTCATGTCCTGGGAAGCCCCTCAGTCCCTGGCAAACAGGGCAGTTGGTCATCCCATTTCTGCCTGAAATTTCAGAGCTGGTAAAAACTTGATTTCTTGAATTAGAAATTCTTGCTGGCTCTTGGTGAGATTTGAGGTAGCTAAATTTTGCTCTGGGGTCCACCCATGTCTGCTTATAAGGCCCTCTCCCTACCTCCTGGTGTGCTGTTGCCACCCATGGTCTTACTCTTAACCGATTGCTGACTCCCCCACCTTCAAAGATGCCAAGAAGCACCTCTCTTGGGACCATTGAATGAGACCCCAGGGGTACTCTTACAGTAGCATTGTAGGCACTGTGCCAAGTGCAGGGTGTATGTCCTGCCCTCAGTTCTGAGGCCATATGACAAAGATGGCATCTTAATATTCCTACGTACCAACCAGACATAAGGGGCATGCTGCACCCGGGAGGGGGTTTTCATGCTTCTTCATATCTGAAGCCAGTTCTGCCTATTCATTATTTGAGAGGGAGCTAGCCATGTGGGTCATAAAGTGACCAGAGGTTTTGGTTTTATATTAAAAAACAAACAGACGATGACAGTCTCCTGCACATTTCCAGCGGTGAAGGAGAAGAACGCTTGAGGTTATAGCAAACCTGGCTTCCCTCCTCATCTCCCTCCATGGATCTGCCTTATTCACCTTTCTGCCTCCCACGGAACGCACCTTGCACTTGATATGCCCTTGATATCTGTGCTGAGCAATGCTCATCCTACTTGACTGTGATCACTTGGTTAACTGTTCGTCTTCCCCCAGAGACTCTTGTCTCCGTGAGGGCAGCGACCGTATCTATCTTGTTCATTGCTTTTCCTCACTGCCAGTACATGCAATAATAGTAGGCATGCAATAAATATTTGTTGAATGAATGAATGAATAGACATTCTACAAATTTCCCCCAAATTCTTCATTTGGAGAACTGGGTCAACACAGTCTACTATCAAGAATCGTCTAGTATAGAAATCCCTAGGATCTAGAGGTGAGCCACAGAGTGCAGATGGGATGGTTGACCAGACAGGGGTAAGAAGGGCACAGGCCACGTCTTCATGCTGCTTGAACAGGAGATGCTCAGAGCTTTGTGAAGTCTCTGCCATACCTTGAAAGGCCTGCCAGGGCTCAGTTGCATTCCTGGGCCAGAGCAAACCTGCCACCTTGCCCCCTTCCCTCCGTTGCAGCCCAGGCTGTTGGGCTTACCTGACTGGGAGCTTGCTGTCACCGTTTTGGTCTCCACAGTGCCCTTTTTGGGGATGGGGAGTGTGTTGGAGCAGTTCCGTGTGGGGCTCGTGCTTGCTGATCGGCTCCCCTTGAGCAAACGCTTAACTTCATCCAATTCTGTCCCTGTAAAAGAACCCCCAGATTTTTCCACTAGGCTATTCCTTCCTGAGTGTACCTGCAGGGGGTGGGGGGCAGATTTATGGCACTGCCAATATTAGGGAGGACGGCATCTGCTTGACACCCTGAGATATTTTTGGCTAGCCTTATACTCTTTGAATTTTGCCAATCTATAGCATTTATCAACCCAGCACTTTGTAATATTAATGACCTCATAAATACAGGCCTTTCACAAAGAGGTCAAAGTCCTTGGTGGCTATTTACTAATTAGATCTCATCAGACACCACAAGGATGATTCTGGGGCTGGAAGACACTGTCATCCTGCATTGGAGGAGGAGGGGAGATGGAGATTTCCATCCAGGGCAGTTAAATAACCAGGTCCCTTGAAACGATTCAAAAATAGTCCGCTACCCACTACCCCGCACAGGACTCCTCAGGTGGCAGGTCCCTGGCCTTGTATGCCTGCGAGTATAAAAAGCAATTTGTGGCCCATAATTCCTAAACATTATGCTGCTTTCATGTGATTTAAGTTCAAGTCCGTCTGGCTAATATTACTTGTGGCCAGGTGAACTGCAGGAGCAAGCTCCCAAAGCAGGGCAGACTTGAGAGGAGAACGGTATTGTGCATCGTGAGAGCGTAAGACAGGACAAACAGATTTGTAGACAACATGTGCTGAGTAAGTCCCCCCACTGAACGCACCCTCCCTTAGGCTCAGCACCCGCAAGCCTGGAAGGACTCAGGTGAGAAAGCATCAGGCCTGGAGTCAGCTACCAGGACCCCAGGACCTGAGCTCTCTGGAGTTGGCTGGAGTCTCTGTTTCCGGAGCTGCCCAATCGTGCTCTTTCTCCTACGCCTTGTGCTTGGCTCCTGCCCTAAAAGTTTGGCTCATTTCAAAATGTTGTCAAATAGCCTCTAACAAGCACAACAGGTGTCTCACATATTTAATGAACAGAGACTAGAGAACCCCTGACATTTGAGATAAAGTTTAAACTTTTTATACTTAGGGCACAGCACCTCTCACGGTCTGGCTTCCGACCCTTCGCTAATCTTAACTATCCTATCATGTCCCCTTATGCTCCTTTCCCTTCAGCCACACTGAACTGCTCCCTGTTCCTCAAATGTCTCATGCTGGCTCATCCCTCTGAGCCTAACCTGATCTGCCCTTTGTCTCTGTTCGAGTGACACCCGCCCCAGGAAGGTTTTTCTTGCCCCTTGCACCAGTTCCCTTCTCTCAGGCTGCTTTAGAGCCGCTCCTTGATGCTTCCCCCACCATGCTGAGCTGACATCTGTCACACTGTGCCATGAGGGGTGGGTGATTTGCTGTCTCCCCATCAGTCTGTGAACTATTAGGCAACAGGGACCCTGACTTACTCAGCTCCTTACCCACAGCACCTAGCCCAGGGGGCTGACTCACAGAAAGCCATTGAAGAATGTTTTATGATGGAGTGAATGTGCACACGTATGCACACGTGCACGCACGCATGTACACACACACACAGCTTGAGCATTTAGGTAGTAGCCCTGGATTCTTTCTTTTCAGCAGGATAGTGACCACTTACATCGGGAAGATGGGGATGCACTCTGCAGTCGAACTCGAATTTCGCTCTCTGTACAAGGAAAGAGGTGGAGAAGACTGTGAATGAAGGAGCTTGGATCATGGCCGCAGCACTGAGCTTGGAGTGGAGACAAATCTTTGGGCTGCTCTGAGATCCCTGTCCTGGGAACAGGGCACCTCTGTGTGCCCAGAAAGAGTGCTGCTTCAAAAGGGACGCCCCTCCCGCCACCAGCCTGCCAACCGCACCCCTCCCAGCCGCAGGGGCACATTCGAATGAAATCCCGAGGAGGCTCCATTTCAATCAGCAATGACCAACCCCTCTCCCCACTACCCATTTCACGGTTGCCTGAAGCAAGTTCCTCTCCTGCCTTCTGGTCTCTCAGGCATTGGAGAGAGAAGTCTAAAATCTGGAGTGTTTAATTAGCCATCTTGGACTTCTCAGAAATGGGAAGGGCTGGGAGTTAATACTTTAACTTTTATTAACTTTTTAATAAGTTACTTTAGTTGGAGAATCGGCACTCTTGAACTTCTAGCCTAACGTTGTGGGTGTTTGCTATGTTCCTAACTTTCAAGTTACTGATGACAAAGGGGCCTGCAGGAAGTTTAGGCTGCTCATCCCAGAACTCCCCTGGCTCTTCAGCACCGCCTCCCATGCTGCTCCTCGCCACCCTCACCCAAGTTTTTCAAGGGCAGCTTTTCCCAGGACTGCATTTCTCTGCTATGTCCCTGTCCATAGACAGCTGGGGAAATTGTAAAACTGTCATGGAGCCCTTTGTCCATCCCTTGGAATAGTTCGAAAAAGAAGGGGTTTTGTTCAACTTTTGGTGCATAAAGGCAATTAAAGCACATCTTGTTAAAGTCACCCAGGAGACTAGAAGTCAAACATGACATGGTGTCCATATCTAGATAATCCATAGCACAACAAGCTATTCCCCCACATCATTACCATGTGCTTGGATTCCTGCCTCCACATGCTTAGATCAGTATCAAATACTACACTTCCCATGCTGAACGAGTCAGCAAAAGATTCCCAGGATACTGTAGGCTTCTTGAGGGCAGAAACCATGCCATATTTATTCTCCTGTCCCCCTCACACTTCCTAGCTCAAGGCTGGACATGTGAGCATCTGCTCAGAAAATACTTGTTGAATGAGCTGAGCTCAACCCAGTGATGGAGCTTACCTCGTGTTTGGCTCCGTCCTCTGGTTGAAGAAGATGCTGAGAAACAAACAAAAAATCATCTGAGGCGTGTGCAAGAGGCAGCATGCTGAATATTTTTGGCACGAAGGTGGAAATATTTGGGGGGTTGTTTTCATAGTATGTTTATATCTAGATAGCAGCCTTTATGTTTAGTGGGTGCTTAATAAATGATGACCACATAGGGTGTCAAACGACACTTCAGTTCAGGTAAGCCTTGTGGGAGCATGACCCATTTGGACTTGCTAACGACATTGATCAAATGTATCAAAAGACTGTCAATATCTTCCCTTTAATTTTTTGTTAGAAACTGCCTTGGTTTTCCCCCTGTAAGCAAATAAATAAATAAAATTATAATCAGTGTACAACCAATGGTCATATCATCAATTCATATTCACAATGAGATCCCAAGAACACGGACCAAGGACTTTAAGGCCAAGTGTGGATAGAGCCTAGGATTTCGCTAGGCATAAAATGTGCCTCTTTGAAGAAAGCTGCAGTGCAGGTGCTGGGCAGTTTGGCATTTGTGTGTTCTAACACTGCTCCTCATAGCTGGGAGAACTCTGTGAATCCCTTGGAAGGAAAAATTCCCCCGAGTACTGTTCAGCCGTAGGGGCATATCTGTCCAAGCCTGAGCTCCGTATACATAACTTGCTGTTTCAGTAGCGTCATGAGCTTATGACAGAAGGTTAGTGTGGCTGACAGTTCCCTTAAGATGCTTCAGGATAAAGAGCAAAGGAAAACAGTTCAGCAGAGGTCAAACTCTTTCAGATGAATCCATTTAACTCATGATGACCCCTAGCCCCCTAGGCATTTTCCCAGGGCCTCGTTTGACCATTTCTTCAGAAAATAAGGAAAGGACATACCAAATTCCTTCCGAGGGTACTCCGGAGAAGAGTTTCCACTGGAGCTCCCTGGAGAGAGGAGAAGACAGTACAGATGAACACAGAGGCCTGTAAGGCTTCCAAGACAGTGGGCAGTACCTGGTCGTTTCTTTCTTGATCTCCACAGCCCTCGGTGTTTTAGGAGGAAAATGACAGGTGCTCATCAGCAGACATTTCAATGAACCAGGCGCATGATTTCAAACATGACTTGCCTGTTTGGACTTGTTTGTAACTTCATTATAGTCACTGGTCTATTTCCAACAGGACAGGGTACGAACAAAGGAAAGCTGGAGGTTTCTTTCTTTTCTGTCTCTCTCCTTCCCTCCCACCTGCCCTCCCTTTGTTCCTTCCTTCCTTTTTTTTCTCCTCTGCTTCCTCAACTGCATTTGACCTGTACTAGAGCTAGTGCAGGTGACTTGTCCCATCAAATAAATATTCAGGGACATCCCTGACCTTGGGATGCTCATCCTGAATGTGGACCCTGTTAAAATGAAGGTCAAGCCCTCATTCAGGCCGAACCATCAGAAAGCACTGTGGTGACACTGCATGGTCAGGGGCAAGTTGCCTGGATTTTAGGCTCCCAACACCTTTTGGCAGCTGTCTTCCTGAAATAGTGGGCCAGCATCCCTGGATCTGGGGTTCCAGCTCACCTAAGTAATTTACTGGGATATCTAGCCCTTTAATCCTGCTCTCCCTCACAGGACATACTCATCTCTGCTCACTATTAAACCCCATTTGCCACCTGGCTTGTCAGTTTTCCACTTAAACTAGGAAGTCCAGTAATCATAGCAATGGAACCCAAAAGTCTTCTTCCAGACGTCCTCCTTCCTGACCCTGAGCACTTCCTGTGCTGACTTCAACAAGGGGTATGCTCTACGTTCCTGGTTTCCCCACACCCATCACTCACTCTTTTTTCCCTCACTTCTCTGGCTCATCTTTCTCCTTTCCCCAGCTTTATCATTCTTTGCTCCCTTCTGCTTTTATACTCTTATCCTTGGCAAACTCCTTCATTCACCCGGCTTCTGCTAATCTCTTTGTGAATGATTCCAAGCTGAGCATCTTGGCCCTGACTTCTTCCCTGAGCTCAAGTCCTACATGTCCCACTGCCTGCTTGGCATCTCCACTCGAATACTGTGCAAGGAGCTCTATTTCAGGATGAAATAGCTAACTCATCCAGGTGGAGTCCCCTGTTTCAACTGATGGCACTACCATGAGCCCAAACACCTGGGTTTGAAACCTCAGTGGAATACCTGGCTCAATTTCCTCTCTTTCACCCAAATTTAATCAGTCACCAAACCTGTCCATACCTTCCACCTCCAGCTCCTCCTCTCTACTCCCACTGCTACCACTCTGTTGTTTTTGCTGTTATATGCCGTCGAGTCGATTCTAACTCATAGTGACCCTCTAGGACAGAGCAGAACTGCCCCATAGGGTTTCCAAGGAGCAGCTGGTGGATTTGAACTGCCAACCTTTTGGTTAGCAGCCTGAGCACTTAGCCACTTTGCCACCGGGGCTCCTGCTACCACCCTAGTCCCAGCCAAATTTTCTCTCCCTTAGGCTGCTGCGCAGAGCCTTCTAACTTGTCATTCCCTGTTTAGTCTCTTTCCTACCAGCTCATCCTGCACATGGCTTCCAGGGTTCCAGTTCTGCACCTCTAATATGATTGACTCTTTTACTCTCCATTGCATATGGAATAAAGTCTTAACATCCTAGCCTAGAATTTAATCTGGGCCCCTCAATCTTTGTTCACATAAGTACCTGTTGCTGCTCCCTGTTCAGGCCCTGCCTGTCCTTGCTTATGCTGCTGCTCTCTTAGCCTGATATGCTCCATCTCTCCCATCTGGGTGTCAAAATCTTACACATCATGACAGCTCAGCTCAAATGCCACCTCCTGCAGAGAGTCATCCCTGATTTTCTCAGCTCTAAATAGTAATCCCCTTCTACTTAACATTATAGTTTTATATTTATTACCTTAATTTGTCTATCAGACTATAGGCACCTTAAAGGCAAGATCCATGTCTGATTCATTTGAGCATCCATCAAGACATTCACACAGCATTAAGCACATGGTAGATATTTGGCAAAATACTAATCGGATTAAGAAATGAATAAAGGGATAGAAGAATGACTGAAAATCTTCAAGTAATGTGAGTCCATAAAAGAAATGAAGGAAGAGTGGAGAGAAAGGTAAGGGGGCAGACACAGGTGAACACAGGTGGCCAATACTTAAGTCTTCAAAAGATGAGTGAAGCTACTTGGGGAAAAGAATGGGTCTCTTCTAAGGTTTGTGGGATTGATACCTTCGTATGTTGCATTGCGGGTGATGTGAGTTTTCCTTTCAAAGGTTGAGCCTGGTGAGTTGGGCAGAGTCGAGGCAGGTGAATGGACCCTCCTATAACCGGAGGTAGAGGCATTGCCTCTGGAGCTTCCACCTACAAGTGGGGAAAAGCGTAAATCCTCATAGTACTTCATTAGAGATGAATCAAATGGCTATTAAAATCCAGTTACATTAACTAAGTACACTCAGGCTGCCCATGACTAAATGAGGGCCCTATAGGACGGGCCAAGGAGGTCAGGTGAGCACAACCGAAGGGTCAGTGTTCTCATAGCTGCTCAGACATGGAAAGGTAGCATTATTGCTACTGCCCTGCCCCAACAGACCACTGAAAGGCAGGGATGTCCTTTATGTACATGGTTACAGTGCATAGGAATGTAGAGGACTCAGCAGGGTTTTTCTTGAGGGTCTGGAATTTAATTGTAGATTCCTGCTTGGATGGATTACAATGTAACCAGATGTGGAAGCGTTCCTCAACAGCGTCTTTTGGTCATTCTGGCCATTTATATGTCTTGGGTCTTCTTTATTAGTTTCACACTAGAATTTTTATAAAAACAGCTTCAGGGATTGTGTGTGTGTGTGTGTGTGTGTGTGTGTGCTTGTTATTTGTTTTATTTATTTGTCTTGCATCGCTTTGTTTTGTTTTAGTTTGAAAGCCACCATGAAAGAATGTGTTGTATTGAGAGCAATGGACCTGTGTTGGACGCTTGCCCGGTGGAAACTTGCACAGTGTGGGATCATATGTCACCAGATTCCCTTAGAACAGTAACCCAATCAAGTTTCTTTTGTTGTTGGTCATTGTTAATTCAAATGTAAACCCTCAGACATGCATACCCTTCTCTACAGAGATGACTTAGAGTGAGCGATAAATCAGTGGGAAAACAGTCACTCCCCATGAAGTCTTCTTAATTATTGTTATTTCTATTAGGGACTTAGTGGAAATTGATCATGTTTTAAGCAGGCTTCAAATACTGATGATTTAACGGTCACACTCTCGCTGGCTTGTTCTTCATTTGTAGGCTTTCGGGGGCATTTGAAATGAGTGATAAGCAGCTGTAATTGTTCCTCTCCTGACACTGTTTCAGGGCACTGTCCACCCCACCTATTTTGCAGGACTTTTCTCTCTCCCTGTCCGCAGTCCCTTTCACCAAGAGGCACTTACTTGAGTTTATGTAGCCACTGCTGCCGTGCGTCAGGCTCTGTTTCTCCAGTCGGCTCCCTCCACCAAGAGAGCCTGTCTTCGCATAGCCATTGCTGGTCCCCCCTTCTGCCAGAAACAAGAAGCAAGTGGCAATTTAAGGGTGGAGTCAGGCCAGTGGACCTCCTTGTCCCTGGCCCAGTGAAGTCTCCCCTCACCTCTCACTGAGGACACTTGGTCTGGGGTCTTTTTCCCACGGTTGTTTTGTCCTGCACTGCAAGGTGCAAGCTGCTGGGGTCTAGTTTCATTTGTTTGTTTTTAATACAAATGTCAAGAGTGACTACTCCACCATATTTAAAAAGAAAGTCTTCTGGATGGAGCATAGCAAGTTGCTTATTAGGAAAGTTTAAATATTAGGAAAGGTAGCTGTGTGATGAAAAGCTCCTTGAGGCCAGGATCGAGGTTCAGCTTGTTTTTTTCAAATGCTTGGTCAGTGCTCCAGACACGGCCCAAGGCAGGGACGAGTGACCGCTCTGGATTGCTGGCAGCCCATCACTTCTCTAACCTCACCTGCTGATGGGGGGGCTTCCCCCAGCACCTTTGAGCCAGGCTTCCTGGTCGGAGCTTTAGGGGTCAGAGCTCTTAATTACAGAATCCATTAAACCTAAGGACAATCCTGGAAAAAGGTGGACTCATACAGAGGCCTGTCTGGTGATTCTCTCCCCACTTCCCTCCGTTCATTCTCAGGTTGGATAAGACTTCAGATATTTTAGTGTTCAGAATAGGCAAATCGATAGACAGTAAATATATTTGTGCGTTCCAGGAGGTGAGGAGAGGGAAAGGGGGAATGGGGAGTAACTGCTAATGGCCATGAGGTTTCTTTTTCGGGTGATAGAATGGTCTAAAGTTAGTTTGTAGTAATAGTTGCGTAACTCTATAAACATACTGAGATTATTGAATTGTAGATGGAAAACTGGTAGATATCATGGTATATAAATTATATCTCAACATAGCTGTTAAAACAAAGATTTCAGATATTTTAGATTTGCTGAACTGGAAAGTGAGTGCCACGGAGAACGGGGTATGTGTGGAGTCCTTCACACGTGACCTACTGAGAAGAAAGCTATTGAGAGAGTCACTTACTTGGTGGTAAAGAAGTGAGTCTTGTAGTTACTGTTTCAGTGATAACTAGAAAAAGAAAAAGAAAAGGTGAGATCTTATGTAATGCACAAAACACAAACCCCTGTGTTTTGACCAGGTCTAATATCTATTAGCTAAGCACATAAAATTAGGTTGAACATAGGTTTTTGTATACTTGTGCTTTAAGATATGTGATGTGACCCACTTTACATAAAAATTTGTGCAATAGCAATGGGTATTAATGTACCTGGAAAATAATTTTATATCCCTTTGGAACCAGAAGTAGTTACCCACTAGTTTGAAAAGTGAGTTGTCTTGGCTTGGTGTCAATGTCTCTCATACAACAATTGTATCCAGTCCGGTTTGACTTTGAAGGGGAACACTGTTTGAGTCCCTCTGTTTTGCTGCACTGCTCCTTCCAAATGGTCACCCAGCCCAGCTGGGACCAATACACATGATCCTGTCTGATGTCACTGTGAAGTGGATAATTACCTTGTGCTTCTTTATGAATCTAAGGGCGATTCAAGAACATCATAATTCATTATAAAATCTTGAGGGCCACCCCTGAGTGTGGGGAGGTGTGAATAGGAGTATGCGTAGGGAAGGGAGGTCTGGATAAGTCACCCTAGATACTTGGTAAAATCAACAATAGATGGACATTAAAGACAGACTTGAAGAACCAGTTCCTTTTGCTTCCAAAGCTGAGCTTCTGTAGACTCCAGGTGATGCTGAGTCTCTATGGAGGCAATAAAAGCATCAGGTGTTTTTAAAAACACCAGTTAAAAGAAAAAACTCTTGCCTTCCTGAATCATTCTCTAGTCTGCCCTGCAGGAGCACGGGGATGCGGGTAGATTCCCAAAGCCACCGGAGGCCAATTTTGTGCTCTGACTTTGACCATCACCACTCCCTCCCTCCCTGTTGGACATAAAGGAGCACTTATCTAGCTGGTGTCGCTGGTCTTTAAAAGTAGACGTCGTGTGTGTGTGTGTGTGTGTGTGTGTGTGTGTGTGTGTGTGTGTGTGTGTGTGTGCGTGTGTGCGTGTGTGCGTGTGTGTGTGTTTCCTCACTTGCATCTGTATGTGGGGTGGGGTGTATGTATTGTATGTATTGGTAGGGGTGATGGAAGGTAAAGAGGGTGGAAGAAGACGGTGCAGGATCATTTTGGGCCACTTCAAACTCTGCTGCTTGCAACTGCTCCATCGCATACTAGTCTACTGCCCACCCTTTCCTTCCTCACATTGCAATTTCCTAGTTAGTTTGGTTGTCCTAGCAGGGAGTTGGGGTTGTAACACAGCAGAAACAACATTCAGTGCATAAAAGGAAACAGTTCTTTAGACTAAAGTGGCAGCTGGATTTGAATAATAGTCCTGTGCTTTAACTAAACTTCCCATTGCAGAGAACTTTGGGATTTTTTGACACATAAAAATAATTTCCTAACTGAAAGTTCTGAGTCTGTGGAATCAGGGTTTTTTGTTGAATTTATATGAAAGTCCCAGAAAAAGTGAAATAAGTTCCCTAACTTAGAGTCGGAAACCCTGGTGGTGTAGTAGTTAAGAGCTACAGCCGCTAACAAAAAGGTCGGCAGTTCGAAGCCACCAGGTTCTCCTTGGAAACTCTATGGAGCAGTTCTACTCTGTCCTGTAGGATCACTATGAATTGGAATTGACTTGACAGCACTGGGTTTGGTTTTTTGGGTTTAACTCAGAGTTGCTAGGGGGCAGTTTAAATGTCCCTGAATTGATCAATCAGACAGTTTCACAAAAGAAAAGTGTCTGTTTTCAATTTTCAGGTTAGACTTTGACTATGATGCTGGTGTCATTTCAACTTTGCCCCTTCACAATAACTGGGATATTATACTTTTAGATTTCTGTTTTCCTACATGCTTAAGTAGGGAAATAGTTAAATAAACAATCGCAAAGTCATTCAATAGATATTAGACAGCCATTATAAATGCTGGTTCTGAAAACTACACATCAAAATGGCAGCCTATTTATCTTAGAAGAAAAAGTAGGGCACATTTTGATCATAATATATTAAAGTAAAAATCAATAAAATCCATTTTATGGGAGGGAAGAATCCATTTAAGGAAACACTGAAAAGAGATACAGTGGTTATGGTGAAATTATGGACGATTTATTTTCTCTGTTTCCAAATATCTTATTAATTTTATAAAGAAACAATTATAAATTTAAAAATTTTGATGCTCTTACTTCTTTCAGTGACTTCAGTGCCATCTCGTTTGTTTTTCTTGGTTACATCCATACCATAGCCACCTGCGGGAAAAACCCGGAAACCATAAACAGCCATGCCTCTTATCATAGCTTTTAATAAGTATGTGTCCCTACTATTCAAGCCAAGGCTCAGGAACTTGATTCCTAGAATTGAGTCATACCCATTGTGTTAGTCATCTAGTGCTGCTGTAACAGAAATACCACAAGTGGATGGTTTTAACAAACAGGTGTTTATTCTCTTACAGTCTAGTAGGCTAAAAGCTCAAATTTAGGATGCCAGCTCCAGGGGAAGTTTTCCTTTTTCTGTTGGCTCTGGAGGAAGGTCCTTGTCATCAATCTTCCTTTGGACTAGGAGCTTCTCCAGGCAGGAACCCTGGGTCCAAAGGACATGCTATTCTCCTTACTCTTGTTTTTTGGTTGTACCTAATGCCCAGCTCTCTGCTCATCTCCCTTTCATTTTATCTCTTGTAAGATAAAAGGTGATTCAGGCCACACCCCAGGGAAACTCCCGTTACATTGGATCAGGGCTGTTACCTGAGTAAGGGTGTTACATGCCATCCTAATCTTCTTTAACATAATCTAACCTTGCCTCATTAACCACAAGCAGAGATTAGGATTTACAACATATAGGAAAATTAATCAATCACAAAATGGAGGACAACCACACATTACTGGGAATCATGGCCTAACCAAGTTGACACATATTTTGGGGGACTGCAGTTCAATCCATGACACCCATTTCTTCTTCTTCTTTTTTTTTTTTTTAATTGTGCTTTAGGTGAAAGTTAGTTTCTTATACAAAAGTTTATACACACATTGTTATGTGACTCTAGTTGCCATCCCTATAATGTGACGGCACACTCCCCCTTTCTACTCTGAATTTCCCATGTCCATTCAACCAGCTCCTGACTCTTTCTCCCCTCTCATCTCACCTCCAGACAGTAGCTGCCCATTTAGCCTCATGTGTCTACTTGAACTAAGAAGCACACTCTTCACGAGTATCATTTTATGTCTTATAGTCCAGTCTGATCTTTGTCTAAAGAGTTGGCCTCTGGAATGGTTTTAGTTCTGGGTTAACAGAGAGTCCAGGGGCCATGTCTTCTGCGGTTCCTCCAGTCTCAGTTAGACCATTAAGTCTGGTCTTTTTATGTGAATTTGAGTTCTGCACCACACTTTTCTCCTGCTCTATCAGGGACTCTCTGTTGTGTTCCCTGTCAGGGCGGTCACTCGCAGTAACTGGGCACCATCTAGTTCTTCTGGTCTCAGGCTGATGAAGTCTCTGGTTTATGTGGCCCTTTTTGTCTCTTGGGCTAATATTTTCCTTGTATCTTTGGTATTCTTCATTCTCCTCTGCGCCAGGTGGAACACCTATTTCTTGTCATCAGTTATAATAGAGAATAATGTAATAGTTTCACTTTGGGTTCTAGACCTTGGTAATGGGATCTTCCCCGTCTCTCCCAGGATAAAACTGATCAAACTGCCCCCTGCTAAGCATCAAAGGGCTTTGCATAGTAGATGTAGTGCCCTGAATTTGTTTGACTATAAAACCTCCATTCTTTTTTGAAGGTAATAAACAGCTGAAGGATATCTGTCAAGGCACTTAGTGTTATCACTTAATTCATTTTGATGTATCCCATAATGTTCACCATTCTATGTGGAACTCTATAAATATAAGAAATTCATGTTTCATTATTTAGAGTTTGGATGTGATAACGATGTTTGATAGATTTAAATCAGGATAAAAATCATGACAGTTGTCATAGCCTACATTGGTATAAAACTTTATACTTTTCAAGGTATAAACTTTTCTCCTTATAAAAAACCTGCTCTGGTATGATTATCTACAGCTATAAGTAGGAAAAACACATGAAGACGATATGTATAAGATCTATAGAGATATGTAGGCTAATACATATCTGTATGTGTTGTCTATGTTCTCCCTTCATTCTTGCTCCCCTTCTGAAAAGGAAAATAATTGAGATCTTAAGCATGTCTCTTAGCATGATGGGTATGAGGAAGTGGGGTCAGGTGGGGTGGGGGGTGAGTGTTAAGACTTAAATACACATGAAAGCACACAAGGATCTCCGTCCCAATTGGGAACTTTTTTGCTCTGGTGCCTGGTCCCAGAAGGACTTGAAATCTGGCTTTCGCTGTGGTTCTCTCTCTTCCACTAAACTTCTGTTCCTCCTAGTTTATGTTCGAGGCAATTGAAATTGGATTCTAGATTCTGGGGTCAGCTACTTCTGCCCAGGAAATCCTTTGCTTGAAGATGCCTCTTCCAGTCTTCTTCCCCTGTCTGGTGACTTTAGGGCCAATTTGCCCATTAGGCGCAGTGGGTACAGTATGTAGGTCCATGATTGTTTTAGGGACCCACAAAAATGTTTTAATTTTTTTTTAAATCAGAAGGAAAAAGATAAATATAAACCAACCTGGATTATACTCTTCTTTATATCAATGCGGTTGTAAAAAAAAAAAATTAAAAAAACATTTTTTTTAATGGGAGAAGGGGCACACAAAGGCAAGAATGTCTAGCACTCACAGAAGTCATAATGTGGCTCTGGGTGGCTTCGCCACCAAAAACTAAGACCACAACACAACTAGCTGGTCAACTACTGGTGGAATTAACTAAGACCGGCACTGTTAGCTTCAGGGCCTGGTCGAATGTGCCAACTTTTTGCTCATTGGTGTTTCTTAAATGCAGCTCTAGGCAAGGAATGAGACATCATGGAAAAAATTCTGACTGGATCTGAGGAGCCACAGAATGTCTTTATAGGCATGTTTCCCAGAGCCAAGAGTAGGGGCTCCACAAACAGTTTAACAAGGTGGTCCAGTCTCATTAGAAGGTCACCCTGGCCTGTGACTATATCTGCTTTCTAGCTATAACCGGTGTAATTTATGTCATGCAAATTGATGTGCAACTGGACACTCTCTTTGAAATCTTTTAAGCATTAATTGTCTTTGGTACCCCTAAAGACCCTCCTTGCCTTTTTTTAAAAAACAACAAATTGGTCATTAGCTGTGAACCAGAAGGCATTTCGGAAAGTAAACATTTAAATGCACCTGGCCTCTGGTGGGGAAGCTCTCTAGGATGGCACCTGGACTTATATGAAATATTACCCTGAAAGGAACTGCTTATAAAAGTCCATAGACACTTTCAGTTCCCACAAGTTATCACTTATTCTGAAGCTTCAGTGAGGGTTGCTATTGGCAGCTGTAAATTTGGGACTGGCCACTGGCTGGGTTTATTCCAGTTGCAGCCAGTAAGGTTGATTGATAATAGCTCCGTTAGGTAGGAGTCTCAATCCCCAGGCAGCAAACCTGGCAGGTGGGTTCTTGATCTTTCTGCTCTCAGAAAAAATAATAGATATTTCTAGGCCCCCGTTTTTTCTCTAAGTCCCAGCAATGGGGCTGCAATTTCTGCAGCAAAAAGCCAAGTGTTCCTCAGTCTCCAGAGGGTAGGAAGAGACAGCCTATTAGGAAATCAGATGAGCTCCTCCAGGGCTCGTGGGCTCCTCATTGGAAGGCATCCTGCAGATGAACGTGCCCCGTGGGTACAGGTAGATGGGCCTCTTGCCTTTTTCTGGGCCTGAAGCCACTCAAATGGCCGTACGTCTCACAGCCATGTACAATTATTTCGTGTGCATGAAGTGTATAGAGCAGATCTTGGTTTTTTTGCCAAAGTCCTCTGCCAGACTGATAGCCTGAGGTGGCAGCGATGTGTTGGGGGAATTCGTTTAAACTAAACATAAGAGAAAACTTTCAGTTTTCAGTTATCAAATGGGGAATGGTGGTTTGAGACACCAGCCTGGACTAGGATCCTCCCAGGGACCTGTGGTATTTCCACAGGAACCCCTTTTTAAGCATTTTAAGTGCTGGAAGTTTTAAAAAGTACGACTGGCTCTGAAGTGGTGTTAGAGAGGGGAATCTTCCATGCCCGGGTACAGGCCTGAGCCTGCCTCTCCTAGCAGTAGTCACCATGCGCTCATCTTCCAAAAGTATTATTTAATGGAAGCATTATCAAATATCATAATTTAAACTACAAGACATCAACTTCTTGAATGTTTGGGCCACTTCACTAGAAATAGGATGAGCAGATTATTCAAGTTCTCAATTCTAAACACATACAAATTCCAAGCTATGGTTCAGATGGGCTGCTTCATGGTTATTGGATACTTAATGCTCTTTTTAAGATTTAAAAATAATCCCATGTTTCTTTAATGCAAAAAACAAAAAACTCCACAAATTGAAACCATTTTTCTATTTTTATACATTTTTTTTCCCTTTCCACTTTATTTAAATGGTGTCACATCTACCTGTAGCTCTTTAGATGATGATGATGAGTTTTTATACACACAAAAACAAGGACAAACCATTGTTGTCAATATTAAACCACGACACTGGTCTTATTCCAATGATACATAAGACACTTGGTCTTTGACACAAAGAAGAGAATGAAGAGGTTGTTTTTCTATTTTTATTTTAAGAACGAATGTTCCTATACTCTGCTAAGAAATCACAAATATATTTTTATAGCTCTTCCCACGCCAGGCTCTGCATACTTTTACATTTTAAAACAAACCAGCAACAAAATTGCCCAAATGTGAGAAAACCATTCCCTGGCGATTAACTAGATAACACTGAGGGCCAAGCAGTCTGCCAGCCAGCAAAGCCAATACTCTAGGGTCGGTTGTCTCAGAGGCTTTTGTCTCTATGACATCCCAGGAATGGCTTTACCCACTTGCCTCGTTTGGCACCGTTGATTTTTATGACTGATGGGGAATAGGTCACCAGCTTTGTGATTATGCTGGCTTGTTTATAATGGTTTTGGTTAAGCCCTGCTCTTGTTAATAACGGCAAATAGGCCTAACAACGTAGATAAAGACTTTTTTGGTCAGGCATAATCTAAAAACGTGGTTGGTTCTCAGGTCTAATCAGTTTCACCGATCCAAGGAGTTTCTATCCAAGTTCAAAGCAGGTCTGTTCACTCTAATTGTCCTCATGTAAACTCTGATCACGGGGGCCAAGAGAAGACAGGCCCTCTGAATCTCTGAAGGGTGTCCATCAGAGGCTAGACATCTCTTAGTTTAGTTCTGACTTAGTTCTGACTTTTTCTTTTTTTTCTCTTAGATTTGTACCTTAGCTCTAAGATAAACATACAGGGGAGAAGAAATACTTCTGCTCTTCAAAAAAAATACCTTTTTAAAATTTTACTACTATTTATGGACATAAATCCAACTATTAGGCTACGACCGATGAACTATTTTGTCAACAGGAGCGACGTGTCTGAGGCTTTGCCTAAAGTGCAGTGGTGCTTTGCCAGGCAGCAGTGAATGTGGGCCAGTCTGATACCTCAGCTAGTAATTCTCACTCCAAAGGGATTTCTTTTGGCCCAAGATGGCCAATCAGAGTGTGTACACAGACAAAATTTTCTTTCTCTTTTCTTCTAAGTTTGACTTCAGGAAATTTCTGGAATAATTATTCCAAAGATTCAACTTTATGGAGTAGTAATTTTAGAGTTTGATAAACAACAGTGCTTGCCCAGCCCCTTCAGCTTATCAGAACCTGCCAACACAGAGGTCCGGCAGAATTGACCCCTTCTCATTGCTCAGGTACAGTTTGTAACAGGTTTGCCCTAACCTAGGATCCACTTTAACTTCACCTCTGAGCTGTTCTCTGCTTGCAAGTGGGGAGAAGGAGACAGAGGAGAGAGTAAGTGAGAAGGAGAGAGAGACTGACATTGAGAGAGAAGGAATCATAAGACCTTTTAATATTCTAAATAAAACCAACTTAACACGAGTCATTTTACAATACTAAAAAAAACAAAAATCTTGCCACTATAACCCAGTGTATCTTAACTGGCTTTCTATTTCTCCCAGATGGATCCTTCTTGTTGTTCCTTTTAAAAAGAGCTACCCTAAACAGAATGCACAAACCAAAGTAATCATTTATGATCAGTTAATCATGTCAACCAGAACACTGGAAACAAAAGAACTTTCTTCTTATTTTTTCCAATAAACATTTTGTATTCTAAATGGTAAACCTCAAATCAAAGTCCAGGAAAGGAAAAAGGTTTAATTCTCCTGTTACTTACCTAGCTTGAGATTTTGAAGGAATGAGAAGCAACTTTGGATAAATCCCTCCTCTCTCTCTTTCTTCCCCTGACGTTTTCCTCTAGAAGTTTTTCAGCTAACACTTTTTTATCCAGACCCAGCCAAGGTGTGTTAAAGCTGAGTGATCTTTCAAAAATGTTCACTTCTCCTTCTCTCCCCCTTGTTTCTTTCAGCTCTTTGCCTCCAAACAAGTCCTGACAAAGGTGTGCCGTGGTTTACAGCGTTACTCCACCCTTCCAATTATCTGACACTTGCTGGATTAAAAAAAAAATCTGCCTCCAGGAATCAAACTTTATAGGAGACAGAAAGCCTCTCCTGCCAGTTTAGGTAGATTAACCATTTATGGACCCACGCATAAAAGGGAACAAAGGTTCAGCATAAAGGAAATGTCTTTATTACTTCTTATCTTCTACAGATGAAGGACTGCCACAATTTAGTATTCCCCTTCTTTGGTATCACGAAATACTCAAAGTACCAGTGTCCAAGATTTATGATGTATCTAGGCACTTGGGGGACCTGTGATGTATATACTCAAGCCCTAGAAAAATTGAAATTGTCAGGACTTATATTTAAAACTTATTTCCCCTATGTATACCCTCTTGCCACCATTCTGACCCATAACAGATCAAGGCCTTCTGGGAAAACAGTTGATTAACTAATTCGTAATAAAATGTTAATGACAGAAGATGTTGGACAACTGGTGGGGTAAGCGTTCAGTTTTTAGAAGCGGTAACTGGATGTAGTAGTGCTGGCCCAGAGAGGAAGGTGGACTTACACAGGTGAAGGGAGAGATCAAGATTGTTCTAGAGTCTCAACAGAGGAAAGAATATTTGAGAAGGCTCTAAGATGGAAGAAGCCTGGTGATTTTGAGGAACAGCGATAAGACCAATATGTTTAATTGCATCAAGCGAGGGGAAGATAGCATGGAAGAGAGGCTAGAGAGTAGGTAGGGGCTAGATCATGCAAGGCCTCATAGGTTGTGGTAGGGAAGTATTTTTGTTCTTAAATTGACATTACAGAGCAACTCTAAAGAGGCATTGTATGAGTGTTTGGATTATTGATCCTGGGAAAGAAGTGGGACTGGAACTAATGCTTTTTAAGGTCTATTATGTCCCAGAAGTTTTACATACATTATCTCATGTAATCCCTATAGTAACTCTAAGAGGTGTGTACTACTGTCTTCATTCTATAGCTAAGGAAAGCGAAGTTCATAGGGTTGAGAACCAGGCCAAAGTCTTACGTCTAGTAAGTGCCAGAGTCTATATCTCACTTGACTCTTGAGCTCTCATTTCCCACTGCCTCGTATATTATCAAAATTTAAGCATGTCCATAGCCTGAACTAAAAAAAAGAGGTGATAACAAAATAAAATCAGGCTGAAGGCAAATGAAAACTTAAATAAGAACTAAAACCATCTGAACAATGGAGATGGTTTCAGTCAATAGCATAGTGGTGTTGGCATAATTTATTGATGATTTTAGATAGAAATCTGTCCACTAGGACTCAGAAACCATAGACCAATTATTTAGCTACTACATAAAACCACACATGCTGAGCAACATTTGCTGGGAACAAGCATGGATGGTTTTTCTTTCCTCTTGGATTCCATATTGGTATTCTCCAAGTACGATGGAAGTTTATTGGTAGATAAACCCCGAAGTTAACTAATCCTGGACGCTCGAGGTGAATTCAGGGGCTAAAAGTGTATGTGTGTGCATGCTCCTGCACGTTGATACATGCATATGTATAAGTACTGTTTACAGAGCCTTTGCTAAGCACTTGGAGGGAAAAGAAGATAGAATTCAAATGCTTACATTCTAGTTACTCAGTGTTCATGGTTTACTGGGCTTGACAAAACTGTAAATAAAAAGACTTAACTTGGTACATAGAGTGAAAGAAACCATATGATCATTCAACATTTATGTATTAAATTCCTACCATGTGCCTGGTACTAAGGCAATTGCCTTTTAAATGCTTTAAATAAGCCAGAGAACAGCCAAATTCTCACTAAAATGAAGGAGCAGAGAGTCAGATTTAGGAGATAGCAGTGACTAAGACACCGGAAAGGTATTTCTTGCTTCCTGTCTGAATGGAGCTGTGTTAATGAGTCACATAATCAATTTTTGATTGACTAGACATGAAATTTTCTTAAAAGGCAACCGGAAAAGTATTCATCCTTCCAAAATCATCCACTGACTTTTAAATAGCCTAGGGGGGAGGGGGGAGACATGTTTATTCACGTGTAGCACAGATTGTCACCAAATGACCAGACTCTCATCACTTACTGAGCAATGTGAGTACAGGTGGACCTCACTTTATGTGACTGACATGTTTCTGAAAAGTAATGTCTGAATCCAGTTTTTGGTGATCAGGGTGAGTGTTTTTGTCAAGTGACCTCATTAAGGTCACTTTGAAAACACAAATTTTTCTTTCTCTGTTTAGTTTAAACCCTATAGACAGATTTCTACATTTTCTGTGACCTTCCTCCCATAAAATGGCATCACATGATAATGATGTAACATACTTACGACATTTAATCCAGAAATCTTAAAGCTTTGGAACACATAGGTCTTCCTTTCCCGAGAGGTGATTAAAAAGTAAAATTCACTGAGAAAGAGGCAAGAAAAAATAATTTTATGTTTAATAAGGTAATTCCATTTTCTAAAATTGTTGATTCAGCTCTTTCGTGAGACAGGAAATCCATTGTTTTTTAAAAAAAGCTAATTACCACATATTAATATAAATATAATAATTATTTGTCATAGTTTGCTACATAGTTCTAAGGCTAGAGAACCATATTTGTGCCTGGCTTTCTCTTCAGTAAGCATGTGTTCCTGGATAACAAGACTTCCCTGTAAACAATTACAACAACAGCACGTTACTGTTTATGCAGCATTTTGGCTTTTAGAAAGATGGAGCTGAGAACTAGCCAACTCCTGCCCTTCACATGTAAGTTCAAGGTCTCCTGCTTTTCCTGTCTATATTGCTCCTTGAATTGTCTCCCAACTGTGTTCTTTGCTGCCTTTATTATAATAACAAAATGGCCTGGTTTCCTTTCTTCCATTTCCAGCTTCAGATCTGTTCATTCTTTTATCCATATCCATATCCATAAACAACTCTACTGAGAGTCTACATGAGAAAGGCATTGGGCATAGGGATACAATTGGGAATGAGATGTAAACCCTGTCTTTAGGGAATGTACAACATAAAAAAAAAGATATATCGATATATTCACCACATACACAAATCATTACAATATATGGAGGAATGTGGTAAACCATAAGAGAGTTAAGAACTATGGAAATTCACTTCCAGCTGTAGGAATCAGCCAACACTTTATGAAAGAGGTGGCATTTGGGCTGGACCTTAAAGGATGGGTGGTATTAAGAAGAGGAAAGTGGAGATGGAATTTCAAGCACAGAGTCTGTATGAGAGGCACAGACACAAGGAAGAGTAAGGCTTGGAGAATGATGAAACAGTGTGAGGAAGGAGAGTAGACCGGGAGAGGTTGGAAGGATAGGATGCGTTCGTCACATCATGGGGAATCTGGAACGCCATTCTGAGGAGTGGCTATGTCATTCCAGGGCTGAAGGGGAAATACAGGAAGTAGAAAAAATGAAATGATGCGAGCTGTGCCAATCAAAGATTAATTTGGTGACAATGTAGAGAGTGGACTGGAAAAGAAAGAGATGAGGTAGGGAGACTGATCAGGGCATAGTGGCAATAGTTCAGGTGTAAGATAATGAGGACCTGAACTACAGCAAGGCAAAGATGAAAAAGGAAAAGGGAATGAGGCGGGTAATACCAGGGAGGCTGGGCAGACAATGACATTTAGTGAATGTTTGCTGTTAGGATGAGAGAGAGGGTGGGCCTAGGATGATGCCAAGGTTCTTCCAAGCAAACCACTGGCCTCAGCAACTTCCCTCTCCTCTTTGCCAAGTTACCTTCCTCAAAAATCCACCTGTTAGAATTTATGTTCTGGTGGAGAACATGGGAAAAAAAGAAAGAAAAAGATTATTCCCTTTGGTTTGCATGCTTCCTTACCCTCATCCTGTGTTCACTACAGGATGGGAGGTTTTTTGAAAAAAAAAAAATCAGTTATGTTTTGAAGAATTTGGATATTAGGATAATATTAAGATATATCACCCGTATGTGAATAAGTATAATTAACTTAAAACCACCATGTGTTATTTCTAACACCCCAAAACCAAATAAATCCACTGCCATCGAGTCGATTCCAACTCATAGTGACCCAGTAGGACAGAGTAGAACTGCCCCATACAGTTTCCAAGGCTGTAAATCTTTAGGGAAGCAGGTGGCCACATCTTTCTCCTGCAGAGAGGCTAGTGAGTTCGAACCACCCACCTTTTGGTTAGCCTCTGAGTGCTTTAACGACTGTGCCACCAGTGCTCCATTTCTGACACATGCTCTTCTAAATTATCTGTAACTTGTTTCTAATAACTTAACATTTGTAGGTTAGTTTTATCAAGAGATAACAATAAGCCAAAGAAATATGCGTGAAGTGTTAGTTTTAGTACTGTAGTTGCTATTGTTTTGTAATTATAGAAAAAAATATTCCTTGGATTACAAAAGATTCCCCCCTATTAATGGAAGAAATGAAAGTCCTCCTGTTGGGGTGGGGAGTCATTTCTAGTCTTATGTTTGGCAACGTTTACCACCCACCCTGACAGTGTTAAGCCTCTCTATGAACTGGGGCAAACCATGTGATCTGCACTTGATTTGCTCAGAAATGGCATGGGAGAGATGCCAGAAGCATCAAGGACATGAAAAGCTCAATCCTAATCACAGAAAAAGATGTGGTCTCAAAGGTAAATTATTTAATATAAATAGACCAGTTGTTTAAAATTTGTGTAAGGCTTGTTCCCTGTTGGGGAGCAAGGAAAACAATTCAACAGAACAGCAAGAAGCCACGTGACAGATGGATTTATTACTGGATTTTAACGGCTTTTAGCCCAAAGATGTGAAAAGCCTGCTTCAGGTGATGCACATTATCTTGTACTGTAGGCCATGATTCAGAAGACTGACTCTGTTTTCACAAAACATGTTCACACAAGGACTATCTTCATTGAAATGAAGACCACACCCTATTATCTGGTTCGTAG